CCGGGGATCCCACATACTGTGGCGGTTGCCGTTACTGCACGAATCTAGGAACGGAGTTGAGGAGGCTTGCAAAGGTCGAGGATTATCCAATTCCCAGGGAGATTTGTCGTTGGCTTGGTGGGAGAACTAGACTTATGTGATAAATCTAATTTTCCCTTTCAGCTACGGCAGGCTGTTGGAATTTTCTGCGATGTCGATCTTGGAGGCGCAACAGCCACATGAGTACCGCCATATGGCAAAGGACCAGGTCTAGTTTCCCTCGACCAGAAATTATATAGGTTTTCACGATGGGGTATATTCAGCCTTGTAGGGGGAGAAGAGTCAGTGTACCTACGTATCTAGCGGAGCATGGAGCCAACAGTTACAGTCGAGATCTGGTTTCCAACATGAAACGTGGATATACCACTGGAACAGCGGTTCATGAAATCCGTATCTTGCCTGGGGTTATCCAGGTATGCGATGCGCAAGGGACCGATCGCGATGGCATGACAGGCAGGGTTCGTTGATACGTAGCAGGAAGCAACAAGCGATTCGGAAAAAGCAAACATCGCGCTACTCATGTGCAGAAGAGCGCCTGGCGAATGGGGATCTAGGCAATGGCAGCAACATGCCGATGACCACTGTATGGAGTACAGAGGCAGCCTGTTGATGGTCGCTCGATGCCTGATGAATACCCACAGATGTTCCCCAGGGTTGCGATATGGAGAAATGAACGACACCGACACCAAGCCGTCGTCCTCTTCTTCCGTCTCAGCCTCCACCGCTCAATGCTACATGGGCCCTTGGAGGCCAGCCGGTCCCCGTCATATTCGACCTAGCTCCCACTGTTGCTCCCGGTTTCGGCATGGCTGTGGGAAATTGGAAATGAACGCCTGAAAAAGGAACGCTCGCGAAGCTGTCGTATCAATATTACTAACTCTGGCGCCATCCCGGCGTGCACACTAGGACCCCTAGCAGCTTGCGTGCCCGCCACCGCCGTCTGTTGAATTCTGGCTTCTTTGCAAGTTGCAGGCCCCAAGGGTCAACAAGGGTCAGGTCCCAGGCTTCTGGTTTGTGGGTTTGCTGGCTGTTTAGTGTGTGGGTTCAAGCCTCCAAGCTTGAAACACGGCACTATTGATGTATCCATTCCTTCGTGGACGTGCAGAGAGACAGTGTCCTGAATACCGCCAACTACGGGCCGATGGCCCTTGTTTTTGCCTCTCCTCATTGGCATCACATGCGGTCACCGTCGCAAGCCAATAATGGCGGTACCAAATCTTGCGAGAAAAGTATGTGGGCGAGATCAACCATGGATGGCGCCGCCGGACGCTTTTCTTATTAAGGCAGAAATTACAGGCGCCGACAGCTGCGCCGAATTCGTCGGAGGCCTATATCTATCTATGGATGCCTTTCCTTCTGGATTTCCTGTTCCTCTCTATCTTCACCTTGTCGCCTGCTCCTGGGAACTGGTTCATTGTCCCCAATTCTGACCGTGTTACCAGAGATATTCCTTCTTGCATTCTTGTCTGCTGCTTTCTCCGTCAATCGTTTCTCTTCCACATACCTTTTCTAGGACATTTCTTAGCAACCGATGAAATCGGGTCAGCGCCTTGGTGTTCAAAAGGAGGAATAAATTCGCTTTATCTGCATGCAGGTTCCGTCCGCTTGGTTTCTGGAAACACAATCGAAGACAGTCTCTTTTTTTGGTACAACCAACTGATATCCCTCCCGCTAATCGTTCTGTACGACTTTGCGCTTCAGCGATTCTCCCATCAAAGCTGCAGGAAACATTCGAAGTCTTAGCCGAAAAACCAATTCAAGAGCCACGAGCTGGATTTGCAGGGAACCAAGTCGTCAACGGCAATAAATGCTAGTACCACCTGTACAACGATCGTCCTTATCGAATTATTCCATCAAACGATTACCACCCGTTTCTGCCTCCTTCTCTTGCACTTCTACAGAGTAGTTTGCCCTTAAGAGCATTTCAAAAGCTCTCCTTGCGCACTGACGATCCCATTGGGGCCTCCCCCCCTGTTCAGTCTCAACCAAAGCCTTGGGTTTAGTGGCGCAACGACAGCGAGCGCACCCATCAAGATTGGGAAAGGTTTTATGAGCTAGCGTGTGCCCAGCCTGGCCGCCAACCCACCGAACCAGGCTGGTGTGGCCTATTGAGCCGCTGAAGCTGCACCAGAAACCGCACCGCCGGTAATCTAGCAAAACTCAAACGGTTTGCCAGCCAGAATTCGTCGCGACTCATTGAACCCAATCATAATTCCAAGGCTGCAAACGCGCCCGTCAAAACTCTTCCTGGAGCCCCTGAAAGACATCTGTTCGCGTATTCCGTCATTCCATATCCCCACAATCACTGCTATGGCCAACTCGACCTGCCCTCATCAATGGGCGATTATCCAAAGTGACCTGAGTATCCTGAGCTGGAATTGCTCGTATTGCACGTCTGGTCCCTTTTTTGCTATCTGGCAGTGTAAGCTCTGTCATCAGAATAAGTGTGATCCTTGTTATCGAAAGGGATGAAATAAAAAAAAATAAAATAAAAATAAACTTCAGTTCTAGCTATTCATCAAGCAGTTAGCGAGGAATTACTTTTCGGCCATCGTTTCTGCTCTTACGGAGTACTATGTAGTTAATTGTTCATATTATCTGCTATTCTGTTCATTTATAACATTGTTCAATTTGTTTTCCCTTCCTTTTTGCTCTGCCTTTTGTTTTCTAACTACATACTTCTACATTTATGAGAATGGGATTGTTTGAAATTAGCGCGATCTTATGATACCGGGGTAAAAAAAAGGGTTCAATCAAACAAACAAGCAGAACAGCGATCCTACATTTTGAATTGAATGAATAATCCAAATCTACCCTTTCATACAGGGAACAACAGGACTCTTCGTGGATGGGAGCTCTCTCTGGGTCGCCATAGAGCTGAATACTTATAGTAACAGTGGTATTACCTACCCATTGAAAAATTTCACTGGTAATCAATCTTGCTCTACTTTATCGATCCAACAACTTCCACACTCCCATATCGCAACATGACAATCCTTTGAGTGCCAGTTTTTGCTGCCGATTTAATATTTCCAAGCCTCCTTTGCCTTACGCTTCAGGGCGGCAGTTCACAGCTCGCTCTCACAACCCTCTAGCTCCCATGCGCTGGAGTTGTGCGCTCGATCCCGATACCGTACATGAGCGAGAATGGAAACATCCTCTCGAATGTTTGTTTCCTCCACCCTCCTTCACCCGGCTCCGATGGACCGCAGGTTGTCCACTTGACTATATCGGAGGCAATTAGATTCGGCAACCACCAAAACGCTCAACTGGGTGCCCGTTCATGTTTCAAATGCAAGACCACTGACAACGCAGGGCACACCAGAAAACGCGACCTTGATGGCCAAATTCTACGCTCCTCTTTACTTTGATCATGAGCAAGACGACGCAGACCTTTTTCTCTGCGTTGATCAGGACTACTCCCCATGAAGCTGCAGCGTACCCGACACTGGCAAAATTACGGAGGATCCTCTCAAAAGAATTTAAGCTGTTATATTGTTACCCATCTGAAGGATCTTCATCGCCAAACACCTTGAGATTTAGGCTATCTTTAGTTAAGCTGTAGTGGTGTATTCAGGTGCCACAGGCATTCCCCCCCTTAGAAGCCAGCTGTGCCTCTTGTTAAGACATGGAATGGAAATACTTAATGCCGGTTACAATATTACAACTTAAATTCTAATCAAAACTTTTGAGAGGATCCTTCGTACAGTACAAGGAAAAATTTTTGCCAAGATACTACTTGGATTGGATTCGTCAGGCTGATCCTCGTTGAGCCAATCTGCGGCGTCTCCATAGGGTAAACTGAGCCCGATACACTTTTCACGGTTGGAGCGCCAAATAATCATGAAGGCCACAGTCGATGCCGAATCATTAATATATGCGTATAACGTGCGACATGGAGATATCCACTTGCGGGATATCACTGTTCAGTATAAACGCTACCAGTGAAGGGTTCGCCCGAAGAGTGTATGTGATATACTTTGGGAAATCTATTGTTAGGCGATCGCCTTTTCCTGGGGATGCAGAAAATGAGAAGCGGTATCTTCCGGGAGTTCACAGCATGGAATAAGGCGTGGTGGTGCTATTTGCATGACCCCTTTTGACACCTGGATTGACTAGGATTAGCGGGCTTGGCTGGAGCATACTTTATTCGGAGATTGAACATCCAATAACAGAGGATATGATTTTCATCACCGTGCTAACCCCCAAGCCCCTGGGGTATGACAAAACTCTTTACCTATATGTATGAACATCAACGGCGATGGATATATGAGTCGTCTATTAGAGTTAGCAATCAATCCGCCTTTCGAGAAGCGTCACAATTTCTAACTTAGCTGCTCAATAGCACGTACTTTAATATCTAACAACCACCTCTTTTCTCAGGGTAGCAAAGGGGCGCTGTTCATGGAATGCTTTCTCAAGTAGGCACTTGGTGTTGAGGCCACCACTGCTGAGTCAAGGTAGTGAGTTCGAATCCCAACCTCTTCAAAAGGAGATTATCTCATTTTGTTGGATATTGGAGACCCTTCCTTATCTCATTTTTATTGGTAACTGTCACTGCAGAGCGGAGCAAGGTTCAGCACCACGAGTATGTATATAGTTTAGATGGATTCAGTAGAGGGGGATTCTGATATAGCGGAGTCTCTCGTTACGAATACGCAGCGGGGGAATGCAACTGGAGAGCAGCTGAATCTAAGGATATAGGCTAGTGAGGTGAGCTTACGCTATACGCTGTAGGGGATATTGACATTATATAGTTACAGTGCCTCGCAATAAGTTTGAAACTATTGTGACTTCTCATCAAAATCTACTAGTCCAAAAGTAATTTAACTTGTAGTAATTAATTGTAGTTATAGTGTCACAAATGCATCCATTTACCTCTATTTTTCCACTCATCTACACCATTCTCTACTTTTTTATCATTTTTTCTATCTCCTTCCTCACACGTTTTCTTTATTGAGTGGAAATATTTGATTTCCAGATGTAATTTAATCAAGCAGAACTAGTTCTGCAATATACAGTGCAACTACTAAACTACTTTTGGACTAGTGGATTTTGATGAGAAGTCTCAATAGTTTCAAACTTATTGCGAGGCACTGTAGTATGATCTTAGTCGCGCAGGGGGTGGGAAGGGTTCAAACTTAATGCCCCCCACTGTAGCAAGGACTAGCTGTTGCAGTACAAATCTCCGTTGCTGAAAATCGCGGTATTCCGAGTCACCGGGCCGCATAAATGCCCCGACCAAAGCAAAGATCTAAATTTATCGCCTCAAATGAGGAAACCTGAAGATGAGCAGGCCAGCGTTACTCCATGGTGAGGACGCACTGATTGATTACCCACTTCAAGCCGTTGGTTTTGCGATTCCATACAGTGTACGGAGTAGTGCAGCTCAAAATCAAAGAGTTGACATGTAGGCAGTAATTAATATATGTAACTAACCCGACACTCGCAGCGTAGTTATCAGGAATTGCCTGATCTGCTATTTCGCGGGCAAGGAGCAAGGGTTCTCAAGTTCTTGGGAGTCGACACCAGCGTATTATATCCGATAAATGATAGACTTTCTTTAGCGTTGCGAATTGTTCATTCTTGAGTTAAGCGGAAGCACTTCTATTTTTATACGGCCCTGCCACGCCCGACGGCTTTATCGGGGCAACGCTTGCGCCGAACGGAGGCTACTCCCTACCAGCTCAGTAGCGTAAATGCCCGCAGCGTCAGCGCTGGACGAAGTCTCCGGCTGGGGAGAGGTCGGTGAATGGCTCAAATTCCTCGGGGGGTTTCGAACGAAGAATGCGCTGCTATTCAGGGACCAGGGCTAGGTGAACTTAAATAATATTAACACTGGCCTGATTTCGTTCGCCTGTGGATGAATTCTTTGTTGATTATTTCATTTCCATGTACTGAACGTACTTAACAGTTCAGCGAATTCCAACAAGGAGGGCGTTTGAGCTTTTGTTTTTGCTCCTCCTACGTTTCCTTCTTTCCATGGTCAAGCAAGCTATCTCTCTCCATACGACCTCCAGAGCTGAGCAGCCCTTCCAACCATGCCGATTTCTCTTCTGATATCGCCCAATCTTACAACTATTGCGCTTCTTGTTGGGGCTGTGACCACATTTTCCTATACCGTGTCACGGTTCCTCCATGCCCGACTGTCATGTCGCCATTTAGTAGGTCTGAGATATATGTATATATATATACATATATACCGAACCCCTATCAGCAATGCTTCCTGGCAATAAGTTCCAGTCAACTGCAAGGTAATTGACCTGACGAGAATAATATATTAGCCCCAACCGCCGCATAGCTTCTGGTTTGGCCACCTACTCGAGGCTGACAAGATCAACCGGGCCTACCCTACAAATGCGTATATTCACCATATGTTAATCTCTCTCTCGCGTAAATATGATTTGCCGGAGCTCTACTACCTGGACCTCTGGCCATTTGCGAATCCCATGGTGGTCCTATGTAAGCCCGAGCTGGCTGCGCAAGTCACCACGGAGCAAGCATTTCCCAAGGACCCCGCCGTGGGCCAGTACCTCAGCCCCTTTTTGGGGAAAAGTTCGATCATATCCGTAAACGGACCGAAATGGAAAGGCCTGCATTCTACCTTCGTGCCAGCCTTTGCGCCAGCCTATATCCGCACGTTAGCGGATGGGATGCTCGACGAGGTCCTGATCTACCATGATAACCTGGCCAAGTTTGCAAAATCGCAGGAGTCCTTTGCGATGGCGCATCTGAGCGTCGACCTGACATTCAATGTGATCGGGCGCGCCGTGTTCAACAGCCCATTCCGCAGCGAGGATGGAAAGAAACTCGTCAGGAATTTTAAGAACGGTTTGGACTTTGCGTTCGATGGTGTGCTTAGTACCCGCAACTGGCTGATAGGCATGGTGCCCAAGTGGATCCTGGTGTGGAAAGTCAATCGGTATATTGAGAAGAGGGTTATCATGCGTTTCGCCGAGATGAAAAGGGAAGAAGCGTCGTCCGTCAAGAAGTCAAGGTCGATTATGGATTTGGTTCTTCGCCAGAAACTGGATAATCCAACGGGCATCGCTGGTGATAGCGACTTTATGGAGATGGCTGTTTCGAAGTAAACGCCCACCTGTCCCCATCCTGACGATGATGATGATCTTTCTTTTTATATTTCACATCTTCATTCCGCTCATAATGAGATAGGACCTTACTGACACGACTGTAGCATCAAAACGTTTTTGGCCGCTGGGCATGAAACCACAGCTCATACCCTTGGGGTAAGATTGAGACTTTGAAAACAGCTAAACCCCTTGCCAAATATTATGAATACTGATATCTCCGTCCGCACAGTATATTTTTATGGTGCTCTCCAAAAATCCTGAAGTATTGAAGAAGGCTCGTGAAGAGCACGATTCTGTGTTTAGCCCAGATCTCAACCGCACTGTTGAGATGATTAGAGCAAACCCGGAGAAACTCAACGATCTTCACTACACAACCGCCATCATTAAAGAAACATTGAGGTTATTCCCTATTGGCAGCGTCGCCCGGGCAAAGGGTGATGAAAGGTAAGATGGAGTTTTTTTCTTTTTTTCTTCTTCTGCCTGGCTTCCTTTGTTTGGTAGATAGACACAACGTTTTAAAAGTGTTCACCACCACGATCTAATACTGTTATTGATCGATTCCAGCATGAATATCATGTATCAGGGCAAACCGCTCCAAATCACGGACCAGTTGATAATGATATGTATCTTGGCAATGCACTACGATTCGGAATCATTCCCTTCGCCCTGTGAGTTCCAACCGGAACGTTTCCTCACACAGACAATCCCAAAAGACGCTTGGCGACCCTTCGAACGCGGTGCGCGGGGCTGCATCGGCCAGGAGCTAGCCATGATGGAGATGCGGATGGTGCTCTTGGTCGTTCTGCGCAGCTTCGAGTTCGAAGCGCTGGGGATCAACCCGCACAGTAACCAAACTGCCTCGTATACGACGCTAGATCTGGTTTATGGTGATCTCGTTTATCAGAAGCAGTCACTTACGGCGAGACCAAATGGTGGACAGGATATGAAAGTGAAATTCGCGAAGGGGCATCAGGCGTATGTCAACGGCAATTGAAACGGGTTGAAAATAGTATATAACTTGACGAAGCAATTGTGAATCATGCATATATATATATCTTGAGGAATCGGTGGCTACTTTAGGGATAGATCCTTTTTGGTGTAGTGGTAAAACCTTCCTGCAAGATTGAAAGTTTTGACAGCAATTGCTAAGCTTTGATCCAAAGGATGCGTGAAGTGGATCACTAACGAGTTTTCAATAGTTTTTCTTTTTCTTTTTTCTTTTTTCTTTTTTCTTTTTTTTAAGAACATACAAGTATTTTATACTCTTTTGTATGAGTATGTAGAATTCTTACGCTCAAGAGTTGATAATAAAATTCCCGTTGTATGTTGTTTGTTTCAACTCTTCCCGCGCCCAGTTCCTGCTTGAATCCAACATCCATAAATCCAACCTTTCCTCCTATATTTACCTATGAAAACACCCAATGACGAACAAACTTATATGGGATATTCGAATTATATACGGACAATCAAGTCGTGCTTCATCGTGTCATGGACGCTGCACGGACCATCTATAAACATGATGTGGACTTCGCTGTCCTTGCTCTCCAGTACCCCAACTTTGCCAAACAGTGAGTTGTTAGGCACCAGCAGAAGATAGATAAATGAATGAATGGAATTAACCACATTTTTCAAAGCTAACTTGTATATGGTACATGAATAGTCTGAAGCAAAACAATCAACTTGACTTCACCGATCCAGACGCCGTCCAGTACACCAGCCCTGCCATCCAAGTACATCGATAGAACATACAGGCTGAAGATTCATGTACTGATGATATCTAAATTTCTAGGGAATTGACAAAGAGTCTGCTGAAAAGAGATTTCGGCCTGCATCTCGATTTACCTAGCGATCGGCTTTGTCCACCTGTAAGCAAGGCTCACTCTGTCTCAATAGGATATCCTCTGATACTTCATGACCGAAAAACAGGTTCCTAATCGGTGTGTTTTTCATGGATTAGAAGGTCTCATCTGGCTACATGAGACAATTGCCTCAGAAAGAGACAATAACATGCTAATATTGTTCTATTCATTTTATCTTATATCGCTGCGGAAGCTTTAACTATATTCTATGGCTGCAAGACCTGCTTGACTCCACTTCTGCGGACTACTCTGATGGATACGATCAGGAACGTGATGTTTTTGGACTTGATATGTGAGGACCCCTGACTAACTCCCGGGGTATAAATTATGCATACATGTTCATGTTATCTTATACAATGTGAGGATATATTCTATTTCTTGTTTGTTTTGCTGACTCTGGTGGACTTCAATCCCATGAATGATAGCGGGACTGGAGCTAGTTGCATCTACCCTCTGCTTGGATGCGCTCAGAGACCAAAATGGAGATTCGCAGCTACAGGTATGCTCGTTTTTCTCCTGTCGTCCGCTGGCATTTTTCACTTTACTAATCGTGCTTGGGACATATCAAGATATTGATGCAAAAAACCTGAAATATGCAAGGGATAATGTGCAGAGGAACAAATTGGATTCTCGCATCCAGATTATCGAAAGCTCGACTTCCAATGCGTTGATTCCTCTGGAGACTATCAATATCCCTGAATCGTAAGGCTTCTCCCTTTTGTTATGTTTGCAAATTTTTGGAGATATGTCCCTGGAAATTACGTGCTTATGGTTTGTTTCTCGACAAAAAGGAACAGTAGACTGGACTTCACTATGTGTAACCCGCCCTTTTATCAATCCCGCGACGAGTTGATATCATCCGCTAAGGCGAAGCAGAGACCTCCTTTCTCTGTAAGTACTCTAGCTAATCTTGTGCTGGTTCATCCATACTTCCTGCAAGACAACTACTTTGATGAAGAAACTTGCAGGCCCCTATACTAGTGAGAATTGGGCACTGAGCACTGAATACTTAGAAATGGCTTATTAGCTAACATGCATAAAATTATTAGGCCTGCACTGGCGCAGAGGTGGAAATGATCACGCCCGGCGGCGAGGTTGAGTTCGTCACTCGCATGATCAGGGAGAGTATCGAGCTGCGGAATCGCGTACAGTGGTACACCTCTATGGTAGGGAAATTCAGCAGCGTCGCCACGCTACTTGACATTTTGCGCAAGGAGGGAAATGAGAATTGGGCGGTGGCGGAATTCGTTCAAGGAAGTAAGACGAGGCGATGGGCCATCGGTTGGTCTTGGATGGATTACCGGCCTGGAACTGTGAGACTTCTCCCTGACCAGCCTTGTATCTTATGTTCAATTTTTAATCTTTCCTTTCCTTTCCTTTCCTTTTTCTTTGATTTTCGGGAAATTGTTTCGAGGGCTGGAATTTTCCAGATAATCTCTCGTCCCGCGTGTTATTCTAACTCTCACATAAAATAACACACAGGGACCCTCCAGACCCCACCGTCAAAGCATCGCCAAACACCTCCTCCCGTTCCCGCCTGAATTCACATTCCACTGCCCGCTGTCAACGTCCCTGTCTAGCGCTATCGAGGTAGTAAACTCTAGCATTACAGAATTGGACATCTACTGGCGCTGGAATAGGAGCAGATGTACTGGTCTCGGATTCGCAAGGTGCAACGCCTGGTCCAGACATGCACGCCGGCAGAAGAAAAAACAAGCCATCGAGGCTGCGCAGGCGTCGACGACTACGAGTATTGCTATTACTGGCAATAGTGTGAAGGATAATAAAGATTATGATGCTAAACTACTCAATTTTATCACAGAAGAACAGGACAGGGGGCCTGAGTTTGGGTTTAAGGTGTCTGTAAGGGGGGATATGGAGCGGCAGGTGGAGGTGACGGTGCGGTGGGTGAAGGGGTTTGATGCAGTGCTTTTCGAGAGCTTTTGCGGGTTTTTGAAGAGGAAAGTTGAAAGATGTGAATGAATTGAATAGCGGTTTTGAGAGTGGGTAGTTTTGCGGGGTAGGCGGAGTGAGTGCAAACGAAATATACCTTGTCTTATTTATTATATTGGAATCATGAGGATGTTTTAGGTACAGATTCATTTTTTTTTTGCGTGTACCCAATGGGGCCGTTATACTTTTTTAGCTCCGCTACATGTAGTAATAAGTGCGGTAGTTATATATGTTTTGAGATAAACGCCATGAACATTTGAGACAAATCAACTTGGGTGTGGTCAAGGAGATATGCCGGGGTTAGTCTACGTTTATGTTCGAATTTGAAACATAAGCACCGAGGGGTAATGAGCTTCTCAGGAATGATAGTTGACGCTAACCTTCACTGGCAACCTGTATCGACATTTGGGCAGCCCTCGTATGTTTGAGATACTCTCAAGATAGTCCAAGTGTGGCCAAACAAAGAAGGCCGCAAATGTCTGGGGACTAGACTAAGTGACGGTAGGCTACCGGAACATATGTCGTGATAATTCTGATTATTCTTCATGGTGCTGAATCTAATGCAACTCATGTTTGTGGCTCTTTAGGCTTTAGCAAGGCTCCATTTATTCTATCAACACCATCAAATAACCACGAGTTGATTCCCAGCTCAGGATCTAACGTTCGGAAAATGGGGCTTACAACCGGCTCTCCCCAGCGAACAATCCAATCATTCGTTTCTGGAATTTGCGTCATCCGTGGAGTGGCCAGCAGAACTCTTTCCCACATGGGTGTCATGAGCTTCCGGGTAATTTTGTGTGGCCTCCCGCGTACATATGCCTCGAATGTGCGGTCCTTCTGAGGGCCGAAGACTAAAAATTCCGCATCAAGAGCACTCCCTTTATGATTCGTGTCTAGCCGCTTCCGTCTCTTGGGCAGGGACCATGGCTCCTTTCCGACCACTAGGCCATGTAAGGTGTTCCACTCCTGATCAGGAATAGGTGGTAGAACACTCTTTATAACCATATTATACCACTTTTCAGTAGCTTTCTGCACTTTCCTCTTGGATACATGTCCATTCCAGATACTCTTTTTTGGCTGCGGGATCTCGCGGATTACTGGGGTTGCGTCGACGTCGCTCAGGTGGCGGTTCTCCATCTGTGATTTCATCAACGCAGATAGGGAAGGAATAGGTTCCCAGCTAGGAGGACATGTTGGGGGCAGAATGAACCTGAAAGGAGTTTTGTCCCCAGATGAATTGGGAACGAAGAAGGGTCGCGCCAGGACGTGTCTGCGCCGTCCGATTCGACCGTACGACAGCATAAGAACGCGTTCGAGGGGTTTCATATATCCTTCATTTGCACGGGAGAGAATCGACAAGAGCTTTCTCGCCCGGCGTTCTAGGTAAAATTGTCCATTAGGGCCTGTATAAGAGTTTGGTATCACTCGTGGCCAGTACGCTCGATAACTCTCACGGACATGGCTGGACATATACTGGCGAGCAACGGGGTCAGGAAGATAGCCAGATTCTCTCAAGAGGGCCCTGTAGACATGCCGCCAATGCGGTGTCTGGGGAGGCGGTAGGGACATGATTATAAGTCGCAAGGGAACGGGAATGACAAGCTCAGGCCGAGAGATGAAGGAGTTCCAAACAGGAAATTTCAGATTGAGCCTGGACTGCTGACTAAGATAAACCGCGGAGTCATCCGACGCGGCTCAACGCGAACATCCAAGTCCCAACCCCGCGTCTCAACAAACCTGCTTGGGTGGAATACGGACCGGATATTATACAATAATGAACTAGTAGCGATGACGGCGGTGTGGTGATCAGTGCGGCATTATTATAATTGGGTGTTGTTGAACTTTTCCCGCTCTGTCTTTTTCCTTGAGATATTCTTCAATCTTTCTCACCGGGAGAAGGGCTTTGTGTGGAATGTAACGTGACCACGCGCGCTTCAGGCTCAGTCTTTTGACTTTCGCGCTCTCTTTTCAGTCCGTCTGTATGTCAATTGTCAACCCCGACCTGGTTATTATTCTATGGAATATCTCACAATGACATATACACGTTGTGATTGTTGGCTGTTGACATTGTTTTAAAAACGAGTTTCTCCTGTTACCCACGGTGTTGACCTTCCTGATTTGAAACCGAAACCCCCTCGAGAGTTACTAGTACAGATCGACCGATTCAATTTGACAACTGGATATTTACCAAGTTACCCGAATAAAGTATCCTCATGTCATTCTCGCGGGATAGCTTAGGCCCTTCCAATGGCGCGTCGTCGCAAAACCAGGTGGCCTCTTTCAACAACGCCTCCCAATCTGTGGCGTCGACCCCAGCTGCGACTCCTCCCCCCAGACTCTCGCAGCAGTCGAATATGTCGATGAGCTTTCCTAACAATGGGGCGTCGCGCAATTCTTTGCAAAGGACAAGCTTTGGTGCTTATGATGATACCAATGGATATGGCCAAGTGATCCCGTATGAAGAATACAAGCCCCAGATATATACAGTACGGAATCTCTCTCTCCATTCCCCCAGTTTCTAATGTGAAACATTTTCTATATAATGCCTTCTTATGTAATGCGGATATTGCAAAACTAAACTCATTCGTGTGGCATGTAGGCTGTTTACTCCAATGTATCGGTGTATGAGATGGAAGTAAACGGAGTAGCCGTTATGCGACGGCGTTCAGATTCATGGCTGAATGCGACACAAATTCTGAAAGTTGCGGGAGTGATGAAGGCAAGAAGAACCAAGACTCTGGAAAAAGAAGTTGCCGCCGGTGAGCACGAGAAAGTACAAGGGGGCTATGGGAAATACCAAGGAACCTGGGTCAATTATGAAAGAGGTGTTGAACTGTGCCGCCATTATCATGTTCTTGAACTCCTGCGCCCTCTTCTTGAGTATGACATGGGCCAGGACGGTACTGGGCCAGCGGGTCGCGGAGCTGTGGAAACTCCGACCAAGGAGCAGGCGATGGCCGCGCAAAGAAAGCGGCTCTACCGGACAATGGACGGGCAAGGAATGAGTCAAACCCAGCAGGGCACTTACTTCCAAAACATTTCGCGCACAGCCGTTAGTGCTGTAAATGCGATAAACAAGGCTCGGTTCGATTCGCCCTTGGGGAAAGGACCAGATGGCCGACGTTCAAGCATGAAGGTATCTTCCCAGGTGGGCAGTCAAGAGTCGCAGATTCAGTCCGGAAGCCAGCAGAGCTTGCATAGCATTGCGTCGGACAGCGGCTTTGGTAGCAACATGCAAAATAGTCAGCAGGCAGGTCTTCTTGAACATGCCGATGAACCGTTAGAACCTCCTAGGAAACGAATGCGCTCGCTATCTGCTCATGAAAGATCGTTCCAGTCGCCAAATGTCATTGGTCCTAACAGTTCTATGATTGAACCGTCGCCGACTGAGCCAAACGACTCGTTCTATCAAGTGCATCCTGGGGCCGGGTTGCCAGGTGGGCCAGCACGGGGTCTTCATCATCTTCATGCTGCCACCACCCCAGACAGGTACCAAAAAATGAAACTTGTCATGACTTTATTCTTGGATAAACGTGCCAAGGATTTTTCTAACCATCCTGCTTTTCTTAATCTATCTGCCGAGGATTTGGAGATTCCCTTGGACAAATACTACAACAGTGCCTTACATTGGGCTGCCATGCTTGCTCGGATGCCTTTAGTCCATGCCCTCAAAGCCAAAGGTGTTAGCATTTACCGTTTGAATGGTGCTGGAGAGACGGCTCTGCAAAAGGCGGTTGGAACTAGGAACAATCTCGATTATCGCAGTTTTTCCAAGTTACTGCACGTATTAAGTCCTACCATTGAGATAGTTGACTACCATGGGCGTACCGTTCTTCACCATATCGCCATGATGGCTGCGACCGGCGGTGGAGGGCATGTTGCCGCAAAACATTATCTAGAATCCCTGCTTGAGTTTATTGTGCGCTATGGCGGACCTGCAGGGTCCATCAACGCATCTGCCAATGGCTCTAGCGATCAACCAACGGCTGGGGTAATAGGTCTTGGAAAGTTTATGTCTGAGATGGTAAACATTCAAGATGACCAGGGCGATACCGCCTTGAATTTGGCTGGTCGTGCGCGGACTGTTCTTGTCCCCCAATTGCTCGAAGTCGGTGCAAATCCCCATATAGCGAATAATACAGGACTCCGCCCGGCAGACTATGGAGTCGGGGTTGACATGGTCAATGGCGGCCTGTCGGGGCAGAATGGGGATTCGGAATCGTTTGCTAATCGGCTTTCTAAAACTCGACGAGAGTTACTTGACTGTTCGTGCTACCTTTCCTAATTGTGTTCATGCTACCTTGATATATATATACGTATATTTAACTAACCGATGAGCAGTAACTATTTCCCAAGTCTCATCCCTCGTTGAACAATCATTCAGTAGCATCGATAATGAACTTTCGTCGGGTTTAGGAAAGAAGCAAGAAGAATTCGAACACTGGCACAATAAAATCCGGGAAAGTGCGAAAGCTAGGCAGATTGAACAAAAGCAATTAGATGATATGAAGCAGAGAGCCCGAGATCGCATCGAACTTGATAGGCAAATAAAGAACCTCGAGCGCTCATCAGAAGAACTGACTGCACTCCTTAAGTCGATCCAGGGTGATCAGTTTAACGCGAAAATTTTAAGTATTGGAAATGCTGACGATGCTCTTGGGTTCGACATGTCTCAATTTAATACTCTTTTCCCGGATGACTTTGACATCTCAACGACAGGCGGGTTTTCGGACCAGCAAGTTGCATTCCTCCAGTCACTCCCCAGTATTGAAATCCTAACATTCCAGCTTGGATGTTACCGCGAGCACAACGCTGAAATATGCAAAGAAGTGGAGAGTCTGAAGTCGAAAAACGTCGTCTTAGGCGAGAATTATCGGCGAATGGTCATGGCTTGCACAGGGTGGACTGAGAAACAGGTGGACGACGCAGCAGATGGCCTGACGGAGTGCATCAAAGATTTGAATGAGCATCCCCTACCAGAGGATGTTGCGATCGAAATCCTTATGAAGGATCGCGGGCAGGACTGGTAACGAAATATTACGACCTGGAAACCTGTTTATTTAGCCGGCATGCTGGAGTCCTGCCTGCTTTTCTGTTCATTTTTTTTTAATATACTTTTTCCTTCTCTCCTTTTCTTCATGCATTCTGTACGGTTATATTGTTCGTTCTATTTCACCTTCGTGGTATCATGGGATTGTGTCCGTTGTATCCTCGGTGTGGCTACTGTATGGCTTTTACTTCAGCAAGCTTCTTTTGTTAAAATTAATCATCTTGGGAGGGAGGGATTTCTGCATAGTTAGATTATGCTGAATTTTTCCACACCGAATCTGGGGATAGACATCCCTACTTTGAGATAGCGATAACCCCGCTAAATGAACTGAGTTTAGTTGTTCAGGTCATGAGCACGGGCAATAAGATGAAGCAACGCAGTGGAGTGTCTATATTTAATACTATTTATTTGTGGACATAACATTCTTGATTTTTATGTATTTTCGCGAAAGAAAAAAATCAACTGCCTCTCCCTGTTTTATGATCCATAGAGAAAATGAATTCTCTGATGATGGTATACGCATTGGAAATGTTGGGCTTTTGTTCCACACCTTCATAGGCTCTGGTATATTAGTCTCAAATTTCCCATGTATGGGTGAATGGAAAACGAAATATCAAGTTGTTCTTTTTATATGTTTATTCTCGAGGTATGGAGGGACATACAAAATCCTGCCGAATCGAGCGGAAATTGACTCTTAGTCAAAAAACCTATCATATCGTCAATCACCAACTCGCGCCATTGCATCCTCCCGTTACCCGTTCACGCTCACAGGCGGGTCACCTGCCTGTCAGCCACTGCGGCCTGATTGCTGTGGACTAGTATCTTCGCCCGTTTTCGTCCTCCTTGTTAGCTCCGTATCGGAGTGCCCGGGTTGGCTGACCCCGCCCCACGCGGTTCCTAAGCAGAGAGTCGCAGTCCTCCAACCTTCAGGTGGCAGCGAGAATTATCGCTTCCACAACATTCAACCTGGTACCATCTCAGACCTGACATCTTTGGGTTGCTGAAACCACTCGTTGATACCCCGTTCATCTCGTTCTTCTGCAAATATACGTACCCATGGCGAACTATTATCCCGGTGGAGGTCCCCCTCCTGGCCAGTACAATGCCCCTCCTCAGGGAGGACAACCAGGATACTATGGACAACAACCATCACAGGCAGGCTACCCTCCTCAGGGCTATCCTCCCGCTGGCTATCCTCCTGCGGACCAGTACGCGCAGGGCCAGTATGGACAGCAACCCCCACCACAGCAAGGCTATTATCCACCCGCGCAACAAAATGTAAGAACCTGTTCCAATACCTTTCTATCAGCCATTTTAACGGCAGAGACAAGAAATACTGCCAGTTCAGCCACATCCACACAAAGCACTATTCTAATTCCAATAACTCTTAACTGTAGGCACCCCAGTATGGCTCTCCCGCTCCGGGGCCCGCCGGACCTCATGGGCAGGGAGTTGATACCCGCGGCGACCAAGGTTACGGTGCGTACCCTCCGCAGCAGCACGGTGGAGAGAGTACTGGCTACTATGGAAATCAGCCTCCACCGGCATACAGCGCACCCGGTGGTCCTGGAGGACCCGCTGACGGCGAGAGGGGCCTGGGCTCAACCCTGTTGGGCGGTGCCGCTGGCGGATTTGTCGGCCATAAGCTCCAGGGTGGCATGCTGGGGACGTTAGGAGGAGCTGTTGTCGGTGCAGTTGGCGCAAATGCTGCGTCTCATGCGGTTAAGAAGTAAGCTTTTACCATCTCGTTCATCAACTTTTGATTTTACAAATGTATCCCGCTGGGGGTTTGTTTGATGGATGAAAATTTAATTCGCTCCTTTTTTTTACCCCACCGATAGGCACAAGAAGAAAGATAAGCACGGGAAGAAGAAGGATAAGAAGTACAAGCATAAAAAGGGTGGGAGTTCGAGCTCTTCGAGTAGCAGCAGCAGCGATAGTGATTAAACCGGCAGTATCTTATCCGGAATTGTTTTTCACCCATGGTCTGATTTTTCTTGCTTTGACTGATTTTTATGATTCGACTTGCCTCCGGGATTCGCTCGGGCTACGGAGGCTTTGCTCCGCCTGCATTTGCGGCCTGAGGTCACGTTCTCTGTTCAGGGCTGCTCGTGTACGGATGTATCTGTTATTATCCAGTGATATCGAATATCCATTTTGTTTTCGTTCTGTTGTGCTGATGCCTTACCATGAAGCGTTGGGTTGATACTTCCTGGTCAAACTGGTGGTATCCATAAAATTGTCTGGGACTGCATCTTTGGCTTCGTTGGGATGTTCTTTAAAGCCACCTTTGGTTTTCACAAAAGTGTTGAACGGCCATCATGTGGATGCCATGTGCTTGGGGGGTCGCACATGGCAGTGATGCAGATCAGGGATGGGCCCCTTCGCTGCAAGTTTGAACTGTCTGATCGGTTATATCCAACATGTGGTTCATTGAGCGCTTCTACATTGCCTTTAACAGCAGCCAGTGTCGGAAGATATCGAGTGTTGGGATGCATCATGCCGCAAGCCGGACGGAACCGGGTGGTCATATCCCCTTGCAATAGGTACATTTATGCCTTTTATCCCCGCCTGACATCTGGGACAGTCCTGCGGCTCTTTGATCAGATCAAACACAGCCTCGTTTCAAAGATGGCATGAGTTCGTTGTACCACTTGAGCTTCCTGAAGCATCCCCTGGCCAATGAGTAACTGAGCCAAAGAGGATTGTCATCCGGTAGCTCGACCAGATGACGTGGTATGATCCTAGCTGCTCTGAGATCGATGTTCTCACAGTTGTTTTCCAGGTAGTGGCTGAACCTAGATTCACAGTCGGTATGTTTGCCTTGCCCCTATTGGCCGCTGAGGAATATGCCAAATATTACCTCTATCCAGCCTTCCGCTCGGCTGCGGGAACCTTACTTGAACCACTGAGCTCACTCGTTGCCCCCCTCCCATAGCCCATATTTGGTGACACCTGAGAATCGCAGCGGTGAAACGAGATCCGTGCGTTGATGGACCACAGATATGCGGCCCAATGCCATTTTCCCCCCCTTGCAAGAAAACCAGTATGTTCTTATCTCCACCTAAAGGCTGAGTCTTGTCGTTTTCCGATAGGCTCCTTACATTCCGGGCTGTGGACTCGCGGCGCGCTCGTGGGCTTTTCTTGGCAGCGGAGCCAAGCCCGCCAAGCCCGCCGGAAGCTTTTTGTGCTAACAATCAAAGCACCTCCGTTGGGAACAGGATGGTATGTCGACCGCGTCGTTTCCCTGCCTGTTCGTTCTTCTATATGCCTATTGAATCTGATTTAGATCACGATTTTTACTTTTGTGTGTTATCATCCGCGAGGTCCCCATTACAGGTTTTGTTCGATTCTATTCGATTTTGTTGATATATGACATTGTCCTGTTATCGCCCAGCACTTGGCATGCGATTCCTCCAGTGCAGATCTTTTCAGCAATTGAAAAACACGCCGGTCTAGCCTCTCTGTGGCGGGCTAATCTCATTTCCTTACCATGGGGCATGGGCTTGATCGTAATTGATTTGTGCCTTTAGGCAAATCAAAAACAAAAATTTTTTTCTTCATCCAAGAGGAGAGGTACACATATGAGATTTCTGCCTTGCTTATCCCCTGGTATGTTCGGGTTGGCAAAAATGGATCTTCCGCATATGCATGGAAATCTAGGAATGAGTTAATGCGTACTCATTGCAATAGGGGTCATAACGCTATTGTCCCCCAAGGAAAGACTTCGAAGGGTTTGTGGGAGCCTGTGTTCTTAACATAAAATCGCCATTGCCCCAGTTCCAGAATGAAGCCCAACTACGGTAACCAAATCAGATGCCCAGTATCCCACACTATGAGCTCAAAGGAGTTGAGTGTACAATTTTCTGCTGCCTCTCCCAACGCACAGGAAGATCGTGAACTATCCAGATCGAGAAAAGGTGAAAATGACCTGCCCCATCTCTCACGCAGTTCTTCTTTCACATTTGTTGATGTTGAGAACTGCGTTTCCAAACTCCCTTGGCACAGGAGACTCTCTCACCACCTCAAGGAGGAAGTCGATCCCGCTTGGAGTGACATGCTCTTGCTAGCTTGTTCATTCTCCAGCGGAGTGATTGACAGCCTAGCATTCAGAGCGTGGGGTAGCTTTGCCAATATGCAGACAGGTATGTGATAGCTATCTATAACCCATACTTTGATAAACCCCCCCGGCTCAAAATTCAATACCAGGGAACATCGTCTTCCTCGCTCTGGGTATTTCGGGGGATTCCAGCCTTCGATGGCCCAAATGCCTAATAGCCATAGCCGCTTTCCTTCTCGGAATTCTCTTCTTCATAAATGGTTCCCGCTTGCTCAACCCCCTCCGCCGTTCCACCCTTATCACCTCATTTACAATTCAGACCCTTGCTGTCCTCATCGCTTCAATCCTCGTGGAAACGGACATGGTCAAAAAGAAACCGGCGCACGGTTCCAGCGGCATTTCCTGGATGGAAATCATCCCCATCTCCCTATTAGCATTCCAGGCCGGTGGGCAAATCATCACCTCCCGTCTTCTGAAAATAGATGAAATCCCTACACTTGTGCTGACGACGGTCCTATGTGATTTGCTTATTGATCCGCGGCTGCTTGCCAACCCTAACACGGTCAGGAATCGGCGAATTGGATCGTTTGGCGCCTTGTTTGTCGGTGCGATGGTTTCGGGCTTTCTATCAAAAGAGGCAGGCGTGGCGAGCTCGTTGTGGTTGGCTACGGCGATCAAGGGGGCTGTTACGCTTTGCTGGGTAGTTTGGAAGGGAAAGGGGTTATGCTGAAATATCTATTATGAGTTGATGTGATATGCCGCAGATGAAATACGACGCCATAACATATGATCTGGACGATGATTTTTCTCTTCACTTGTGGTTTTCTTTCACATTTCCACCATTTTTCAATTATCTTACAGATCCTCTTTCTCCTGAGGTGGTAATTTTGATGTCCGGGGTCCTAAACAGGTACAGGCGGTTAATAGCCTCAATATACTTAATCATTCTTGCTCATACGTGCTCTCAAACGAGGATGCTGATCTCGGACTTAACCTCTCACCATTGGTTTGAAAAGCGGAAACAATAAACTTTTAATGAGTTGAGATGTGAATGATATAGCCCCCAAGCCTCTAACCGACCTGTTGCTATCTACAATAGTGAAACAAGATATTCTCCCGAAAATCGAAAATCGAAAATCGAAAATATCTACTTCCGATACCACATCCTCGTTATCTTCGTGTTCGAAATGGACTTCTTGCGAAGCACAGCCATAGCATACAGAAGAGCTTCAGCAGTGGGAGGACAACCTGGGAGGAACAGGTCCACTGGAAGAAGCCTATCCACGCCTCGCACCACACTGTAGCTGTAGTGGTAATACCCGCCGCCATTCGCGCAGCTGCCCATGCTAATCACCCACTTCGGGTCCGGCATCTGGTCATATACCAGCCGCAGCGCGGGGGCCATCTTGTTCGTCACCGTGCCCGCCACGATCAGCAGGTCTGATTGGCGGGGTGAAGCGCGGAAAATGGTGCCGAGCCGATCCTGGTCATATCGCGGCATGGAGACTGCCATCATCTCAACTCCACAGCACGCAAGCCCCAGAGAAACCGGCCAGAGAGACCCTTGGCGCGCCCAGTTGGTGACTGCGTCGATGCTCCCGCTGTATTAGGGACGCGGAGGAATGGGGACGAAGGGTGGGTTAGCATGAGAGAGAAGCCAAGGCAAGAAACAAAGCGACCAAAACGTAAATACAAAGAGTAACGATACAGTGCAAGATGCGGTTGTATATAGTATTTTGTCGCTTAGAACAACAGGTGGGTGCGGAAAAAGCCAAGGCTCAAATAAATAGTAGAAAGTTCTGTACAGAAAATGACCCATCGCGCCCGTCTTTTCATCCTGGCTGGGCAACAGTGACGCATTTTGCTCTATTCTAGCCACGTCTGGCACATTCGCAGTGTTCTCTCGAGGGGTAATCGATGAGGAGGACGTCGCAATTTGGCGTCTAATAACTGATCCATACATTCCACCCGGTGGCTGTCCCCACCTTCTACCTCCCCGCACAGTGGAAGAGAGGCCTGGTAAATGTCAGCGAGAAGGCCCGATTTCAAGACGGGGGGGAGGGGGAAGGTTTTGGAAGGTCCAAAACTGCTTCTGACCTTTCGCTTTTGACAGCGAGAGTTTCGCAATGTCGATTCTCAAGCCGTGCAGTACCGCGGCCATGGTGATTAAATAGCGGAGTGGCTTTTCAACGGCTTCTCTGGCAGCTTGCTACATGTAGCGAGGCAAAACAAAACACCGAAACAAAACGTTAAAGAAAAAAACATAAGTGGGAGGCATCTCGTTTCCTCCCCGGGACCATCACGGCTTTCCAGCGGTTTGGCATCGGGCAGTCGGGTTGCGAAAGGTCCGTCGCTCGTAATCGGCCTTGGCTCTGTATCACGATACAGTGATCGTTGAAGAAAGACTTGATAGGCGTATGAGTAAGGCGTCTGTGAAGGTTGGCCGTCTGTCCCTTACTTCCATTTTCAATTCTAACATTCATGGTAGTTGGAAGCTACGGCTTGAGGCAGAGAAGAGGGTATCCGAAATTTAGATTCTACTCATATATATTGTACAGTAACAACCGAAAAAAAAAGTCCAAAAAGTGCGCAGAAAATGCCTAATTCCCCGCAGCACGCGCACGGGACTCCACGAGTGGCTGCATGAGAAAGTCATCAAAAGCGAGCTCCTCGGCTGTTGGCCTCTCCTCCGGCCTCCAGCGTAATATCCTTCGGAGGTATTTCAAAAATAGAGCGCGATCCTCCTCGTCCAGTCGCCACTCGCGTGTTTCGAAAGATTGATCCGGGATGGGTATGGAGCCCTTCCAGTTTCCTGCCAGAAAAGAAATATATGTGAGTGTTTTCCCGCATGGATTCATATATAAAATATCGCGTCGATTGAGGTTTTGAGCAATAAGTGTTTGATTACCTTCTTCATCCCAGCACTCGAGACATTTGGAATTTCCCCTGATAAATTCCGGAGGCGGAGGACCCAACAATGATACAATTTCTGCTAAATGTTGCTCGTCGTCTAATATGCCGTCCTTCCTGGCAATGAATAGTCGTCCGCCCTCGAATATGTCCCATGTCTGAAAGTATTTATATTAGCACCCATCAAACTCAACCGAACCCAACCAAAGTAGGAAGTCGCCTTGCCAGTGATTCCCAGATTTTGGTTTATGGTATGGTTTACGAGAAATGTCCTCATGCTTACCATTAGACCAATGGACCAAATATCAACTTTGCAGTCCCATTCCATGCCCAGGATAACCTCTGGTGCCCGGTATATCCCGGGCATGATATCCCCTCGATGCTTACCGCTGCCAATCCGCGCCTCCCCAAGATCGCAGAGCACGGGAAACCCAGTGCATATTGGCATGGGTCGAGAGGTATATATGGCACGACCATTTTCCAGGCTTTTCCTCGCGCTTGGATGATCGATTTCTTCCTGTTCGAGCTGTTCCAGGATGGAATCATCGTGGATGCCCTGGAGGAGATTGTTGGAGGAGATATCTTGAGTGGAGAAGTCAGTGAGTAGTGTTTACAGGAAGGATAAGGTGATACAATTTTTGGGGCCAAAAAAAAAAAAGGTAAATGGAGAAGAAAAAGAATCACCTGTATGCACAACTTCGCACCTGTGCAAAAAGACAACAGCAAAAAGAAGAAATTGGATGCTTCTCTGAACAAGGTCTTTCGGAAACATCTTGTCTGGGAAGAGCTTGAGGAAATCGGTGAAGCTCATCCCAAGTGGCTTATAGACAAGGCACTGGTGCACCCATTGGGACCGGTGACTTCGAAGGAATCAAGGACTCTCCGGACAAGCTCTTCCCCCCCGCGACTCTCGAGACGGAAATCGTGGAGATGCTGGGAAACTGTAATCTCATGGTGCTGATGTTGTTCCGTTCCCTCTTTTCGGATGCACACTTTGAGAGCGAGATATCGATGTTCTCTATCAAATAATTAGAACGTAGCCAGCCATCTAGGTACTAGGATTAGCTAGTAAGTAGCCTTTTAGTTATCATGTTTATGAAGCTAGCAAGCTACCGACTTTAAATCCCGACAAAGCCAAACCGTCGACGATGTCCCGAAACCCAGCTTGGAAACGACTTGGTATCTTGACTCGAACACCTGTCCAATATGGACCGGGTAGAACTGTTCCGCTTTGTAAGAAGGAATACTCTCCTCTTCGATCAATTCCTTCGAGCTCCGCTCGGGGAATGTAGACGTCGAAAATTCGCGTGTTGGTGACGGCAATGAAGCCATTGCTCTAGGGGTTCCTTTGCACGTTGGATGAGAAAGTCGGGAGGCAATGACACGGCTAAAAGGACTGGTCAAAGTTCCCATACGAGTGCGAATCAAAATCCTTATCATCGTGAATGCCAGATGGGGGAAATGGCGGTGGTTAAGTTGGTTTCGAATTGCATTCTCAGCTGGTTATTGCAAGCAAACAAAAATAAAAGTTCATGTCAATGACCAGAAGCGTTCGAGCACGGTTGACTAGGGCGTGCCGAAACGCCTCCGATAATCACAACCACAAGATACCAGAGCAGAACGTGCTAGGATATATATATAACCTTCAATAGAGCAGCTTCTAAGCAAACTAATTTCTAACCAGTTTGTGAATTTTGTAAGACAGAGTATACTGCAGTTTCCATTCCATTCCATTCCATTCAAATAGACAAGAGATAAGAAATGAACCAAAGATGGTCCAAGATACATAGTTGTTGTTGATAAGAATGAAAGTAATTATGGATGATTTTGATAACAGAGCAGTTCTCATGATTAATTTTGTTGTATATAGCTAGCTCTTCCTTTCAAACAGCTGTAAAGACCATTTTGACAAATGGGTAGTAGTCTAACACCTATCTATCTATATGTGTTTGAGTGTGTTTCTCTCCGTACCATTTCCTGGGTTTCTAAAAAGACCATACACTGATAGAAGTATATAGAGCTAAAGCAAATGAAGAGGCTCTCTCAGCAGAGCACAGAAATGAGAAGCACAAACATGCAAATAAAATGAAAACAAAATTTGAGAAGCAATATAAACAAGAGTCACCACATTGAACTGTTGTTTGAAACCGAGTTTATATCAAAAATATCTAACAGCAAGAATTCAATGAGCAAATAAATACAGATTAATTTGAAAAACTCTATAAATCTATCTATCTATTGATTGATTCTGTGCCAATGAAAATAATTCCCTGTTCTATTTTCCATTTTCTATATTTTTCCTTTCACAAAAATTACAAAGTGTTTGATAGCTCACAGAAGTTAAATGAAAAAAAAGGGGGTGCAGAGACATAACATGAATTATTAAGAGTAAAAAAAACACAGCCCAAAGGAAGATAGATATCACTTGAAAAAAATCAGAGCAAGAAAAAAAAAACATTTTGTAAGCCGGATAACACCCATTGGTAGATAGCAAAAAGTATTTAAATCAACCCAAATCCCAGTCGTATGAACAAGCGATCATCATTAAGCTCCCGAGCGGGAAGAACAGAAGTAAGGAAATTAACTCAAAAGAAAGAAGAAAAACAATTCAAAAAAAAGAAAACATCTTCCTTTACAAGTCCTCATCGCTGAAGACCTCCTCGCCAGCGCGGCGGCGAGCCATGCGGTCCTTGCGCTTCTTTCGCAGCTCGGATGCAGTGAGTTTCTTCGCCTTCTTGGTAGATTCGATTTTGTTACCTGGAGGTTTGAGTGGTTAGCAAGCAACTTTCGTATTGTATATATATATTTATACATATAAAGGAGTGTAGAATGAACAGAAAACATACCCATAGCATCGAACTTCTCCTGATCGTCCTCCTTCTCTGTCAAGCGGGGCCCCGTGCCCTGGCCCTGCACCCAATTGTGGCCGGACGGCTGCATGCGGCCGATGCCGTCCGATTCGGACTTCAGCACGGACCAGATTTCAGAAGTCAGCCCTTCGGTGAACTCAGAGGAGTGAGTGATGATGATCACACCGCCCTCGAAGGATTTCAGGGCCTTGGAGAGCGCTCCGAGCGAGTCGCGGTCGAGGTAGTTAGTTGGCTCATCGAGGACGATCAGATGCGGACGCTGCCACGAACAAGCTGCGAGCACGACCTTGACCCGCTGGCCGCCGGAGAGGCCGCGCATGCGCGAGTGCGAGACCAGCTCGGCATCGAGGCCGAAGAAGGAGCAGTGCTGTTCGATCTCCTTGCGGACGAGAGGGCGGAATTGGCCGCTGGCCAGGGCCTCTTTCTGGTCAACCTCGGCGACCATCTTGGCGTGTGAAGCGAGGATCTCGTTACGGGGGATCCAGGCATTGTCTGCCGTCATCATCGGGGTCCATTTCTCGTTCTTTAGGCCGACGTTCTCACCCAGGACGAAGGAACATTCGTATTCGTAGGAGTTCTTGAACTTGCGGCGGGAGTGGATACCGATGACGCGACGTTTGCTGCCGTCGATGTTGAAGATCTTGTCCATTGCCTTTTCGTCGTCCTCAGTGACGATCTTGTTAGCGCGATCCATGGTTTCACGATCCTCGCCGGTTTGGAAACGCCATTGGATGTATTCAGAAGGAGTTTTGTCGAGGTGGTTGTCGATATGGGCGAAGGCGTGCTGTTTGATGTAGGCGATACGGATGTTCTCGTGGTGGTAGATATCACCGCTGGTGGGGATAAGTTCGCCTGTCAGGACGTTGACCAGTGTACTCTTGCCAGCACCGTTGGGGCCAATGACGGCGATACGGGAACCGAGCGAACATTGGAAGGTAATATCTGCAATCTGGGGCTTGGAGGTGCCGGGGTATTGGAAGGACATGTTGTTGACGCGAACAATGGCCTTGGCCTTGGTCTTGACACCTTCAAGGAAACCTGGCTCTGGGAACTTGAACTCCATCTCCGAAGCCTCGAGCTCAAAGTAAGAGCGGGCAGAGGGGCAACGCTTGGCGAATTCAGTCAAGTTGCCACGGTATCTGCGGAGCTTGAAGCGCTCGTAGTGGATAACGTGCTGGACGACGTTGTTCAAGAACTTGCTATCGTGCGAGACAATAATGCAGGTGCAAGGAGAGTTGATGAGGTAATTCTCGAGCCAGGCAACGTTCTTGACGTCAAGATGGTTCGTGGGCTCGTCGAGCAGGAGGATATCTGGCTCCTCGAAGACAGCACGGGCAAGAGCAAGCTTCATCTTCCAGCCACCAGAGAGAGAGGTGATGGGCCCTTCAAATTGTTCACGGAGGAAACCGAACTCGACTAGACGAGCCTCGATAGCATCAGTGGAGATGTTGACGCCAACCTCGGCCAGCTTCTTCTGAGTCCAGCCTATGACGGTCTGCTCGGTATCAGCAGCATCAAGGTCGTGCTCGACGAAGACCGTCTTGACCTGATCCTTCTTGGGGAAACCCTCGACCTGCTCGTTGTTGATGGCGCGCATGAGGGTGGATTTACCGGAACCGTTGGGGCCGAGGAGACCATATCGTTGACCGCGCTTGAGGCGCAGGTGGGTCTGGTTCAGCAAGATCTTAGCACCGTAGGCCAAGTTGAACGTGCAGTTGCAAAGATCCTCGCCTTCCTCTTCGTCAGGCTCAACGGCAGCCTCGTCAGCAGCGCCGGGAGAAGCACGGAGACGCAGGGTCTCGGCAACGGATCTGGCGTCGGCTTCACCAGTAATGGCGGTGATGTAAGGCAGGGTGTTCTCGGTCCACGACGCCAGGTCAATGACTTTCTCGTCGACAAGCTGGCCGGCAATGGCTGCGATGTAAGTGATGGTAGGCTCGGAGGTGGCGATCTGAGCTTTGTGTTTGGCTTGGAGGATATCCTTGAGGATGGCAACGACGGTCTCAACATCGCCAGCCTTGGACACCTCGGGGATCTTGCCGTTCTTGACATGCCCAACACGGATGAGGGTATCAAGACCTTGCTTGGTCTTTTCACGGGCCTCAGGATCAGCCAGATTTTCGTAGTTCTTCTCAAGCGCAGGCATGAGTTTTGGCAAGAAAGCAGCGACGATCTGAGGATCCTCGACGAGCTTACACATGTTGTCGACAATGACAGCTGACTTCCGCTTGATGGCGGTATCCCGCTCGGCAAGACCACGGTCAAGCAGGGGCACCATGATAGCCAGGGTAGGCTCATGGACATCGGTAACGAAAGTAGTAGCACCGAGCAAGTGAATGGTCTCCGGGACATTCTCAGGCTTGGCGATACACTTGATCAGCTCGGGAATGAAGCGTTCGATATCCTTGTTGACGATCAGGCCACAGACTTTCTCCATGATGCTGTAGGCATATTTCTTGACTTCTGGCTTGGTATCCCACATGGACTCGGACACCACGGGAATCAGATCTGGAACGCGGTAGGCGAGCTGGGCCGGAGAGGTCTCGACGAGGGCCTCGACGCACTGCAGACCCGTCATCTTCTCCTGCCATTTTTGAGCAGAGAGGATGGAGTTGATGATGGGGGGCAGAGCAGCCTTGACGGAGTTTGGATTGATGGCCTTGACAAGGGCAACAGCGGCAGCTTGAGCGACATTCTTCACTGCGACCATCTTGTCGCCAACCGCTGCCAGAGTGGGAGGTAGCAGGGTGACTAGGTATGGCTCGAAGGCTGGTGCAACAGACGAATGAAGGGCGATGGCGAGGATAGCCTCGAGGGCGCGCTCACGGGCACCGGCATCTTTTTTGTTTGCGAGTTGCTTCTTCAATAGTTCGACAGCCCTGAAAAATGCATGTTAGCTGGGTTTTTTGTTTGGTGTTTTCACTGCCCAAGGCAGAGACGAAAGTGTGTGCATACTTGGCTGGGAGAACCTGCTCTTCGACAGGGCCATTTAGAAGGGTAGCAATGTTGGTAGCGGCGGCTTTAGCCTCGTCAGGAGTCTTTGTGAGTGAGAGTGATTTGAGGAGTTCTTCGAGGACGGCGATGGATTTGGAAGCGTCTTTGGCAGACATGGCTGGGGTAGAAGGGGCAACGTCGACAGCAGGCATTTTGAGAGAAGAAAACAGGACTTTTGGGAGTTAAAAAAAGGGAAAAAGGAGAAGAAGAAGAAGATGAAGGAAAAAAGGGTATTTATTAAGAAAGGGATGTCTTTGCAGAAGGAGAAAGAGGATGAGAAGTTGGATTCTTATTCGATTTGTAGCGCCCAAGAGAAGAAAAAAAGCGTCTTCGCAAACGCGGAGGAAAATGGGGGCCAGAGAAAACCGTCTATGGAGGATTCTATATTTTGTCTATCACAAGAAGAAGCCGAGGAAGCCGACGAGAAGAAGGAAAAGAAACAAGGGAAGAGTGGAGATGGGAGACAAGGAGGACGAGAAAGATGGAGAAGAAGAAGAGAGGAAAAAAAATGTGGACGGCAGAAGTTGGAGTCCCTTTTAAAATTTTCGAACTTTTTTTTTTTTGGACTTCCCCTGCGGCGAGGGTCCGCGCGCTAGTCCGCAAAGGGAATGGCGGTCATTTGGTACAGGGATGCGCAGCGCAGCGTGACAAATGCGCGGCCGTGGTTGGGCAGGGCTGAGTGCGGTGATCGTATATGGTATGGTATGGTATGGTATGGCAGACTATAATACGGTACGGTACGGTATCATCTGGCCAGGCATGGCTGACTCATGGACACATCATATAGTTACTATGCCACTATATATTTACTATTTAACTGCTATGTCCTATTAACTCTTGGATTGGCTTTTTCTGCCTGTTGTTGAGCGGCTTCAGGGTAAGTTGTAACTAAGTATCATCATCATCATCATCATCACCCGCTGTCAGGACCCAAGCAGATAACGGGCATCAACCAATCTCTGGATCGTGGCGGTGTGTGTCTGCAACCCTAATCAAATGCCAAACGCCAGCCAACTCTCTCACCAGCTACGGGTTCCAGCCAGTTCCAGCCAGACGGAGGATGCCGGCCGAATTTTATCAATTTATTGTGTGTTTTTTATTTACACCGCCTTTCTCGGCTGGGTTGATTGACAATAAAAAAAAAATAATAAATCCAGAGAGCTCTTATCTTATGACTTATCTACCAACCCGGGGAGATTTGCTTACCAGAAATGCTTTTTGAAACGCTGGATCCCTCAAAGTAAAATAAATATATTATCATCATCAGCATCATGTATCAGCCTTCATCGACCACGTACGTGTATTCATCCACACAGAGTAGCAGATAATAGGGGTTCGCCAGCGGATTGGCTGGTCCCTGGGGACAACGGGGTTGGACAGCGTAGTTAACCATGATGGTCTTTCTGACCAAATGCCAAATGTAAACATGGTTGGCTATGCGCAGCGGGAGCCTGGTCCGCAAATGTATGTGTGTTATTTTTAAAAAGCAGAAGCAAAAAGAAGCAAAGTAAGGAAGAAAGGAAGAATAGAAAGAGAGAAGTAGGCTTGTGAGTTTGTCAAGCAAAAATAGAGGTCGAACTAAACTCTTCTCTGTCAATGTATGTGTAATGCATTGCTTCTCTACCCTGGGGCACCCAAACCTTGAAACTCAACCAACCGTACCAAGGGTCTGAAGGTGTGGATAGACAATTGGCTCGGGATCAGGGTTGAGCCCTGGAGGGACCGGATATCGGGCACAGCGTGGTGTTTGTTGGCAAGCTCTGTTGGTGCCGATGAGCTGCCGGGTAAATATATACATATGCATATATTAGAAATTCTCAAAGGCAACCAACATCTATCCGTCTGTCCACGATGCGACGATCTCTTTTTTTCATCTCTTCCTTGTCTCTGGTCAGCGCCATAACCATGCATTGCACACAATGCACCTTTCATAGACATCTTGCCATACGACGCCCGCGCGAATGGCTACCTGCTGTTTCCTTTGTTCGAGCTCCTGGCTGACAAGGGACACCTGTGGGCCATCTTCATCCTCTTCTCGCCACGGCACCAACAAGATCGGTCCCTTCAGATTGCGTTTTTCTCTTTGATTCCGCGTGCTGGTAGATCCCGAAACCAACAGTGTTCACCATGTCGTTCAACCAAGCCGCTTCACGGCTTCACGGCTTCACGAGCTCAAAAGGAACCTCGTGTCTCCGATATATCCTCCATGTATATATTAAAATATCCATTATCACCGTACTTCCTATCGAGTGGAGAATATTATTATGGTCCCTTTTTCATCACCAAAAAGGGACTTCAGATGGTTCTCAATACTCGGATACGCTGATAAATGCGAGTTCTCGTTGATGGCACCTCCAACAGCGACCAGTCCAGCCTCTACATTACATTTGAAGACTGCTCAACAAAACAAAAAAGCCAAATAAACATCCATCATGCCGCCCGCGGGATCTCCAGCCACGCTCTTCGCGTCCTCTCCGCGCTGGTACGGGAGCATAGACAACAGACAGCAACCGACCGTTCATGAATACACTGAAGAGGCGGGAAACCCTTTCAAGGACATCCCCAGCCCCACGGAGAGCTGCTCATCAACCTGCTATCAAACCCCAAGGGCCGATCGGTTCTCACCCACACTGCCTACCATCAGCCTCCCAGGACGCCAGACGTCCTTCTCCAAGAAAGACGCTGCGGCGCTTCTGGAAGAAGATACAGCACGAGCAACCCAACCTCCAACCGTGAACCTATCCCCCACAGAGAAAATGGAGAAAATAGAGAAAATGCTACATACAGATCACCCCTTTGACGCGGAATTCCTCCCTCTCCCACCGACGCCCACGATAATCTCCCAACAGACCTCTGACGACCGCTACTTCATCCCCACTAGAGAACTCCCAATGCCGCAGCGCGGTTGCTGCGTGCAGCTCGGCCTCCTCCTCGTCGCCCTCTGCCCCATCCTCATCGTCCCGCTCTTCTGCACCTTCGCGCTCCTCGGCCTCTGGATCCCAAAATCCGGCGGTGAAAACGCCCTTGCGCTGCTGCCTCAACTGACGGCGCCTGGTGTCACCATGACGTTGATGTCCGTGCCGACGGAGACCATCACTCTGACTGTGTCGCCTACAAGCAGCGCCCTCGTGGAGAGCACGAGCATCGTGGTCGATGACCCGGCGATTTCTATATACCCTGATGCTGTGCGTCCTAAGGGAGGGCTATCTCCTTAAGTTACTGGGGAAGTGGGTAGGGTTTTGCTACATTTGTTCGCTCGAACTTGTTGAATTCGATGGGGTTCATTCGTGAGCTGCATTTTCGTATGGTAGCTGGTGAAGTGAAATGAAGTCACTTGGCTGGACATATATTCTATAAAAAAAGAAAAAAAAGAGATTTTTTCCCCCTGCCTTTCCAATACCCCTCGAATGTATATTTCAAATATATAGTACATTTTCACCACACTCAAGAATGTTATTGACATCACCTTGATACGTTAAATGACTCTAGAAGCACACTATTCACTGGACCAAACTCTATATTTCTAACCGGTGCATACGATGCATTTCCAGATATCTCGTTCTTGGTTCATATTTACTATGATGTTTGGAGACGCATCACCTACTCCAAAATGCTTCTTGACCTTGAATTGCAGCGGGACTGTGACTTCAGGGATGCAATGCTATTGCCTCCAACTTGATTCCCAATTGCCTTCTCCCTCATGTTGAGTTTCGATATTTGCCGTCCTGTTTGATACATGCCAAGCAGAAATTCCTTGTTATAGCAATCATGGTGCCATATGTTCCGTGGAAAATAAAAGGCACATCACATTGCGATATCGCAGCAAGCTCCTTCTTTGCGTCGATACGGAGTAGGGCTTTCAATTCTTGCAATTCCCCTTCTTGGGACTACTCGCCTGGCAAAAATCGTATCGAAATATTTGTCACATTGGCAGTGGTAGTTTGATAGTACCCAAGCAGACGTCTACGGGATAGAGTTATAATACTCCTAACGCACCTGTGTCATGGCGCCTTCTTTGCACGTCCGGCCACCACATTCAGCTCTTCCACCAACTGCCCTACCCTGATTCGAGAGATGGATCCGGGCTTCCCACACCCACCACACCCGCCGCCCGAATATACCAGTCGACCTGCCACTCCCCGTCGCGAGGTTCATGATTTCACCCACGATGCTGCCCGCTCTTCCACCTCCGCAGGTTCAAGAAATACACCCCGCGGCGCTGTATTCCGCCCGCAAGGCGAAGATATTCTTCCTAACGACTCCCGCTCGACGTCCCACAAAATCGCCGGAAACGAAGACTGCATCCCCACCCATATTCTTGCTGAGTCAATAGAGTTAGCAGAGCTGCATCGTATGGCATTAGAGTTAACGTCTGAGCATGGTGTTGCTGGCAATGATGCCGGATCGCAATATGATGATTTTGGGGAGCTAGATGGTGCCCACCCTCACGGTATTGGCGCAGCAGTTGACGACAATGCATTGCCAGGATACGAAGACTTCGTCGAGCCATATGGACGGGCCGTCCCTTCAGTACAGACAGGCATCTACCATGGACGAATAATGCCACGGGAAAACGCTTCTGCATTGGGCTATGGACCTGGAAATTGGTTCGCAAATGCTGCTCCCGCGTTGTCAACTGTACAGCCGGGGCTAGCAACACACGCACATACTAACTACCCTGTACCGTATGAAGTCAGGTTTTATCCAAACGTCCACCAGGTTCGCCTGGTCGGTGCGGGATCAATTCGCGTCAACGCGGGAGAAGGTAATAGCAATCATGGTCTGCACGATACAGAGCCCGCGCAGGGGAATATCGCACCAGCTAACACTAATGCAAACCTGCCAAAGCCTCCAACACCCCCAACCCCTCCGCGCCCCCAAAACAACACCGATAACGAAAGCGCTTCAGCAACCAGCCCACCCGCGGACGGAGAGTATGAGGACTGGGACGATCGCCCCGGACCACCCCCAAATCCCAACGATGACAATGCCGAAACTGGCCCCAGCGCGCGCATAGTGTACCCCCGTCCTACTGTTAACTTGAAGCACGCCATCTGGGTACTTGTTGGTCTGACTACTCTTGTCACGGTCGTTGTTTCTATAGTGTTAACTAGCCGGCGGACGAAGTAGTCGAAAGTGGGCGATACTAGCCACCCCGCATCGCCGCCCCGTCACGCCATTTGCGCTCTCTCCTACCAATGTTATCTAATGACACATTCCACGGCGGCGCCGGACGATGATGATCTGATTGGGGAAATGTGGGATTGCGATTAGGGGTGGCCTTGGTATGTTGGTGTTTGGGTATTTGGTGTCCCGTTTCTCGTGGTTGTGTGTTTAAAGACAGGGGCTGGTGGGATGCGATAATTAGTACGCAGTATGTTTTCAAAATAGCGGGTGCTGGTTCCATTCTCTATAAGGGTTTTGTTATTTTGTTATTTGTATTTTATTTTCATTTTGCTATGTTCTGAACTGTCCTCCCCCCTTCTTCCCCACGGGTTCTCGATTAGTCCTTCTCCTTGAGTTCCTCCCTGGCGCATTTGAAGAAGAACTGTTGTCCGTCAAGTCCTGGCTATGGGCGATAAGATAAGGTTTCTGGCCCCACTTATATAATCAGAGGGTTTGTCCATTGCGTAGAACCAACAATTTTCGGCGGCTGATGTATCTTGCCTTATTATTAAATTGACTCTTCTGCAAAATCCTCGGGATCGTTAAATAAGATCGTCTGTAGACAGCTTGCTTTTGATTTTCGTCGAATGTGTGGTGCAGGATAATTGCGGCGGGGGGATTTTTCTTTGCCTAAAATCTTCATCATCTCCTTCTGTGGGGGGAGAAGAATAGGGAAAAAAAAAAAAAAAAAAATTATACCACCAACACAAATCCACATATGGCGATCCCAGAACATCTCCCAGCGTCCTTGGACCTTTTATACACTAGTACATCTTCTTCCTCAATTTTTAGATACGACGCTCTCCGGCTGTCGGACAAGGAATGCGAGGCCGTCCTTCGTCTCCCGCTAACAGAGCGCATTTGCGGTCGCCGCGCTGAAAATCCGGTCTCTCAGGACGGCATCAAGAATTGCCGCCTGTCCTATATCGACTTCGTCTGCGGAAATATCGACGCGGTCTTCCGCGCGGACGACCCTGCCACTGCGCCGGCTACGCGCTCGCGGCTCCTTCACATAGGCATCGCTGCGTTGTCTGCGTTCCTTCAGTCAAATGTCACTGGCCCTCCGTTAGCGTTTCGGGCGCCAGATCTACTGATCCCAACGTTCTTAACGGACACAAACGATGGGGCCCCAGGTGTGGCGCAAGCTCTGCGATCGTTGCGCGAGGCGATGGTGCGCAGCTTGACTGTTGACGGGGAGGCGGCGTATAAGCTTACCCCCAACGTCGAGCTGTTCTGTCTTGCTAAAGCGGTTCTGAATCATTCGGCCATCACACCCACTTTCAATGGGGAGGGCGACGTGGCATTTGCGGCTCCTTTGGTGGCCTGGGGTTCTCGGATGAGGGTTAATTTCCTGCACCAGAAGATGTTATCGGAGAATACGACAACGTTGCAGGCAGCTGTTTATACCGACTTGGAATTTCTGGCGGGGGAGATTCTGTCATCCAATCCTTCGTCGTCGCGAACTGCGGAAGAACGTGCAAGGCTCCTTATAGAGAGAGCCACGATTCATACCCATCATGGATTCGATGCCAAGGCTCGAGCAGATCTTGAGCGTGCAGCGGGTGAAACTGGGTTCCAATATGCGTTGACTGGAAAGCTGGGGAAGCGGACGAAGTTCCAGGACCGTGACATTAGCCAGCTAGTCGTTTTAGCGAAGAGTGCAGATGAGGGACATGCGTCGACTAAGGAGTCGAATCATAAGGAGGATCTCTCGGCCTTGGAGCCGCAGACGCACACTACCGCAGCGGAAGGCGCCAGACCCAAAACTTTGGATCTTAATGACGACACACTTTTAGAAGCGATATCCTTCAAGAAGGACGAGCCTGTGGAAGCACAGGAGATATCTATGACGGTTCAGGATCCCTCATCCCTGCCACCAGTTCTTGCAGCTCTGGACCCCTCGAACCAGCCAAAGTTGAATGCATTGGATTCCATCATCCTTCTTTCCATCGCATCCGCGATAACAAACACCTCTCCAGAGCATGGCCTTACGAGAGAGGAAACGCTGCCCTATGCGACACGGGTTCTTGATGGTGGAAGCTCGAACTGGCAAGTTTATTCCCAGGCCCTGCTGGTTCGAAGTAAGATCGAAGGCTACAGGTCACGGACGGTGGAGCGAGGGCTGCTCCAGCTACAAGCACTTGTCGACCAGGTCATCGCTGATACTGCGTCGGATCCAATTTCTGGTGCCGATAAGGCGGCTGAACAAGCCACCACCTTTCTCCCGCGCCCTGAAGCATCAGAGTCGGCACCCGCAAGCGACCGACTCCAGTATATCTGGCTGTTAAATTTCTCTACGAGATGGGACCTCGAAGCCGAGCTTGCTTCGCGGTGGGTCAGCCTGGGCGGGCTCCGCACTGCTCTTGACATTTACGAACGATTGCAAATGTGGGCTGAAGTTGCCTTGTGCTACGCCGCTACGGAAAGGGAAGAGATGGCTAGGATGCTCGTGCGGAAACAGTTGTTTAACCGTACGAATCCTGCCTCTACGGATGACAATGATACATTCGAAGGGCCCGAGCTTGTGCGGCTTCCAGCAGATGCCCCACGCTTGTTTTGTATTTTGGGAGACATTGACAAGGACCCTGCAATGTACGAACGTGCATGGACGGTTTCGGATCAGCGGTATGCCCGTGCCCAACGTTCCCTTGCACGCCATTATCTCACTACTAAACCACCGTCGCTGGAAAAAGCGGAGGAAGCATACCGCAAGAGTTTAGCTATCAATCAGCTCAACCATGGCGCCTGGTTTGCACTTGGATGTGTGCAGCTAGAACTGGAGAAATACGAGGATGGGGTGGAATCCTTTACACGAAGCATCCAGCTGGATGAAACAGATGCTGAGGCCTGGAGCAATCTCGCCGCGGCATTGATCAACCTTCCAACGCCAACCATCATAGAAAATTCGAAACTAAATCCCCCAGCACTCGCCGCAGATGAAGAGGAATCCACACCTATCCCGCAGAGACCCGATCCCCACAAGCATAAAAGAGAAGCCTTGGCCGCCCTCAAACGTGCCGCCAAATACAAACACACTAATCACCGCATTTGGGAAAATCTCCTCACCGTCAGCGCATCTATCCCGCCCCCAGAAACTCCCTTCCGTGACGTCGTCTACGCACAGAAACGGCTCATCGAGCTTCGCGGCCCCAAAGAGGGGGAGAAAGCAATCGACATCAACATCCTCACCGCCCTCGTCAATACTCTTACATCAGGCCATGCGTTTGACAGCGCCAGAACTGACACGGCTGATACTCCTGCACCAGCTCCGGTCTTCCCCCGCGGAACCCTCCCAGCAATCATCCTCAACCTCCTCGACGAAAACGTCATCCCGCTCATCACGCACTCGGCACCGATGTGGCTGCTTGTCGCGAAGGTAGAGGCATGGCGAAGGAAGCCCTCCCGTGCCCTCGCGGCTCACGAGAAGGCGTGGCGTGCTACCGTCGCGTCGTGCACGCAAGGAGCGTTCCGGATGGGCGATAAGGCGAAGTGGATGGAGGTTGTGGAGGCGACGGAGAGGATGGTTCATGAGGGATATGCAACTTTTGGGCCAATGGATAAGGAGATCGAGGGAGATGGGGTTCCGGGAGAGGATTCGAATAGGGGGGCCCCGGAACTTGTTGCGAAGGATTGGAGATTTAAATCTCGTAGTGCAGTGAGGAGCGTGCAGGGGAAAGGCAAGGAGTTGTGGGAGGGAACTGAAGGTTGGCGGCGATTGAAGGAGTTGAGTGGTGAGGTTAGTTAGGGGGGTAATGTAATGAGGGTAATGAAGTTGATAAGGGCGATTATGATTACTGATTATGGATTCCTTTGTTGAACGATTTACGTCTGTCTTATGTCTAATATAGAGAGCAGAGAGATAGACAAAATGGGAGGTTTTATTGCAAGAAAGTAATGCGCAGGGTGACGAAAGATTGACGAGACGTTGAGCGAAGACTCCAGGCGAGAACAACGGGTGGTTAGAACCAGCGGCTTGAAGTAGGGAGCCATGAAAAAGGGGGCAAGAAGGACAACCCTAGAAGTGATTCAGGTGTGTTAGAAGGTCCGGGTATTGGCCTAACAAACATTTGGGAAGTAGGCGCCCAGCAGAGCAGAGGAAGGGAGGCAGCGTGCTCCATTATATTTGGAGGGACTCCTGAAGCATTGATTTTGAAAAAAAGTAGAAAAAATAGAAAAAAAAAAGGGCAAAGGGGGGCAAATTGCATATTCATTGTGCAGTTGAATCCCCCCAGAATATTCACATCATTTAGAAATCGAATCAATAACGCGTAATGACAGCTGGCCTGGTCCATTCTGCCGTAGCAAACTTTGCCGTGATCGAAGCCGTGACGGCAATCTCTTGTGGCTCTAGTTCCAATGCTTCTGCACCAGAGCCAGCGTAGGCAGCTCTAGCCATCGTGTATCGACGGACCGGCTGCGAACTAGATCCAGGGAAAGTTCCACCCTGGTCGCAAATTTCCACCACGGACACCTCTCGAGCAACCACCTGCGAGTAAAGCGTTGCCTTTTCAATCGCGTTTAGCAGTGCCTTGTTCTGCGCCTCCTTGTTTAGCTCCGCAGATGTCGCATCCGTCAGCCGCCAGTCGATTGACTGCACTTCTACGAACGGCATCATGAACAGTTGGGATGCGATCTGGCCGAGCTTGGCAAAGTCGCGAAAGACTGCAGAGAGGCTGGCAAAGGCCGAGAACTGGCGTGGGCCAGTGGGTATGTTGTTTATGTCCGTGGGGATTCTCGAGGAGGTGGTGATTGACCCAATATTAAAAGTCGTGATTGGTGCATCTGAGGTCGCATGGCTATCCCCCGTGCTGCGAGATAGCGCGCGGAACTTCTCGTGGAGTGTGTTTACTGCCCTGGTAGCGTTTTGGGCTGCTTCGTCCTGACTTGAACTCTCCGCCGCCACACGCACATTGAGGCAGGCTCTCTCAGCAGGACGGCTCAGTCGGCATTCACCAGAAACGTTTATTTCGAGAACAGGCATTTTAGTTGCGTTTGATGTCTTAGAGGTTTGAAGGAGTAGTTGCAGGATGCAGGTGAGGGGTATGTCGACATCAAATGAATGAGGCGTCTCTTAAGGCTGCCGATTGGGAAGTTGTTTGGAGAATGATAGATCCTTGACCAAATTGATTGGGCTCCTCCAGCCTTCGCCTAATCACAATCTGCACGTTATTGGCTCCGAACGGACGATGGAAGGGTGAATAAAAGGGATTTCCAAGTGTGCCCTCTGTGTGATCTTTCAGTTGTCCAGGAATTGTCATGCTATAACTATTTGTTCCCTTTTCCCCTGAGGGCAGGCTTGCTTCCCCCATCATCCACAAACAGGAAGTTATTTTTTTCTTTTTTTATTAAATAAAAAGGACATGGGACAAGGAGGCACTGAGCAGGGAAGGAAAGCAGCTATGAACCTCTCGAACAATACTCAGGAGGAATATCTAGACAATCTCCTGCTGAAGGTGAAGGCAATGAAATCCATGAGTAAATAAATGCTGCTGACTAATGCTCCTCACGGAGCTTTTATCTCTCGCCGTTGCTACTCCGTAACTAACTAACTACTACTGGGATTCACGACGAAGAACCCAACGAGAACAAAAGCGAGAACAGGCGAGACGGCACAAGCTGAAGAGTCGCCGGAAGCCACGCATTTAAAAATGTGTTTTAGCTTGTTTCCTTGCCCTTGACCCTGCCGTCCTTTCTTCATCCTGCATTCCTCCAACACAAACACAAGTTTTGTTGTTGAGAGGCTTCATTCCGCTTCAGGTGCATGTGATTTCCCACCACTCCGAAGCACCACGACTTTTTACCTCCCCCACGACGACACGAGAACTGGGGGTGTATCATTTGCGTCACTCTCGTCATGGAGAAATTTTCTCAGTTCAGAGATAGAGGTATGCCCTTTGCCACAGAACTGCCCTTCGTGCACACCACACAGCTTAAACCATCATCGTGGCTGACGAACGTTTTCTAGGTTCGGGAATCGCTCCTTTCCTACCTATCTCTTCCCAACACTCCGGCATATATCTCCCATTCCACATATTTCTCTTCTGCATGCGGCTGCCGCTGCTGATCACCGCATTTGCCGCCTACTTTTGCGTGCTCCAATGGCTTCCCATAGGATCCCTGGGTAAGAAAGCCTCCTTGTGGGTAATGCTGGGAATTCCAGGTATATGGTGGATTGATCTTCAAATAGATGGCGTCAAAAAAGGGTATGCGATTGTGTTGCTACACCCCCGGGCTCCACCGGGTATGTCCGCTACTGGAGCTCTAACCATGTGTTTGACAGATCGCTAGCCTCGCAGCACTCCTCCCCACTCCCAGGGCCCGCGTCCGTAATCGCTTCGTCATTTACTTCCCCAATCGACGCTCTCTACCTTGCCGCCATATTCGATCCCATATTCACAGTGTCGTATCCTTCAACGTGCAAAGTCCAGCAGATATCCCTTGTTCAGGCTATTCTTCGGGCATTCGCCCGCCCCGAAGTGAAGCCACCCGCAGGCTCGCGCCTTGTGGATATAGCAACGCTGATAAAACGGCACCCTAACAGCCCCATTGTAGTATTTCCTGAATGCACGACGACGAACGGTAAAGGCATCCTGCAGATGAGTCCGTCTCTCGTCGCGGTCTCTGCAGCAACAAGAATTTTCCCTGTCAGCCTGAGGTACACCCCCGCGGACATCACGACTCCGATACCACAATCGTACAGGTCTTTCATGTGGAATCTCCTGAGCAAACCTACCCACTGCATCCGCGTGAGGATTGCGGAGAGCGTCCTGCTCCCGACCCAAACCAAAAGTACGAAAAATAATAATATTCATAACGGATCCCGCCTTGGACCCACAGACGGCCAGCCTTCGTATGACCATAATTACTTTAACGCATTAGACGCGAGGCTGGCCGAGTCACGCATGGATCTCGATGCGTCGTTAACGAGCATGGAACAGACGCTGCTAAACCAAGTTGGTGAGTCGCTGGCTCGACTGGGGCGAGTGAGACGGGTTGGACTGGGTGCCAAGGATAAGCAGCAATTTGTCAAGTTATGGACGACGACAGGTAAACGAAAATAGTACCGGTGGTTTTGACATAAAACAAATCTTTTCCTACACACCACTATTTTTAATCCATATTTTCTCTCTAATCCTTTTCCTTTTCCTTTCCCTTTTCTTTTTTCTTTTCCTTTGTAATTTCCATTTCATTTACCTGCTCAGCCGGCTGACACTGGCTCCTTTTTTTTTTTTTTTTTTTTTTTTTTCAATTGGGCATTATTGCCGGTTGGCTCAAACAAGGTTGGCTCACGCCGTTTTTCATGAATAGTTATTCTGTGCTGTATGCATGTGCCGGCTGACGACAATGGAATTCATAATAAATAACTTACCCCCAACTGTTTGTTTGTCTAGATTTTATTGCCACGTTGATCTGCCAGGTGTGCCTAAAAGGCGATTAATCACTGTTCGGTACAGAATCGGCTGGCATACACATCGTAACTCGTTAGAGACACGGGCAGCCCATAGGAGTCATCATCTAGTTGTACAGTGCATGTGCAGTACTGCGCATCACATAGAAGGTAGACGAATCTAGGAATTCATCTCCTCCCACTCTCCACTTGCATGCCTTGCCGCGCTATTTAAAGAAACCAGAGCCCGCAGATCCAGGACGAATTTCTCAGACCTCGATGCTTCTATTCGCTCATGCCGCGGAACAGGCCAAGGGTTAACTAAAAGATGCTAGCCTCGTCTGCAGTCCTGCTCACTGAATTCGAGCTCCCCGCGCTGCTGCGTACCAAACGCGCTAAACCAGGGCGGTGAGACGGTCATTTCGTTGCATCGGCAAATAAACCCGTAGGAAGGCATGGTTGTTGTACTCCGTAGTCAAGATGATGGTTCATGATGTGATGATGCTGCGTAAACATGCATATTTGTCCATCCGCGGTGCTCGAAGGGGGCATTGCGGCTTGCGGGGCTCCTTTGTTAAACTACAAACTCAATTTTTAGGTTAACTAACCCTATATGCTTAAATCTGCAGTTAGGCCGTCATAACGTAGAAGTTCAGAGTGGATGGAGTAGGGTGGGATTCGATTGCGACTTTGCCCCGCCGCGCCTGCAAGGATTCAAGCCTTGTCGGGCCTTGTATGTATCCTTTACTCCGTAGTTGACCTGAGCAAAAGAACAAAACAAGCAAGGAACATCTCAACTACAATCGTCAACAACAATATTGTCACTGGCTTGTGTGTTGTGTTCTCTTCGTCCAGCAGCTCCTGGCCATTGATCAACTATGGTCCGGCCCCCCATGGCTTTGCATGGCGCATCTGCGGTTCCTCTCCCAGACCACTTAACGCCCCAGCAAGTAAGTATTAGCCGAAGAACCCTGCCGCTACGTTGCTCTCTCGATACTTTGTACTGCGTATATAGAGTACACAAGCTGCGAGTTACCCGTCAGGTGCAGCGCTCTCTGCCTTGACAAATGCCGTTTTGGCCGCGAGTTGCATGCTAGTTCGTGGCTTGTATGCACGAAGCCAACATCTCTCACCAGTCCATATTGGCTATTGGACAGCGCCCTTGGAATTCGGGTGCAGGCCCCAGCAGATCTCACACCCAAAGCCCGTCTTAGCTTCACCAAAAACGCCGTTTGTGGATTCTAGTCCGGTTTGGGGTGTGGATATGGCTGTCTGGGACGAACAAAAAGAAACAAAATAACCGCTATGATGAAACGATGGGGTCTCTGTTGACGATATGTCTTCCTCCTTCAGGGTCTAACTTCCTTTAACTAACTGCTGAAGAAACGGAAACAAGGGATCGATCCAGATACACCTACATATCAGACATTGAGGGACCCCGACCTGTCACAGCCTCACGCAGCCATGTCTGTGCATTGCGGATGTCTGATCCTTGTCTGTCAGTGCGAGCATGCCCAATGATGCCAAAGAATGGCCGCCCGGATCCTGGGAGGTTTGTCGTGTTAGCTGCGATTTCCGGCTGGTTGGCTCTAAGAAAAGAAACAGAACAAAAATGATAAATGATACCGCATCCAGATATCTGACACAACCCCACCAGGTGTGATCTCCTTCCAACAATTGTGCGGAATCCCTCGCTACTGTTGGTTGTGCTCCACCTCTCTCAACATGCCACCACCACTGGTCCGGCAAACAAGCGGTTTTCTATTCCCCTCTTGCGTGTTGAGGCAGCTCTGATTTTGAACTTCCTTCTTGTCTGGCCAGCCTCCCGCCTCATAGAGGAATCCTCTCCCTCCCTGTTGTGAGGGACTACTTATTTCTTCTCCTCTATTTGATATCTGGCGCGCCGAGCTATTGTCTATCCATGCGACAATAACAAGGACACCAGCATTATGACATTCTTTGGCATATCGAACCCGAAGGCCTCCTATCCCTATCGGCGATCCAATACACCCACTATCAGTGCTCCTCTTCCCTTCCCGCCATCCTATTACCTGCAAAATATCTCCACGCCCATATTAAATCCCCCACTGCTGCACCCAGGGCTTGCCAATACAGACCCCTTTCAACAGCCTCCTCGCCCTGCGCCTCCACCTCCTAATGCCGTGGCTTCTCAACAGACCCGGCACTCGCCTCATTTTGTTGTCCACCCTGCACCACCCCCTTTGGAAGATCACCCTGCATTTCGAGATATTCAACTCTCCATGAACAATGGCAGCACCTTCTTCAGTGCCGACGATAAGAGCAGTGGCGGTAGTCAAACCTTCATCCCATTTAGTCCTTCGGATTACGAAATTTCAAGGCTGTCTAATTTGTCGTCAAATCGTCTTCCTCCCACCCCGCCCAACTCCCCGCCCATCCCGCCATCCCGCTCGCCTACCCCCGCACAGGCCCGCTCTACTCCCACTTGGAAGGCCTCCGAACAACCAACAGAGCCTTTACAAGCATTCGAGCAACATTCCAAATGGCATCATTATCACCGTCACCTTTATCACCCTTTGAACGACAGCGCCCCTACCACCTCCAAAGGATCCACCCGGGCTAGCTTAAACAGCGATAGCGACAAAGACCATAGCTCCTCTGGTGGATTTGTTGAGCTTTCAGATCTTCTTTCCGGGAAGCTCGACGAAGTCATCGCCTCTATAGATGGCCAGGAATTTAGTGGCATGGAGAAAGATCTACGTAGGTTACTCTCAGTCATCGCAGAGCGTAATATGTTAAATAACCAAATTTTCCTTTGAAGGTGTGAGCTACCTCCCCCCTCAGCCGTCACTTCGTGGCGGGGACTCTGGCGGTGGACGTCCATTCCGAGTACGCAAACGCCGCACGTACCCGTCCAGTATCAATTACTTCTCAAAAGTCTACCATTATGCAAACTCTCGGCTTCCGGATTCCCTCACGCCATTGCGACTGTAAGCTTTTTGGCTGCTCACTTGTCAACTTACTCGCTAGTTATTCATCTAATTAACTGCCTCCCTTTGTCCCCCTTACAGTTACATTCCTACATACCCTCTCCTCTGCCTAGCCGCGCGCTTCTCCCAAAGAGTCTACAACAAACCCACCGGGGCTGAGCGGGAAACCCGGGTTGAAGCCGACTGGCGCCTGGGCACCAAGGCAATGGTCATAAAATCAGAGCCAGTCGACAACATGAACGTCATCGTCTTCGCCATCCGCGGCACGAACAGCTTTCGTGACTGGGCCACGAACATGAATTCTGACCCCGTCTCTCCAGAACACTTCTTAGACGACCGCGGAAATCTGTGCCACGCCGGCTTTCTCTCCGTTGCCCGCCGCATGGTCAAGCCCGTGGCCTTGCGACTGCAGCAGATACTTGATGAAAACCCATCGCGCATCGCTTACTCCCTCATTATCACAGGCCACTCAGCCGGTGGCGCTATCGCCAGCCTGCTGTACATGCATATGTTGTCGGGGACAGTAAAATCCGAACTTATCAGGATGCGCGACTTCTTTAAACGTGTGCACTGCATTACCTTCGGCTCCCCGCCGGTATCGCTCCTACCGCTGCAGAAGCCCGTTGGACCTGGCCGTGACCGGTTCCAGAAATGGCTATTCTTCTCGTTTGTGAATGAAGGTGACCCGGTACCCCGCGCGGATAAAGCGTACGTTCGGTCGCTGCTAGACCTTTATATCTCCCCGGCACCTCCACTGCCCCGACCCCCCTCCACAACCCCAGGGGAGAATACCTCCCAAAAATCAGCCTCGGCAAGGCTACAACAAAAATTATATCGCCTCGGAGGCAGGAAGGCTGCAAGCGATAGCAAACGCAACAAAAGAAGTACCAAGGGCGATTGGGAAAACGACCACAATCTGATGCCTACAGTAGTATGGAAGACGCCGCCATCGTCTCTTTGCGCTGCGGGGAATCTGATCCTCCTTCGCGGAGGCGATATGGAAAAACAGAAAAATAATTTGCAGGATGGGGTTTATGCTGAAGCATTTCTAATGAAAGATGACGATTTGCGAGACGTAGTATTCGGGGATCCAATGATGCATATTATGGAGCTCTATGAGCAGCGAATTGAGATTTTGGCCACGAATGCGGTGACGGCGCGGTTTTCGCTACGGTAAGTACGCCTCTTGAGGGGAGTAAATTCATTTTGGACTGGGATTAGGGTTATTATTGGAGTCTTCGGGGGAATATACCACTATAATAGATCGGTCTTACAGCATCACTTTACCTTGTCCTTTTATTTTATTTTATTTATATATTTATTTTGGTATTTTTCTTCATTCTCTTCATACCCCCCCTCTCTCTTTCATTAGGCGCGACTTGCCCCTTTTTACCCATGGTTTTATTTTTATTTTTTTCTGCCCTCATGTGTACTTTAAGAATTCACTCATTTGATTGCCATCTGTCTCCTGGTGCATATCCCTTTATACCCCATTGTTCACGCGCACAAATACCTCGGAATGGTAATATCCCCTGCAACACTTGACAGCTTAATGCAGCCTGAAGTGAAAACAGAGAAGGGCGTCTCGCCATTCTTCTCCCAATTTATCTCTTTGCCTACTATTTTCTTGTACATCTTGTTCTATGTCGCCTCCTGCCTAGAAGTATTTTGGCTGCATGGGTTGAGTACTAGACTTTCTCGAGGCCTAACTAAGGCAGGCAGATATGATTGTTTCCCAAAAGCGTTGATTTCTCATGCGCAAAGCATTTCTCTTTAGAGCCCCGTTTATAGATACATGTATATACAAGTGCGTTGGAATGGCGTTTAGATGTGATGTGATGTACTCCGCTCGAGTCCAAGAGAATATACCATATCCAGCGCGAAAAGTTCAGAGGGACGCTCTTTTCATGATACATATTTACAGTCAATAATTTTGGAATCTATCCCCTCGCATGTTTTTAATTAGCTTCAGGATAAAATAACCCAACAGCTAGTGACTTCTAATAACTGCCCCCGGTTTGCACTAGAAGTACAGAAAATCCCTGAATCGATATCCAGTGAATAAATAGATACCTGGGATATTGTCAAAGACGAGTCTAAAAATAATTAAATAAAATAATATAAAATAAAAATAAGAAATGCAGTGATGCAGTGGAAAGGAGGTTTCTATAGTGCGTCGGTGATGCATCCGTGACTTGCGTCCTTGACAGATCTGTATGGCGTAGTGCTATTAGCAGTGGTAATTACTCTTATATATAAACGACGAATACAACGAGATGAAAGACATAAAAAAGTAAACATCAAATACGCACCTAGCATATTTGCCCAGCGTCCCTCTCATTTTCATTCCCGTAACGGGATTTAGTCCTTTACTCTCCCTATCGGCCCATTCCTTCCTACGCTGAGCTAGGATGTTTTCGGAGACGTCAAGGTCGAGCAACCGTTTTTCGGCGTCAATGGTGATGACATCGCCATCGTGGACGAGAGCAATAGGGCCACCGACTGCGGCTTCGGGAACGATGTGGCCGATCAGGAAGCCATGAGAGCCTCCACTGAAACGGCCGTCTGTGATCAAGGCGACGGATGAACCTAGCCCTGCGCCCATAAGGGCGGAGGAAGGTTTGAGCATTTCTGTTGGGTAAGGGCAAAAGGATTAGCGCTGGATGTGCATAAAATTTGTTGCTGTTTCGGAAGAGTTGGATGCATGAACGTACCAGGCATTCCCGGACCACCCTTGGGCCCAGTGTAACGAATTACCACGACTGTCTTCTCGTCCTTCGAAATCTCATTCTGTTCTAATGCGGTAATAAAATCGTCTTCATGATCGTAGACCTTCGCCTTGCCAGTGAACTTGGTACCCTCCTTTCCTGTAATTTTGCCGACGCTGCCTTCAGGGGCCAGGCTTCCGCGGAGGATCTGGATGTGCCCAGTTTTCTTGATGGGGTTGTTGAGGGGTCGAATTATTTTCTGATCTGAAGGGAAGTCAGGAACCTTCTCGAGGTTCTTGGCCAGGGTTTGACCAGTCACGGTAATTCCAGAGCCGTTGATGAGACCTTCCTTCAAGAGGAACTTGAGTAATGAGGGAGTACCACCAATTGTATGAAGATCGGCCATAACATATTTACCGGAAGGCTTGAGATCTGCGAGGAAGGGGATGCGGTCACTGACTGACTGGAAATCGTCAATTGTGAGTTTAATTCCGACAGAGTCAGCGATAGCGATCAGATGGAGCACTGCGTTGGTGGAGCCGCCGGTGATGTTGACAAGAACCATTGCATTTTCAAAGGCCTGGCGCGTCAAGATGTCAGAGGGCCGGATATCCTCCTTGAGAAGGGTTTTAATTGCCTCCCCAGCCGCCAGGCATTCTAGATCTTTGGCTTTGGATTCTGCAGGGTTCGATGAAGATCCCGGTAGCGTCATTCCCATAACTTCGATCGCCGACGCCATGGTGTTTGCAGTGTACATCCCCCCACAAGCACCACCGCCAGGGCAAGCATGTCGGATGATGTCGTATCGCTGAGCCTCAGTGATCTCACCAGTTATGAATTGGCCGTAAGCCTGGAACGCAGACACGATGTCGATATCGGCGTTGTTTTGGGTTACCGCGCACCCGGGCTTAATTGTTCCGCCATAAACCATCAAACTTGGCCGGTTTACTCTTCCCATTGCCATAACGACGCCAGGCATATTCTTGTCACACCCGGGGATGCTGATGTTAGCATCATACCATTGACCACCCATGACCGTCTCAATCGAGTCCGCAATGAGATCCCGACTCTGCAAACTGTACCGCATACCTGACGTACCCATGCTGATAGCGTCACTGACGCCAACAGTGTTGAACTGGTAACCTATAAGTCCCGCATTTTGCACACCTTCGCGCACACGGTTGCTGAGATCGAGGAGATGCATATTGCAGGGGTTTCCGTTGTACCAGACGCTAGAGATGCCAACTTGAGCTTTCGACATATCCTCCGGCATTAGGCCCGTAGCGTAAAGCATGGCCTGTGAGGCACCTTGGGAAATGGGTTGCGTTACATGTTGGGAAACACTGTTGAGCTTCTTCTCCTGTGAGGACGAAGATGAATATGGGTATGGAGTTGCGGAGAAAGCTCGACTGGTTAGAGTGTTGGGGTTAGAGATGGCAGAATTCGAAACTTCAGCGGTTAGCGGGAATAGAATACCTTGAAAAGAAAACTTACCAGGACAATGGGAAGAGCAGTCTTTTGAAGCAGTTGGGCATCCGGCCCCGTGCTTGTAATCGGAGCATTGTCGGTACTAGTATATTTGAAAAATTGGGTCGAACCTAGCGTAAGTCAAGTTCTAGCCAGATTGCCGGCCAATTGGCGCACCACAACTTGGTAAAGTTCAGGTCAATCGATCTCAGGACTCAGCGGCCTCTGCGTACGATATGTGGATTAAATGACGAGTATGCAGACGTCGTGGCGGTGATGCGGAAAAGAGTGAAGAAGGTGACGATTTAAGCTCAAGCCGGCGTGGAATTAAGACTCGAGGCTTTGTAAGGGTGAGGGTCTTGGCGTGGCGGACTAGCCAATCGCGAGATGGGATAAAGGTCAGCCAGCAACAGTAAATATCAAATGGCATCTTTGGGGCATCTATGAGGACTATATTTTCCAATATTTTGCCGGCAATGTCTTGTGGACCTGGAGTGGGCATGATTCCCGCTAATCGAGAAGGTCAAACCTCCATACTGGTTGACAAACAAGGGCATTGATGATATGCTCCTGGAGGAATACAATCCACTTCGGGAAGAATTATGGCTGTACTCGCGAAGGAAGAGACAAACATTCCGAAGGACATTGCCAGAAAGCATCATGATATGCCGGTCATGGAATTGGCATGGTGGCATACCATGTCATTATCCCACTGTTCGCCTCCCATAAACGCCTTTCCACAGCTTCACCCACCGTCTGAACCCCTTTCCCTCCTCCTTTTGTTGCGATTGGTTATCTTCTCACTTTTTTCCTAGTCAGGCCTCCTCGAGGGAATATCTTGCGGAAGATACTTATCCCTTCCCCCCCCCCCCCACCCCCCCCCCTTTTTTTTCAAGGAGTGGATAGGTTCCATGCTAAAATATTAAGGCTAGGGAGCACAATGTCATGCAATGAAGTGCACAATGGAGTGCCACTTGAAAGAAGTATGTCGCTGTTTGATGCCTTGGGTGGGCAGACTGATGCCATTTTTGTAACCTAATTTTTAAAGCATATAGAGGAATGAAGAAATGAAAAAGGAAAACCATGGAAAAGGAAAAGGTTGTAAGAAGTTTTTATTAAATATATTCATATTATTCATATTGTCAGAACATATAAAATTCCAACTATATGAGGGCGCTGGGTGGTATGTACCTATGCGGGAAGGTGCTTGCTTACTAGGTACTGTCCTTATGCCATAAGGATCGGCACACCCCACTACTTTTCTGCCACAACAATATTTATGGCCTGGCACTGTAGGCTATCTCTAGACATCAAACCGAACATCCTTCGCTTCAGTAACCCTCTTGATGTCCATGATCAGATCATCTGCGCTTGTGAAAAACCCCACCCCGCGCAAGTCCGTGGTACCGCCAAAGTACAACCCAGCAAAGTTCCCATAGGAATCCAGCACAAAGGAACCATAATCCCCCCGTGTTCCAAACTCATAATTGAACTTTTTGTTGGTAAAGATAGTATAGGTCTTTGATTCAACTTCTTCCACCCAGGCCCCCATTTCGTCCTGTACCCAAGAATGCAAGGTTGAGCTTTCAATCCCCCCAAGTCTTCCAGCAGTAAACCCAGTCGAGCGTCCAATTTTAAAAACTTCCATGTCCGGTTCAATCGAGGCAACTCCTGGCACATTTTCGCCCATTGCGAGGAAGGATATAACATACTTCGGGGGAAGATCGCCGCCTGCTTTGGGGAGCTATATATTCCATCCGTGTTAACCATTGGATATTCAATATCCTCATTTATGGCACCTGCCATTCGATTTGTCACCTTTAAAAGCGGAAAATAGTAGCAGTATTAGAAGAGTGGAGGGTGGGGGCTCACCTTATTGCTAGTAATCCTTGACTCATCGACCTCAATTAACGCCCAGTCAACAGCCATGGAATTGCTCTGTCGATAGCCGGACGCGGCATATACCTTCCCAAGGCGTGCATCATCTTGGCCAAAATGAGTTTCGATTTTTTTAATTATTTGAAGTCCAGTATCAATATGCCGTTTCTTCACCATAAATTCAGCCTTTTCTCTAGGAGCGACAAGGTCGTTTTGGTCATTTAGTCGCCGTTCAATCTCTTGAAACGTACTATCTCGTCTGGCGTCTATGCTTTTTCTCCATTCTCTTGCCGTCTCTTCCGCATCCCCCAGGCTCGGAGAATCCATCTCTAAGTCATTAGTCTTATCACCAACGGTGATTCCCTCGCGCTGCCAAGTCTTCAAGGACGGGTGGCCACAGCCGTCCGGAGCGACCGAACGGAAACACGTAAGACCAAAAGTATGCCAATTCCCCTTTAGATTTTGGAGTCTGATAAAGCCCCCAAATGTGGACGCGTGATTTTGCGAACCCCTTGGTCCGATACTGCGGCCCATTGACATCCCCTTGGTGAACGTGTCATCAGTGAGGAGCATTCTATCATAGTTATTGGCGGTCCCGAATACTTTTTCCCCTCGAAGTATCTCAACACCAACATATTTGAGGTGATAAAAATCCAATATCCGCACAAGCTCTTCACGAATACTGACCCAGTCGTGCGTAGAAGCTTTCGACACTGTCAAGACGACAACTAGCGGTTTGGGACCAGACGGTTTACCTCGCCGAAATAATGATAGGGTTAGCCAGTCTCTCCCTCGTAACTTCAGAATCATCTGACGTTCCACGTTATTATTCCAGATTGGAACGACAGCTTCGGATGATTCAACAGGGTAACACTCCGTTCTTTCACCAGATCTCTCATCACGTAACTCAATATTTATCTCTGGCCTATTGGCACTGAGGTAGTATTTCCTGAGAGCTTCCACGACGGGGATCCATTCCTGTTCAGACTCCTTTGCGGTTGCTCTTATGAGCGTTGTGATATTTGGCTGTGATGTCATTTCCGCGGAAGTTTCGGTTAGATAATAAATGAAATGGGAGGCTTGCAGATCGATCTGGTACTCTTCAAGAATTTCCAGTACTCGCGGCTTCAAAATCGTATCCCATTCTTGCCTTAGAGGAGAGGAGAGTGGTACTGGCTCCCACTTTGTTCCTAACTGAACGAGTGAGGGAACGCCAGCGCGAAAACTTTGGACCCGTACGGTGATAGAATCATCGGAGTCTTCTGAAGACCCTTGATTTCTTCGAGACCTTTTCCCCGCAGATAAACTTGATGTGGCTGATCCTGATGATTCAGGACTCGCATAAGCTTCCTCCCAGGGATCATCATCCCATGGAATGGGGCGTTCTGCCATTAGAACTGGGGCTATGCCTCAGGGTTAAGAAATTTGTAAGAGTTGAGGGAAAATAATAATGCAAACTGTTGTGGGTCCCGAGACGATGAGTTAAGGGGCCTATATAAATATGTGCAAGAACGCGCTCCTTTGTGATAAAATAGACAATTAGGTTATCCATAGCAAAAAAACAATGTAACAATTTGTTAAGTGGTTGCGCTCATAGTGATATATATGCCCGTGGGTGTGGTGGTGTGGCCCGGGCCCCAGCGGCACCCATCCCACCATCTATACACTGCGACCGCCAGCCGGTTGCAGCATAGTGTGCGAACCACACCTTGATCAAAAGGATGTGAGGCGAGTTAAATCCAGAGCGTCTTGCCGTCAGACGCTGTGTATTAATCTAGGGACAGGGAGGAGTAAGGGTGTCCGTTTTGGCGAAGCTGTTTAAGTCTCACAAAACCTGCCTGGCAACAAGTTGGTATAAATGCCAGATGATGAAACGGGCTTTAACCTAAAGGAAAAAGAAAAAGAGATAAAGTTGAGATGATCTTGAAAGACCCCACGCAGATGCAGCTACAGGTAGGTTTAGTGTCCGAGGCCAGGGTTTACTGCAGGAGGATAACGTAGTTGTCATTGTTAACTATCTAAGCGAGAGCAACACAATATGGTTGGGGGCACGTGATAGGGTAGCCGCTAACATTTACCAAAGCTCTGGGCGGAGGCTGATTCACTAAACGGAACAGCTTTCGAATGACTCCATCATCAAACCTTCATCAAACCTTCTTCCCTTCGAGATAGGCAGTTCGAAAGACTGCTGCTGAAATCCATGTTTGCGTGAAGGGGCAACTAATAGTAACGATCTCAACTCTACATCGCTTATTGCTGTTTTCCAAGAGTCTTCCTAAGTAACTGGAGAATTACACGGGCTATCTCATTCGCGTTGAGCAACAACCGTATCCAGGCTTCATATTCTCTAACATTGTCTCCTAACTCTACCAGCCTCGCCCTACTCAGAAATCGCACATCATCGGGTGCTAGATTCTGTTGGACCGGCTATCTGTCCTCGAACTTCAAAAGCCAGCCGGTTGATCATCCTTTCCTTAGCTGCACATAGCCATTTTATATGCACTCCTCCTGGTGTTTCGATTTTGACTTCTTGCTTGGGCCAACGAAGCAGCCGGGGGTAGGGCAGAAACGGACGTGAGAGAAGATTGGTGGGATCCCCTTTTGAGATACACTTCTACAATCACTTATTTTCAATAGAATTGAAAGCTACTAGCTCATAGTGCATCAATTAAAATTCCTTAAAGAATACATTTTGCCATGGGGAAAGGGTGCCGAATATCACACTTTATAAGAATGCCATCAATTCTTGAACATTTTTATAATAGTTCCTGGGGAATTTTTGATTCCTGAAATGCTTTTTAAGCGTGAGGAAGACCACACCTTTTCTAATAATGTCACTACCCTTATGACATTTATAATTCTGTGGCATTTTGGGTTCTCATAATTTTTTTAAGCCTGAGGGTTATTAGGCCTCAAGCTACCTGCAGAATCATGACGTTATAGATGGACTACGGCAGGGTATCTGTTGATCAACCAACCCTTTTCTATGCGAATTTTGCTTGGCATCGGCCGAACTCCTTGGGAGCCTTCATGACGGGTACTAGTACGAACTGCAATTACTCAATTGCTTTCTTGCATCCTTATATCTGATTATTCTATTGGACTTTATGTATATAGGTATGTATATGTACATTATGTGTAATCCTTCTATTATATACAGAGTTGTGAGACAAGGAAGTTTGTGCAAATTCAAAAAATGTAGATTAGGAAAATGATCACCATTTGTCCTCATGCGAAACAAAATCATAAGGGTAAGCCTGTGGGAGGGGAATACCGTTGCAGGAAAAAAGCGTTTTTCCTTTATTGTGTGCCCCCCTGAATCGCTGGGGGAACAGCAAGGTAAAGCCGAAAGGATCGAAGTTGGTGGCTGGAATCATATGTAGCATTCAACGTCACCATGGCAAAAATCGAAGAGGAGGACTAGAGAAAAAAAAGAGAATGAAAAAAAGGAATCGAGAAAATGGTGAGAAGACACTGGGGGTGAACGAGAAAGAAGACGAAGAACAAAAGTTGAAGGAGGAAGAGGTAGGTTAGCGAAAAGGAGACGTGTAGTAATGATATATAAAAATACCTAGCTCGCTAAGGAACTTCAATATCCCCTTTTTTCAGCCCTTCTCGGTCATCGATAGCTTCGTGTACCCACGGCATTCGTGAGATCTCATATAGGCCCATCCGTTTGGTGCTTCTCCGAAGTAGACCTTCAACGCATGCTCTGGCACCTTCCCACTGCTCTCCCTTAACTGGGTCCCAGTCTCCCTCTTCATTGGAAAACCGGTACCAGGACCACTCGCAGCGAGCTATCCGATGTGGGGTTCGCGCGCGAAGCTTGGCAGGGTCGCCTCTGGCTCCCGGCAAGGGGTCAAAAGGAAGCCGATTTTCCATAATCGCGTACAAAAGGACTCCCATTGCCCAAGCATCGGTCGACCGACCATCGTATGCTTGTCCCATGAGGATCTCCGGAGCTGCATAGTCTTCACTGCCACATCTTGTATGCAGCAAAGGGCTTGTTGGGGGTTCAGGGATGCGTTTTGATAGCCCTAGATCACTAAGAGTGACGAGGGCGCGGGGGTATGTTCGCCAGTCAGACACATCTTGTATCACGGACGCAGGGATGTTTATAAGCACATCTATTACGGGAGAGTTAGCACGAGCTAAGAAATTGAAATAGGGGAGAAAGAAAGACGGTGTAGTTTTGAGAGAAAATCCAGCGGGCTGCTGTACTTTCAAGTTTAATATCCCGATGCACAATGAAATGTGCATGTAAGTATTGCACGGCAGCTACCAACTCCGCAAATATTCTGCGGATGATATGTTGGGATAATGGGTTTACTGCCCGACTTGCGAACTCGAATAAGTCACCACCAGGGCAGTAGTCTAAAACTAACAAAGCTCGTTTGTTATCGCCGCCAAATGCTTTCAACTGGACAAGGGAGGGATGATTCAGGGTTTTGAGAATCTCGACTTCTCGACTTAAGGAGGTTTCAACTCTTTCTTTGTTTGCTCCTCCGGCCGGGCCGTACTCGACCACCTTTATAGCAACTAGCCGTGAGGACAGTATCTTGCTGCCACCCGAGGTAGAGCTGATATTTCCGCCAAGATCGTCTCTCATAGCTAGAACAACCTTGCTAAATGTTCCTTGACCTAGTTTGCGGAGCATCCGGTACCTACGGGGTTGTTGTGTTCTAATCGATATAACATCGTATATTGGGGTTTGAGGCACGGGTGAAACTAGTATTGGTATATGATCTGTATCACTGCTACCTTGGCAATTTGGCGCAATTCGCGGAGGAGTTGGAAGACGTGTAGGGGAAGGGGACGATATCCCACGTTGGACAGCTAAATAATCCTCACGATGCATATTGTTGCGGGTCGCCATATCTTGAGCAAGTGCTGTCGTGTGGTTATGGAGCAGAGCTCTGGACGGAGCAGCCTTGTGAGACGGAGGAACATGAAGTGTATCAGGTTTATAGTCACTTAGGCTCCGATTTCGAGTGTGCATATTTTGTCGTATAGCATCAGGGGCTTCTTCCGGTTCCGGTAGCTGAAATTCACTGTTGGGTTGAGCCTGCTGTCGGTCGGATGACGACCTGGGTCGTTCCGATAATCCTATTCTACGGATGCTAAACGTAGACCCACTTATTGGCGAGGGAGAGGGCGTCCGGGATGGCGATTTGCTAGTTGCAGATTTCCAGGACGAGGACCTCAGAAAGGTGGGAGAAGGCAGTGGGGTAATATCGACCAGGGCCGCCAGCTGTGGCGACGAGAAAGCCGAGTTCGGGGATATCGACCCAGCACATGAGTGAGCCGCCGCGAGCGCAGTCCGAATACTTGGCGTGCGGCGGGGGAGGCTACTAGACAATGAACTGGCGCGGATGGGTGTGTCGGCCTCGCAGGGGCCATTTGAGAGTGGTGCAGTCGTATGGATCGATGGCAGATCCGTGTATATTTGAAGCGAAGGTGTTCGTGGTATTGAGATTGACTGTGTTGCTTGAGACGGAAGTGATTTATTATTTGGAGCAGGTTTCGAAAGCACGTAGTTATTTCCGCCGTCAGAATAGCTGTCTCTAGAAAGGTTTGCATCTACGTTCTCTGATCCCAGAGCAAGGTGGCCTTGGGCTGCGGAGTGGAAGGATGGCGGCTGGTGAGGATCGGAATCTGGAGTGACCAGGAACTGGGCACCGGCGTTGAGATCGTTTTGAGGAGGGGATGGCCCTACTGCGGGCTTCTGTAACGGAAGACGGTGCATGGCCCACAGGTAGGCGGCGCACGAAGTTGGCTCGCTCGCGGAGCTTGTAATAGTGTCAACGTGGAGAAATTATGTTGTCTTTAACCCCGGACAACACAAGGGGTTATCATATGTATAAAGCCATAGGGCAGTGACGGCAATGAATACATACTATGGAGGCGCAGCGGGAACCGGGAGGCGGAAAGCGGGAAGAGCGGGAGCTGGTGGCGGGGCGGAGACCATTGGAGTTTGGGCGGGATAAAAGCGGTGTGAGGAGGCAGAATTTGGCTGATAATGCCCTGTATGTTGACTGCAGGCGCTTCTACAAAGCACTACTACCGAATTACCACTCCTTTAATAAACGAGACTTTATCGCAAAAAGGTAGTTAAAAATCTACGATATAAATGTTTGTGGTAGCATGGCGCTGGTGGCGATCAAGCTCTTTTGCCCAAAGTGATAACGAGAATTCGCCATTATGTAACCTGCTAGTCGAGAGCTTATATCTTACCATGCCTAGAATTTGCTCGATTTTATTTGTTGGGCCCTTAGGTTTCCTGTTGCGACTAGCGCACCGCCAAATAACCATAACTTACAGTAGATGTCCAACATTACTAGTATTTGAGTGTATGTTGATGTGATTAGCACTTGCACATAAACCGGTCAGACCTCTTTCATGCCGTGTTCAACCATCAAAATATCGAAAAGAAAAAAAATCACAGTTTCCTTTTTAGAAGTAGTGACAGTATCCGGATTAAGGTTGGTGTAAATTCTCAGCCACTAACTATCCGATCTCAAAAACGATCGTTACATTTTTACCGAACACCTCTAGGATGGCTTATTTTTGTCCCTCATCAATTGCCCCTAGAACGCCTAGCACCAATGGCTACCTGGAATATTTTACGCTGTCAAGATAATACACACAATTATACTCCTAGTTTGGAGAATCCTCCTCCCATTGTGCAACCTCCTCGTCTATCAGTTGGCTCCAGTCAAAGACATCAGCGATTGGCATGCATCCGTCAACTGCCATGTTACTGTTGGCCTCTCCCATGTCACTGGAGTTATCCAACTCTCCATCCCATGTGTAGAATGTCGACTTTTTATATACTTCTGTTTCACTCTGTCTTTCTATCATCCGCTTCGCCGTCTCAAGGGTGATTTCCTACCAAATGGCTGGTCAGTTTATCCTTTGCTCTGGGTGGACGGGGATGTTACTAGTATCTCTCCGTACGTGACAAACAATTGCCATTTTAGCTTCTTTCGATCCGTCTTTCAACAAAGCTTGCATGAGGTCCGTGAAGTCCTGCTCATCGCACAGTGCTTTCCATCCTTCAAAGTTCCTCCTTTCTGTATCACTCTGATCCCCCTCGGCTATCTTGTACGCCCAAACTTTCTTGCACAAGCCTGGCTTCTTGGTAAGGATTCGCGATTCGGCACCAGACTGTGATCCCTCCGGAGGGCTTCCCAGGTTTTCGGGTAAATTTTCATACGAAAGTGATGTGGGATGCCTCAGGTCCAACACAAGTCGATGACGGAGCATGGTGTCCTCAAAGTCCCCTAGCCGACACGTCCGAGGAAGGTAAACATCCATCACCTTCCATTCTCCTGGTAAAATATCATATATGACACGGAATTGTAGTCGAGAGGATGGAGAACATTTTCCTGTTACCTGATCCAGCCGTGCTAGCTTCTTATATGCATCTGTTGCCCTCCCATTAGTGAGAGACGTCACTTCTTCTGCCGATACCCCCGCCTTCAGCAGTCGTTGATCGATTTCCTGAAGAGCATCCGGAAGCAACTTTTTATGTTGTCTGATCATCGTTTTAACGTACTTCGCATGGGCGTCTCCATAGAGTGTTTCTGGAGACCCTGCATTCGCAGCTCCCTCCACAGCTACGTCAGAAATTTTATCGACATTTGGTTCAAGATGTAGCGGTCGGCCAGCTTTCTCGCCACACAATGTGGAAACGCCAAAGACATATGGTCCTGAGGTAGAATTAGGGGTTCCGAATATTGCACCTGGATCCCATTCTGCCGACCAGCCGACTTCACCACGGTAGAATCCATCATGCCAAAGCCATTGGATCATGTCGCTAACAGTAGCGACCCTCCTCCCCACAACTGGGATAGAAGGCTCCATTTTTCCCTTGGGTATCTGGATGATATAGGGTTCTGTTTTCACTTTCAGGCTCGAAGTATATCCACGCTTCACACAATATGTTTGAGGAGCCAAACGGTTAGCCTTGTAACACACGCTTAAGGTAAAAGTGCATGCAATCTGATGAAAATTGAGAGAAGAGTACATGAACAGTTGTTTCCGTGATAGCTACATGGATGTTGTATATTTACGCGGGAAACGCGTATAAGAGTTGGTTGGACGAAGACTCCGAGTCCACACTGTTCCTTCTGCCCAGCAACCAAGTGGTTGATCTGATAACAACACTGTCGAGAACACGGCGGTGTGAAAGATGTATAGCCTGTTGGTAGAAAAACTTGGATTCAGCTGGCACTTTCGGGTTTCTAGTATTGCAGTAGTATGGATGTTGTAGGTATAATCCTTCTGCGATCACCAGAGGGCCTTTGGTGATGAGTTTAGCTGTTAGCGCCGAATGGCGGTCCTCATTTTTCCTTTTCGCTTTCGTTTTTCATTTTTGTGAATGATTGCAATGACACATAGGAGATTTACATGTACATGGAAACTCAGCGATAGGGACTCAACGGGAAGAATGTTCCACAAGTATATAGGTCCCACAAGTATTTAGTTTCCACGAAATAGAAGAATAATAAAATTAAGGGATCAATCAAGAGAAAATTACGTGGCATCACTGGAGATAAATGACAAAATAATGAAAACAGAAAGAAAAGACAATCGAAATAAAGTCCTCTATATGTACAACAGAAGAAAACCCGTATCGTGCAATTCTCTGATGAAGGAGAAAATAGCAAAGAAGATGCTCCACATGCACGCCAGAGTGGAAAGAGAGAGAGAGTCAGAAAAGTTGCTTAGGTATTTAATACATCGCTATAGAAAGATAGAAGCAAAAAGCTTGAAAGATACGAGCGACATTTCTTTTCTCATTTGGGAAATCTCAAATGACGTTGCTGAATGACAGGGTAAAACGCCGACCTCAAACTGAATATGATTTTCTTGAACCCAAATCGAGAATCACACCGACATTATGAGAAGAACGCCCGTCTCGTAACCTAGAAAAAAAGCACCATTAGCAACAGTTGATTATTAGGATTGGAGGTCAAAGTCAAAATACGTACGGCCCAAGCACCAGCCACACTAGCGACAATCCCACCAGATATCATCATCGGACGCAGGCCTCTTGTACTCTTGAACAACATGCCACTCAAAGCGCCCGCCAATATACTATTTGCCGCATCATGCTTCCCTCTAATATGCCCCATAGTCGAATTAATGCCATTATATACCACCGCAATCACACCCGCAGAGTTACCCAGGAACGGGCCCCGTCGGGTAATCGAGTTGAGGACGCCGTTCAGTCGAAGCTTTGGAGGCGCAGTAACAGGCGTTTTCCGGAGTCCTTCAATCAGACCCCATGTACCCCCAATAGACAATGCCGTTAGATATGTAATTCCCGCTCCATAACTGAGATCGTCTGACCAACCCCTTGAAGGGAGTGCGGAGCGAGAGCCGGGTAGGTCATCGAGGGCGGAATCTTCGAGCGAAAGGTAATCTAACGTGTCTTTGTTCAGTCCGGCAAGAGGATGTAATAATGAGGGGTCTGGCATTGCGGTGCCAGAGAGGAATGAGGAAGCATCTTGGGCGGAGGTAGGATCGAAAGTAGAAGCAGGGGGACTGGGGGGACTAGAGGGGGTTGAGGTCTTGCGTCCTGAGAGAGTATCCCAGATAGACATGACGAAAAATTACGATTATATTGTACCAAAAACAGTGAGGAGATGTGGAGAATGGAAAGGAGGAGGGTTTCGAGCGCCAACCGCGCTCCTGGCTATGCCGTCGTTCTCCGCAAAGGTCGTATTTATACAGGGGGATATAGTCGCAATAAAAAAGATGGAGAGTAAAATCAGGTCTTGAGGCTCGATTGCACCGATAATTTTTCCACAGCTATCGGAAAAACATAGAGTCCGTCGTATGCCCTAACTTAACTTGGTTAAGTTAGTTGACTAATTTATCTGTTTAGTCATCAATGGCAATTTGCACCGAAAATCTGAGCTGAGGACGAATATAAAAATGTGACCAGTAATTTGCTAGATGCATAATCCTGTTATGACTTTTGGGTATAGCTTTTGGCTTCCATACTCTAGTACGGAGTGTCCGTTTTGAATAATGGACGCTGGGAAGCCTGTGACCCAAGAACAACAGAAGATACCCCATCCACTTCAATGTCTGATCTCTCCAGACTTGGATGTTATCCCGGAACGTGTGCTTAACGAGGCCACCAGAGGCCCGTTAAAGAGTTTCATCCAGCATGCCGATTCCCTGTTGTAAGCTTACTTCCGATTTCCTAGGCTGGGTCTAACTAGAAGATCAGCCAGATTAACTGGGCCCTTAGATCGATCATCCCCATCTGGAAATGCCTTTTCAGAACATTTTCTTCCAACGATCTGTCATCATCTCATATGGTGGCTATTTGTAATGCAATAAGCGCGTTTCTTGATGCGACAACTCTCTCTATAAATGCTCAGATCCGCGAGTTTACTTTGTCCGAATCTAAGCCTCCCTGGACCTGTACCTTTGAGCTCTTTCTTGACCGTTATGAGCGCAAACCGAAGCCAATGAGGCTGGTCCTAACGTCGCTAATTAGAATTGTTTCAAGGCACCGCGACGACTCTATCATTCAGTCAGTGCGTTCAAACATAGTTCAGTTGGTAGTCCCCAACATCATCCTATGTGAACCCCGGCCAAGGCTCAAGGCTTGCCTAGTCTCCTTGGAGTGGCTTATCCGAAAAGATGCGTTCCCCATGCTTGAATTAATCCAATCTATGAAAATATGGATGCTAGAGAATTCCATGGTCTGGGCATCAAGATTAGAAGGACATTGCATCAAGCTCGGTATTCCGATAAGCTGTTTTATTAATAGAGAAAGCAGTTCAAGGACTGGAGAAAATGAATTGGTGTTCTACACTGCCAAAATTTTTAGCATTTCTCTTCTCCTTTATTCTAATAACCGAGATTTGGCCCTTCCTGCTGGAACACTATTTACTCTCCTCTGCCATAGATTAGGGACCGAGTCAATGAAGAATAGTTCGTTGTACATTAGTCCCAGTAATTCGAGACCTCTCTGGCAGGATCCTCTCAAATATATCGCCTTGCAGAATATAGACTCATTAGAGATGGTCTCAGATCATTTTCTCTATCCGTTGTTCAAACAGATGCCATCTGGATTTCAGAGCTTTATCCGCACTCTACCATGCAACGACTTGCAGCTCGGTTCATATGATCTCACGATAGATGAGCTTACTGTACTCTTCGCTGCTCTTCACACAGCCAAAGAGCTAGGCCTTGTGCAAGAAGGCAGTGAGTTACAAATTCTTAATTGTCCGTTGTGATTTTTAATTAACCAGTTTTAGGCTCAGAGGTATCCGCGACTCCTTGCCAATCATATGTTATTGAAAGCGGGCGAATTGGTGAATTTTTGATACACCCTGAAGCTGCCGTACGGATATCGGCTCTCTCTTTGTTGATAGCAGCCCCCTCAACTACGAAACCATTCTCTTCAGATACCCTCCAAGTCCTGATCAAAAACTTCCCTTACATGCATACCGACAGCGACCCACAATATCGAGGAGAGATATTCAGCCTGATTCGAAAGTTTATCATTAGGTTGCGCGGCTCCCTGTCTTCGTGTCTCAAATCGACGAGCCTTGATGATGGATCGCAGCTTGCAAATCAACGTACAGCAGCAACTGATTTATATGCGGTCGGATACTCCAATACCGCTGGCGATCATATCGAATTTTTGCGATGGTATGTGGGATTTCTCGAACTAGAACTTCAGCCAACGATGTCCTATCAAAGGCACATATCGGCACTCAAAACATTGGTATTGTTATTGCAGACAGGCCTGGATAACAGAATTGGCGATGTACACTTGTCCAGACTTGGACAAGATCAAACCTCCTGGAACTGCAGTATTGAAATATTTCGACCAAGTCTCTTCAGACTCCTTGGTGATTTACTTATAAACCCATTCGATGACGTCCGAGCTACGGCTTCGGCACTTCTGAATATGTTTCCTCGGACACATATCCGAACATCTCTCGAGAATGACGGAGAAAAATACATCCCAGATGGGCGCTATTCACATTCACGGCTACAACTAGTTAAGGCTCTGGAAAGAGCGGAGCGCGTCGCCAGTGGCACTAGTAGAGCTGATCATGCTGATGCAGTGGCTCGCCTCTATCACATTTTATTTGACCTTGCCAGTTCCAACACAACATTAGACAGCAGTGGGAGCTGGTATGAGCTAAAACAGACTATTGTGGAACGACTTCTCTCAACTTTGGAGGAGAACCTATATTCAACTGATGGCTCGTTTCAAAACGCAATTCGGGAGACTTCTGTGCACGGATATATCTCCGCGTTGAGGTAGGAAATCCCTTAGCTCTCATTCGAGTGTGATGAAGTGCGTTTCTTATTTACCGTGAGTAGGTATATAGTGTCGACCCCCGAATTTCATTCGGTGTTCCCTTCCCCGGAGACGGGGCGCCCATATTGGAGGTTGTATCACGATCGACTCATTTTAGTCTGCGAAAATATTTGGCTTGGTGTTAGGGACATTCTCTGTATAGATTCCCCTGAAGGTCAAGATGAGGACGCAGTAGATGAGCTGAGGGGCCCGAAGGATTTGTTATCGTGCTCTTGGCGTGCTTTGCGGGAATCCAGGTAATTTCTAAATGGCTTCTAGTTTGGATGGTGCTGACACAAAATAAACAGTATGCTTCTCTACGCAATATTAGTAAATTCGAGCTACGCTCCTGACACTTCCGGTAGTGGGCTCGTCGAAGCCGATTTAAACAAAATTGGAACGCTAAGTTTTACACAACTTGCTGAGCTACGACATCGTGGTGCATTTTCAGCGGTTTCTCAGACTTTCACGGCTTGCTGTCAAAAATGTGCCCAGACGAAGGACCCTAGCGCTTCCGGCCTCCTGAACATCTGGTACAAGGTATTTGCTTTTTACGTATCTCTCTTTTGAAATCTACTGTTAACCGCAATAGGATGCTTTGGCAATTATCGATACACAGGCTTCGAAGCTGACCCGAAGATCCGCGGGCCTCCCTGCACTAGTCACAGGGATAGCTTCTTCTCAGCCTGATGGCCCTATTTTCCACAAAATCATGCGTGATCTTCAGGAAATTGCTAGCCTGGATACGCCCAGTGGTGCTATTGGATCAGATATCAAATTGCCACAGGTTCATGCTTTAAATTGCCTGAAGGATATTTTCACGAATACCAAATTGGCCACGTTGACAGAAGCTTATGTCATGCCGTGCCTAATGATATCTGCTGAATGTTTGGGATCAAAAATGTAGTTCATCCTTCGCGTTTGGATTTATATCTGGCTAACATGTAGTTTAGGTGGGCGATTCGCAATTGCGGATTGATGCTCTTCAAGGCTTTAATGAATCGGATGTGTCGTTTCAAGGCAGGATGCAGCGTAGGCTTAGGTGGAAATTTTGGATCTGAACTAGGGAGCAGGATCATCTTTCAAAAGTATCCCGGTTTAATTGAGCTATTGGCCCAACTCCTACAAGATCCTATCGTGAATGAGTCAAAAGGGTCGAGTTCGCATTTATGGGAACTTTCCATCAAAACAGAACGAGTTTTCCCAGCCCTTGAGCTAATTGGAGAGAAGGTACCATCTTTCTCAGGGGATGAAGACAAACTCCTAAAAATCCTTGTATTCGAACAGTTTCGAAGTCCCGTTTGGGGTGTCAGGGAGCACTCAGCAAGGATATATGCGTCCCTTCTCCGGCATGAAGAGATACTGGCGAGTGTTTGCGAACTTTCCGCAGTTTCCCATGAATCTATCCCTCAGAACCAAATCCACGGAACGGCATTATGTATTAGATATGCTCTGCAAAGGCTGTGGGTTTCCTCGAGCGGTTACTGGTTAGGTAAGGTGCATCACTCTGTTTCAAAGGCATGTTCACTCATTCGTTCTAGATAACTCTGGAACGGCTTTTTCCACTGTAAGGGAAGTTTGCAACAATCTATTCCCGTGGGCCAAGTCTCACTTTGTGCAGGCTACCTTGGTTGAAATACTTAATGATGTCGTTCAGGCTGGTATCCGCTGTGGCCTTGAAAGTACGTGTGATCCTTTATTTCCAATGGCTTCGGATGCAATTTAAACCGACTGACCGGAAACTAGCCACTGTCCTATCACAAATCAATACATTATTGGAAAACCACGGCCTTTTCGATTTACTCAGCCAACTACTCTCACAGGCCGATACACCAATTCCCAGATCTTCATTTCTTCTCCTAAAAGCAATTTCTGTCTCTAAAATTAGCATCATGCTAGCACAGAATCTCGCATTAGAAGATCTATTGGTTTTTATGAATTCTATCTCAGCACTAGACTCTGATACCACCTGTTGGTTGCTAGACCGTATACAGCACACTTTTTGCTCCCATAAAAGGTCGCAGATACGGAGAATAGAGTTCTACATTGCCATGATTCAGGGCGCTCGCTCTCAGCAAATACAGCTTACCATGACCTCGAACCTAGCGGACGACTTGATGTTGCTGTTTGAACATCATACTCAGATATCGGATGAGTTCGCCTCCTTACGACAATTGGTTGTATCTGTAGATATACCAGAAGACAGCGATGGTGTCAGTTTATGGAATCGTGATTTGGCTAATGCGTCACTACGCTTGCGGGGATGCTTCTTGGCACTGAGCATGCTATCATCCGATGCCCCTGAGTTTACCCTAGAGTTCAAAGCAAGATTGGATAAGTGGAACCAGCGCCTAAGATTTGCCATTTCTGATGAAACGGTGAGTTATTGCCGATTATCCCCTTCTGAGTTGCAGGTTGGCTCACCAATCATATAGGAATTCTCAACCCGCCATGCAGCTGCAGTCTCAATGAAAATTTTCTTCTTGGGGTTAAGAATAAGCAGCAGCCACTCTACGATTAAACCCTATCTCCTGCAAACATGTCTTGTTTTGTATGGGATGTTAATCGACGATGATGAGGGCATCAGATATCTTGCAGCTCAAGCAGCGTCCATACTTTTTTCTCTTGAATTTAATAGCACAAACCAAGCCACTGCATTACTCCCTCTCGCTGCAAGTTCTAAGTTGGCCGATATCCTTTCCGAAAATTTTGTTGATTCTACAACACTATGTGCAGAAGCAATGGGTCGATTCCTAGGACTGCCAATCAACCTCTTGGTTCCAAGTATCGACAATACTACAAGTCTCACTCCTGTTCCCAGGCTCCTCGAGAAATTTCAGACAAAAAGCACAGTTCTATTCCAAGAAGAGAAACAGAATTTGTTCGTTGAAGACGTGCGGGAGGTTGAGACATGGGCGAAAGTTCTAACGCGAATAATATTGAGGCCAGGAAACACACACTTTGCTCTACAGCTTTACTCCTGGGTTTCTGAGGGCATTTCCGCGTTGATCGATGCAATGGGAGGGGCCGGTGGAGATGGTGTTCTAGGCTGGGTTTCCAACCCAGACGTGTTTATCTTGGGTGTTCGAGTCATTCGCGGCGCGAAGATTCTTCTCCTTGTACCCCCATCTGAGACTTTGTCCTTGGACAAAGGCTGGATCAGTCAAGGGCTGGAAGTTCTGTGGAGTCAGGGTCGGAAAGTTGAGATGCACCATTGCTGGTTATCTCATCTGAGGACGGTTATTGATTGTGATGAGTGAGCGCTTTGAGAAAAAGTGTAGCACCCTGACTTTCAACAAAGAAAGGTGTGAATTTTCTGTTTGATTGTGGTTACTAATTTCTTTCATAGATATTATTAAATATTTTTTTCCTTGTAACCATCAGGAGGAATTCTTTTTGTTGTTGGTTCTCACTGGTCACAGACCATTTTAAATCACGACAGTTCCCTCTTTGTTGCTGGGCGAAGCGTCCCTGTCAATTGTTTATTTTGATATGAAACACCTCTTCCTCAACTCCAACCTAGTAGCTATTGGGGCGACTTCATCCACATAATGGTATGTTCTTAATTTTCCAACTTTTTGCTTCTAACTTGCTAAGCGATGGTAAAGTGCCCCTTTTTACACATCCAACGTTAGCCCCTGAGACATCTGCCACTGAATCACGTCCGCCGCCACCTTGAACAAGGATTGTTTAACCCCTCTTACGACAGCATATCGCATGGATTTTATGCCTGAGTATGTATGCGAGCCTCTAAAAATTTCGATATTCAAGTGCCTGCGACGCGGGTATATCAAGCATCTCCAGCTGTCCTGTCTCAACACCAGAACCACCAACTCTTCTTCAGGGCGATTCTAGTGCATAAAGCCATGCGCCCCAGTCATGTCATCGTTATCATTCTAGTCTTAATACCTGTATTCGCCCTCGCCGTATATAGATTGGGCACCCACCTCGTTATTGTGTTCTACCACAACGTAGCGATGAACAAAATGATGCTAGAAACACGTGAAGTAGAGGAAGCTGAAGCAGCTCAGGCAGTCAACCCACCTTCTAATCCTCAGCCAGCACAACCAATCCAGCCGGCGAATGCACCCGCCAACGGACCGCTTGCTAATAACGGGCCGCCAGCGAACGCACAACCGGACAATGCAGCGCAAGCAAACAACCAGCAGCCAGCAAATGGGAATGCAAACGAGAATGGCCACGGAAATCCAGCCAACGGGCCACCAGGAAATGGACAACCGCCTACCAGGAATCCGGAAAACGGGAATGGACAAGGGAATGGGAATTAACAGCTGTCCAATGGAAACCGTACTGGTGGGAAGGAGGACTGGGTGATCACCCCTCGCGTTTAACGGTCACTATTATCTATAATCCGCTTACTTTCTGGAATTAAAACCAAAATGTTTGCTGCAGGTGTATGTATCTGTTGAATGCTTAAAGGTAAACTGGACACGGGAGTGCCAGCTCTAGTTGCTACAAAGCCAGTCATGTTGAGAATTTGAGATAGAGAGACTTATGTAGAGTACATACATACACTAACACGGCGCATCCAGGCCTCCCTTTCCTGTTTCTTTTTGGTAGTAGCTACCATCATATCTGTAGTGGTGGCTGTTTACACAATGTATCCGAATATCCAGCCGCAATAAATATTTCCATCGAGGATATCCTTGCTGCCTAGGTCGAAATTTACTTCCTCTCCCTTGAGGCCATTGACAGTTTTTACTCCAAATCCTTTGTGCACGTTTTTTGACATTCCACTTATTTTTATAAGGAATATCAAGGTTCCTCTTTGTTTTCTCGTGGTCAACTCTGCTGGTGTTATTCGGCCGTCACCCTGCGCACTACAAATCTCTATTTAGGAGATGTAGAGACATGGCCCTTTCCACATCGATATCTCTTCGCCACTTGCACTATTGAATCGGTGACAGCTACACATCAAATACTTTAATCCCTGAAGCCAACTAAAAGTCCCTCTTTTCAACGCCCATCCATATTAAACGGCCGTTTTACTTCCCGATTGGCTCCAAGTCAGAAATCATACATGCTGCCAATGTCGATGTGGACTCAAGATCCTCACCAATAAGCGTCAGCCTTTCGGGGTAACCAGCCGCCAGAACGCAACCAAAGGTTCGTACCAAGTTCACCTGGCCCCCGGGAGCTATGGCAACGCTTATTCCCATATCCACCTCTTCTCAGACAACAGTTAAAGAGCAATTAGAGCAACAAGCCAATGGAGGTTGGAATTCCTGGACCCCAGAAGAGCAAGGCGGCATCCTCGCAGCATCAATACTGGTGTTCCTATTTTTCTCCGCATTAGCTTTATTCATCTCTCTCCGTGTTCCGGAGCAGCGCAAAGGTATCAGACTAGTGGATGCAGAGCCGGGAATACATGAGAGACAGGAGGGAAGAGAGCCGCGGAAAGCCAGCAGGAAGCGGGGCTCAAGATGCCCAGCATCAGTGCCGCAGACGCTGCCGGGTCCTCGATCTCAACCAAACAGAAATACATGTGCGCCCGCTGCGAAAAATGGTGGCAGCAAGGGGGCTACGAGGAGATTTAGTTCCGATGAACGCCGTTGTTTAGAGCCCGGCGGGCACCAAGGGAGGAAGCGGGGATCAACTGGAGGATTCTACGGCGGAGATACTCGCAAGCAAAGGGAGATGCAGCGTTCACGTTCGTGTCCGGGTCCACGAGATCGGGAACGCTCAGAGAGGAGGGTAGGGCAGAGCGGTGCGGGATCACATTGGAACGGACGGCAAAAGCCCCGCGAAAGTATATTGGTCTGCGATGGGAGTGATGAAACACTCGAGCGGACGATGAGTAGTGATTCTATGGACAGTTATGCTGATGGTGACCCGGGACCGTCAACACGAAAGGGAAAGGAGAAGACAAGAACCCATCCACGTCGCCGGAGCGAAGGAGCCGTAAGAATAGAAAGGCCACCTTGTCATATGCGGTCATACAGTGTCAATTAAGCTTTCAAGTATGGATAACATCAATGCCAGTATGATGGTACGATCCGAAATTGTTGCGGGGGAAGATAATATCTTATTTTATACTTTTGCACCTCTGTATTTCTATTGTCTTTCCAATCTCTCCTATCTCTACTTCAAAGTAATATTCCCGCGTCGCTTCAAGAATGGGAGCGTTAATGATAAGAGAACCAGAAATAAATAATATGACTGAAAATTAGATCCACGGGCTATCGAAACGAAGTTTGGTAGCGGTAACCCTGTAACCCTGTATTTTGCAGTTTATATACGCCCGAAGTTGTGGATAGAATCGAGAAAGCCTCTTTCTAGCTCTTCCGAGAGAAGAATCCTCTCTTGGAGGCAAATCCTGAACAGTAGATGGTATTAATGAGGAAATGGTAGAAGGCATATACAAACACACGTATGGGTTTGTCAGTAGCAATAACAAGCCTCTGGGAACATCAGTCCCAATCAAACTGGACAATACATAGCATCTCCTAGTTGGCGCTATGTTTCTGGTGGCAAAATTGCCTGGTATAGGTTTATAAAATATATAGGAATGTACATGTACAGAACCTGATAAACCTCTGAGCATGAAGCATCTGGATCTGAATCTAAAGGGAAATAAACGAAGAGTGAGCCTCGAGAGGTATTCGCAACCGTCAATAACCTGCACCGAAAAGAGAAATATTGGTCGGCATACTACCCAATGAAACAGCAAATAACTTGAGTATCAAGTCCTCGGTATGATATGTATTCGTTGTCCTTGCCATATTATTCATTTTCACCAGAGCCAATGAATCCGCGGAACACGAATTTTTGTCATTGTCAGGAGTACCCAACCGATGACAACGATGACTTTTGGAGTCACAGGCGCGGAAATTGACATATTTTAGGAACCTGGTGGATGAGCAACCAGGATGCGTCCTGTGCCAGCTCAAGGCGAGGGATATAGTGACTAAAACCCAGGTGCACTTTGTTCTAGATATTTTAGATGAGGTCGAGCAGAACGGGATCAGCCAGAGGCACCACAGAACATATAACAGAGCAAGATGGCAAATTCGGGGCCGGGAATCATCAAGGCCGTAACGGCTGCTTACGGTATGAATACACACGTCTTCAGCTGGAGCCTAACCAAAGAATATGTTAAAAACACTGACGGTTATGCCCCTGCCGGCTCAGGATCGAGACAGCCCAGAAGCTAGAATAGTGGAATCATTGCCGCAGAGTGAGGATCGTGTGAAAGGAAATGCGTTTTCGGAACTCGAAAAGGACAATCAACAGGCCAATTCCATTTTTACGGCTGGCATATCAGTGCTAGTGCAATAGCCGTGAGAATGTCGAGCGTCCAAAAGGTTGGGGACGATAAGTTAAATATCATTGCCAGGCACATCACCTTGGGAGCATTTCAAAGTTGCCGATAAATTATCGCCTGGGAGATATAACCAAAAGCGAAGTAGTCATCACTTAACGGCCTAGTATAATTTGGATAGACTGTTACAATGTTGGAATCGAGTTCCCCATTGGTGTTTCTGCTCCGAGTTAGTGGCACCAGAGGATATCATTGACACCGATGCAGTGGTCTATCAATTATATTTAATTCTGCAGCCTGGAAGTTCATTTGGAACTTGGTATTGGAGCCCCAAAGGAAAACTCGGAGGACATGGCAGTGAAATTTTGTGCATCACTGCTTCATCTCTTATTTTAAACGAAATTTGGGCATATAACAGCGGTATCGCGAGGCTATAAAACCGTGATTTTTTGCTGTTTACATGGTGGATGTCATGGTTGGTAAATAACTTCCCCGTGTAGCCAAGGACGGACAATGCAGGCTGCAAACGTCTGAGCCACCAACTGAGCCACCAACTCCCTATGCAGATTGTAGCCATCCCAAGCAACGTCTGCCCCAGGCTTGACTACGCCAGATCATAAACGTTTAACGTTGTAGTCGATATTCTATTCGGTCTCTTTTTCCATTACAATTCCGCCGTTCATGCTTCCTGGGTCGCAGCATCGTACGCCGAGCCGCTTCTGGAGATCCTGAGTCTGCATCGGCAAGATGTGGAACGACGAGGACAACAACCCCTACGGATCTTTTGATCGTCATCTGGATGCTACAACTGATCTTTTTCATGAAGCGCCCGCGTCCTCCAGTGAGAAATTCCTCGCTACTCCCAATCTTACATAGATATTTCAACTAACCCAGTACTCCCTCAAGCCTTTGAAGCTCCCTCCACCCCGCAATCCACGTCCTCGACACTTGATCCCCCTCCAGATTATGTCTCCCGATTAGACAGCCCAATCGACCATGATACGGACCAAGACGAGGCGGAGGATTATGGGCATGCCGAAGACAATCAAAACTATCCGCGAAGGAAAGGGATTTACCAAAGCCGAATAGAGCAGATCCTTTACGAGCATCCAGAGCTTCCAATCCTCATCACACATGCGGGCAAAAACCACGAGAGTGGAGGCAGCTTCATTGTTTATACAATACGAACGGGGGTAAGTGAGTAGCTAGGGATATTGTGTTTTGCTCTTACTATTTTGTTTCTCCCTGACATTGCATGCTTGCAGGATCTGGAAGTGCGACGACGATACTCCGAATTTAGCTCTCTGCGCGCTACCCTCATCAATCTTCACCCAACTCTCATCATCCCTCCCATACCTGAGAAACATACAATGGCCGATTATGCAGCGAAACCTACCAAGGCTAAGGAAGATAGCTCCATTATCGACTTGCGAAAGCGCATGCTAGCGGTCTTCTTGAACAGATGCCGGCGGATGAAGGTGATCCGGGAGGACGGAGTCTGGTGGAGGTTCTTAGATCCGAATGCAAGCTGGGTTAGTTGCATCTGTCTGATAAGAGACCACTATCTGGCGTGTGAATCCTCCAAGTGTCTAACATTCCTACAGACTGAAGTACTTCATTCACATCCTGTCTCCTCCATCCCCAAGAACAACCTCAAAGCGCCTCCCCTCGACCCTGCTAATCCGAAACCCGCACATGCCTGGCTTCCAATCCCTTCATCATCTGCGAAGCTAAAGTCATCTTCGGCCACCTCTTCATCCCTTTCGGATCATGCTTCATCAACCCCAGGAAATGTGCCATTCCTTAATCGGTTCCCGCCAACGTCGCGCAACCTAAGTGAAAAAGACCTAGACCCATACTTTGTAAACTTCGAGGCGTCAACTCGTGAGCTGGAACTGCTATTGCAAGGAAATATCGAAAAAGTAAACCGACGCACCTTGACGCATCTTTCATCCCTTGCTGCGGACCTGATGGAGCTTGGCGCCCGGTACAATGGGTTTTCCCTCTCCGAACCTTCCGCCACAGTTGCCGCAGCAATAGAACGAATTGGACAGGCAGCCGACACCTCATATATTGAGACTGAAGAGCTCTCTTCTACTCTTGGTGCAACATTCGCAGAACCAATGAGGGAAAGTGCACAATTTGCTGGCGTCGTCCGGAATGTTCTCCGCTATCGCATCCTCAAGCGAATCCAACAAGAAATGACTCGCGATGAACTCAGCAAGAAAAGGGCAATGCTAGATTCCCTAGAGCGGAGTGAGCTGGAAGCCAAAAGGATTGAGCAATATCTGAATCGTACTGGGGCCAGCTTAGCAACCACGAAACCAAGAAGGTCATTATCTGAATCATCTGCACCCAGTATCCCGGAAACGTCAACACCTGAAGCAACGAGATCAAATGCCGAAGATACCGCCTCGATTGACTCTGATTTCCCGACCGGGACTGGTGATTCTCCACAGCCATCTGCATCCCAGGGCCTACCTCAAAGGCCTCTCGAGCAATCCCCATTACCTTCACCAGGTCACCGTAAGAGCCCTAGTGGTAACTTCGTAACGAATAAGATATTTGGGCGAATTAGCCATGCCGTTCATGGCTTTGTTGATGTTGACCCGGAGAGAACCCGACGGGACCAAATTGGGAAAACGAAAGAGACCTTGTTGCAGGTCAGTTTTTGACATCTTCTAACACTCCTATGGCTTCAGAACCAGTTCCTTTTTGTGCTAATCGAGTCGTGTATCACATCGTCATTTCCAGTTGGAGCAAGCTCTCCAAGTATCGGAGAAGGATGTCAAGGATGCTAGTTCCGGTGTCTTGCAAGATCTAAAACGGTTCCAGAAAGAAAAGGAAGACGATCTACGTCGATATATGGTATGAACCTTCCATTCACCTAATCGCTAAACCCGTTTTCTTTTTCATTACATCTGAGATATTCTTTGTTCTCTTTTTTAACTCGCTTCACTTCCCTTCTTCCTCTGTAGGTAGCCTACGCCCGCTGCCACCTGGACTGGGCACGGAAGAACCTCGAGACATGGACCGAAGCAAAGGAAGAAGTTGACAAGATTGTTATCCACTGAGTGGACTCCGAACTGCATAAATCACTATCACAGCTGATTATCAACGCCATCGTGTCAGCACACATGCACACTCGACGTACTGGAGGTAATTGTTTAAATTTTCCTTTAATTCTATCCAGAGTAGAAACAACCTCGAGTATTTCGCAGGGACCTAAATCTAATCTTTATGGTAAATGAATGATGTCGTAACTTTACATACTTGGTTCTCCATTTTTTTTTTTTTTTTTTGCGTTCCCTTTTTTTTTTTTCTCCCTCTCCTAAATATGTTATACAGTCTTGACGTAATACATTAGGAACATGCCTTCATAATTTATTACACAGCTATGAAGAGCGCTCCTCCCTCCTCTCGATAACCTCTATGTCATGTAGTTCCTTTGTAAAATCCCTTTTTCCCTAATTCAGCTGATGTTGGGCACTGGTCCCCCGCTGTATGCCACTGTTCTTCTGTGGTGTCCCCAGCCTTGCAGCTCGGGCGAGGTACGAATGGTACGGGACGGTTTCTATACGGTACGGTATGGTTGACGGCTTCAGGTTACGGTGTCTTTGCAGCCTGTAGTTAACTACTGGAAATGCTCAACACCGCCGCCGTTAGCGAACAGTTCCCACGGGCTGCATCTAGTCATTTGGCGAAGACTGGTCTCTTGATCCTTGGAGCCTTGGGGCCATCCAAAAGCTGGTCATCATGAGGCCTCGAGACCGAGGCTTTAACTAACTATTGGTGTGGCTGCTGCTTAGGTAAACCCGAACTGGTGTGTTTTGGCAGTGTCTTTACTGCTGACCAAGTCGACCACTCGCGCGCCCTGTTCAGACGACCATCCCTCCATCTCCTCGCTCCGCCTCCATCCTCCTCCGTTGACTTTTTCTTTCTCCTCCCCTTGTTCTTCTCCCTCTCCTACTAACCCAGAGCTGCCACAGCCCGTGGTCAGCTCACTTTCACCACGCCTTCTTCAAAGAGACGCAAGGTTGCAGAGCGAAAAGCTGGAGCCCGTGGCCGTCCTGCCAGTTCTTCTCTCCAAGGGAACAACCCGTCTACCTCCAGTTCCTCCCCTAGACTAAGGAGACGTGCTAGCGGTCGTCATCGTCGTCGTCCTTCCTTACCTACGGCTATCTCAGCCAGCGGTCCCGCTGCCACCTCCCTTACTCCCACAGCTGCAACAACCCCGACAACCACTGGCCCTCGCCCCACTCCCTCAGACTCAATTAACAAGAACGACCCTCCGATATCCTCGTCCGGCCCGCGATATAATCCCCCCCACCCCCATCCTGAAATCCGCCGTCGAAAGAAGCCGTATTCCCGTAAACAGAAACTTCGATCTGCTGCTTCGCAAGATACCGCTATAATTTCTCGAAACGCTGCCTCCGCTGAAGGTCAATCCACCCCGACCACTGACGACCAAGCCCCTGCAGGTATGTCGGCACCGGACAGCGTGCGGGGCCCGCTTCCTCCTTTGCCAGATGATGGCTCTGAGAATGATCGACAGGAATTTCAGTCCACGCCTGCCGTAAAGCGGCCTGCTGCAGAGATGGGGGAGGATGACCGCCCATCCCTGGATGTCGAGATGGGCTCAGATTCATTTGATGGCAATGAGGATCAGAATAAGGATCAGTCGTCAAATGGCAAGAAGCAAATGGAGCGACCAACGAGACAGCGTAGAGCTGTCTCTGTGGATATGGTTGGCCAGAATGGTACCATTACGACGACTAATAATAGTATGGTTGGGACGGAGATGAAGCCCGGAAGCGCTAAATGCCTTTCTATGGAGGACGCAAATAGCTCGTCGTCAGACAGTGTCTATCCTACGCCGTCCAGTATGTCAACGTATACTTCTTACACACGAGAAGATGCTAAACCTCGGGCTTCCTCCCATGCCACCCACGATCGCCCCCCAATCGATGAGCAGGTTGCCGCTGTTACCAAATTATTGATGCAACCGTTAAAGGATCAGCAGAAGGGATATGTGGTTTCTGCGAACTGGCTAGGGCGCGTCCTTTCTAGAAGCTCAAAGGGAGGCCTGCAGCGAGAAAAAGCTGATAAGACTGCCTCGGAGGGCGAGATTGGTGCTGTTGACAATTCAGACTTGGTTCTGGTCACTGACCCGTCAATCATGTACAAGGACGAGGCTGGTGAGCCGTTCGTCCCCTTACGGCCAGGCTTGCAGATGGGAGAAGACTTTGAGATACTTCCCGAAGATGCGTGGGAATTGATCATGAAATGGTACGGGCTCTCGCCTGAATCCCCTGCCATTATTCGATATGCCCATAACACAACTGTTGGCTCTACAGAGCATGTCCAATACGAACTTAACCCCCCAATCTTTACCATCCTGAAACTGCCCAATCCTTCACAGTCCCCAACGCAAATTGCTCAAGATAGGGCACGCGTTCCCATCAAAACCTTGGCTAGCAGGCATACACAATTCCAACAGTGGCTGCGGAATATGAAGGACCTGGCATCTATTGAAATGTCTACGAAGGTTCGTGTCTGGAGAATTCTCGAGGGCTTAAATAGCGCCACAACTTCCGGTATCATCACTCCAGCAGCCTCGAGAAGCGCGTCCCCGGCCCCTGGTGCCACATTGACCGCTAGTGCGGGAAACAGCTTTTTGTTGGACGTAAACAAGTTCGTTGCTCTTGTGGAAGGCTCCCAACGAGAATTGTTAGAAATGAAGGACCAAACATCGAATCCAAAGTATAATGGAAGTCTCACCTTGCACCTTGCGGGTTTGGGGAGTGACGATGTCATTGTGCTCGAGGAACAAGTCGGTGGTCCCGCTGGTGGGGAGTGGATTTCTGATGGTGCCGGTAAAAGTTCAAATCGACTTGCGGTCACTACACATAGGGCCGGCCCGCAGAACAAGGGCAAAGGAAAACTCCCCACTGCCAGCGGCCGAGCATCGCCGGCGATTGGCGCTGTTTCCAGGGGGAGACCGCGCAAAGACGGCCGATCTCCTGGTGTCACAGGCTTGAGTAACCTTGGAAATAGTTGCTACATGAATTCTGCGTTGCAATGCGTTCGGAGCGTAGAGGAGTTGACACAATATTTCCTCCGTAAGTTTTGATTATTTTCCAATAACCTTCTGGCGTCTACTGCGTTGTCTAACTAGCAGGTGTTCTATATTACAGAGGATGAGTACAGGAAAGACCTTAACCCTGGCAATCCACTTTCTCACGATGGGAACGTGGCCAAAGCCTATGCAAACCTGCTACATCAGCTCTATGATGACAATGGCACTTCTTCCTTTGCTCCTCGCCAATTTAAACAGACCATTGGCCGATATGGCCCTTCATTCTCGGGTTATGGGCAGCAGGATTCCCAGGAGTTTGTGCTTTTCCTGCTGGATGGCTTACAGGAGGATTTAAACAGAATCCAAAAGAAGCCATATATCGAGAAGCCGGATTCTACGGACGACATGGTTGGCAACAATGCCGCGCTTCAAGAGTTTGCCAACAAGTGCTGGGAAATCTACAAGGCACGAAATGACTCAGTAATTACTGATCTTTTCGCGGGAATGTATAAGTCAACGGTAGTTTGCCCCGTATGTGACAAAGTTAGCATCATTTTCGATCCATTCAGTAACCTCACTCTGCAACTCCCGATTGAGAATCTATGGAGCAAAGAGATATTTTTCTTCCCACTTCATTCTCGCCCTATTCGGGTTGCTGTTGACATTGACAAAAATGCGAGTATCAAGGCATTGAAAGAGTATGTGGGTCAAAGGGTAGGCGTCCCTACCAATAGACTTGTGATGGCTGAAATATACAAGCACAAGTTCTATAAGATGTTCGAAAATACTTCGAGCATTGGAGAATGTCAAATTGGTAGCTCGGATGACATCGGCATTTTTGAGCTAGAATCTGTGCCTACCAGCTACGACCCAGATAAAGCTCCCAGTCGATCAGTTTATTCGAGTCTCGCATTCTCCCACAGTAATACAACCAACCAGGAAATACCATCGTTCGACTCGCCAAAGTGCGATCGCATGATTATCCCAATCTTCAACCGCGTTATTAAACCTCAGGGTGCAAAGATCACACGGCAGTTATTTGGTGCTCCTTCGTACACTATCATTACACGCAAAGAATCATATGATTACGATAGCATCCTTCGCAAGGTTCTGCGGAATGTGGCGAACCTGACGACTCGAGACATTCTTCGCGAGGATGAAGGGGATATTATGATGAACTCAAGTGCTGCTGAGGACTCTGATACTGTTGTGACCAATGATGACGACTTTGACTCCTCAGACCCCAAGATCAAAGTCTCCTCAGTCGACGGTGAAGACGGACTAGTTGATGTATCAATGCGAGATGGTTCTGATTCATCCACCAGAACCAAATCAAGCGTGAAGGGTGATACCACGCCGATTCCGAAAGTTCTTCGACCTAATAATTTCATCCCGCCCATGCTTCGCAATCTATTCGAAATCAAAATAATGCGATCAACTGACGCTGTTCCCACTGGATGGTCTACAGTCGATGAGATCAAAGAATTTACCTCAATGACCTCCAGATTACCGAGAAAACAAGCCAAGAGAACCACTACAAAAAAGCCCCCTGTAAGTCGGGGAAGTAGCCCTCTTAGTAGCGAAGATGAGCTCAGCGGCCCTGCTCGTCGTGTAGATATCGCTCGTTCAAGGGATAACAATGACGATTCTGATGGCTGTAGCTCCCAGAAAACTAAGGAGAGTGGTACAGAAAGTGGCTCAGATTCATATCCCGGTCCCTCCGCGTTACTTCACGGCGCAGGACGCCGAAAACTCAAGTCTTCGACGTCCAAAAAAGGACCTCCCGAGGCTATACCGCTGATTCGTTCCGGGGAGGGTATTGTTCTGGATTGGAATGAACATGCATATGACGGTCTTTTTGCCGGTGACCCGCTTGATGATGATGGACTACGAGGTTCGGCGACATGGATGAGTATCGATTGTCTTCCCGACCCTGAGCTTGAGCAGAAACGTCAGCTGCGCCAGACCCGGAAAAAGCGCGGGATCAGTCTTGGTGAGTGCCTCGATGAGTTTGGTAAGGAGGAAATCCTTTCAGAAAACGACGCATGGTACTGCCCTCGCTGCCGGGAGCACAGACGTGCGTCAAAGAAATTTGAGCTGTGGAAGTGCCCGGATATTCTTGTGATGCATCTTAAACGCTTCAGTGCCAATCGAGGGTTCCGTGATAAGATCGACGCGCTGGTCGATTTCCCCCTCGAGCTCGACATGAGTGGCCGGGTCCAGATGCCTGAGGAGGGGAAAAGTTTGCAATATGAGTTGATTGCGGTCGATAACCATTACGGTGGCCTTGGCGGTGGACATTATACGGCGTACGCGAAGAACTTTTTTGATGGTTGTTGGTATGAATACAATGGTAGGATTTTGGTTTTTTTTTTTTTTTTTTTCCAATTCTTTCTCTGTTTGATTGTTACCATTTTTCTCTTGGTCCCTACTAAAGATGTGATGTCATAGACTCCCATGTTTCAAAGAAAAACAACCCTGCCTCCGTAGTTACATCAGCCGCATATCTTCTATTCTATCGTCGTAAGTCTGACGTCCCTCTAGGCGGAGAGTATCTAGCCTGCATCACTGAAGCAGCCAAAAATCCCGAACATGACGACTCTGATTCACAACCCGACTCCCGCACACTTTCCCCTTCGGGGGAAGACCTGCGCCTCGGCGGCTCCTCCCGCAATGGATCGTCGAGCGCTTTAATCGGAGCCGGAGCAATTCACCAGGCGGGAGATGGTGGTTTGCGGGGCGGAATCCAGGCGAGGGATGACGACAGCCTACCCGAGTACTCGGAACTCCACCACCATAACCACTTGGAAGGCATGGATCTGGAGGACGAAGGATTCGGGTCGTCTTTCGGCCCCGATTTAAATTTTTCCAACCATCCCAGCTGGTCCTTCGACCGAGCCGCAGAACCCTACGGTGGCGGCGTCTCCGGCCTCGTACCCGCCCCCGCGAACTCATTTTATGATGGGGACGGCGACGACGACCTCGACGACGAAGCAAGCAACAAAGCCGTCGGTGGCGGTGACATGAGCGACTCGGAATCGCGCCTGGCAATGCTAAATGATTCCGGGGATCAGGATGGCTTGATTTTTGAGGATGCGGACTTGTCATCATCGACAACAGCCGTGCGAAATATCATGCAACCGCCAGATCTAGATGATGATGATGATTCCATGCCTGTTGTTGAACTGTGGGTACCTGAAGAGGAGGGGCCGGCAGCATTGTAGCAGAATTAATTAATGTGTGATATACACATTCCTCTTTTTCTGTTTTCATTCATGGTTACTCAGTGATTGAATACCTTGCATGGTCTGAAAGGAATGACATCAAAAACAAGAGGAGTTTTTTCTTGTTTGGTTTTAGGCTTGAAAAGTTAGTTCTCTTCATATAAAGGATGGGTTCTCAGTGTAGTTGTAACTTAGCTTATGATTTGTATTTCCCCCTTTTTTGCTTCTCTTTGTCACTTTCATTTCCTAAACCATGTCTGATGTGCTCTCTTATATGGAGATGGATTCAGACATATACATGTAACCAGAATTACAGTTGGGACTTGACTTATATCTCATCCATCACTTGCTCATGTTCATATTCCTGCTCATACTCATGCCTTTCTTTTGCTATGGCATTTTTGATATCCATTGTCTCTCAAAACCTTTCATGCTCTTACAAAAAGTTCAACTTGATTCTAGTTATTAGAAGCTCTTCTTGCATGCTGGAGATATCACTGACTTATTTTGAAAATGAACTGTGCTGTACTCATTCCAGTGGAGCATAACAGTCAGATAAATTTGATGCAGATAATCTAAGTTGCATCTAGTTAGTATCAAAATTCAATAGAGCATATCTAGTTATATCTTAAATATTGAGGTGATGGCTTATGATTGTACAGGATTAGATGTGTTGACTATCTACCATCACCAGTACTGCCTCATCTGTCAGAGGTATGGCAGTTTAACTGTTGTAAGCTCAAGACCAGCTCACTGGAGGATTCTCTTGCTTTGTCTAAATAGTGATAAAGCTCAACACAACTGTCACAGGCAAAGAGCAGCACAGACATTTCCAGGGTATGGTTTTGAAAAATGTTTAGAGCAAATTCAAATCAATCTTTCATTTAATATTCCTCTATGTATTGGCATAGATCTACATTTGCAATAGTATATTTTTATGAGATATACATTTCCTGCCACACTGTTTTGGCTTCCCAACCATCCTGCGCTCGATTGATAAACCTTGATTCATTTAGCATTTGGCCTCTGAGACAGTAGAGCTGAGCCATATTTGTTTGTTGGGTAACAATATATTTGTGAAAGCATGAAAATTTGCAGCCGCATTTCACGGCCAAATATACCTGCCCAGCATCCATCCCAATGGTATCTCAACACACTACTGGTTCTCCTCCTCTTTCTTGACCCGGGGAACGAACTCTCTGCACTCCGATGAGATGGGGTTCTTCTCTACGTCTCCACTCCTGTACGCCTCGGCATGCCCGCTTCCCGCCGTTATCGCCGCTCCTTTCCTCCCAATGATGTACCAGGGCAGACTGAACATTTCGTCCATCGCCTCAAGCGATTTTCCGGCTGTTTCTGGCAGGAAAAACCACATCCATACGAGACCTACGAGAGTGACCATCGCAAAGAAGAAGAAAGTTCCATATGGCCTCATGGCTGTATCAAGCAGCATTGTCGGGACCGCTTTCGAATTGCCACTACCCATCCAGAAGCCGACGAGTTAGCAGCGTTCTTACTATGCCTCCCGTGCCTTGACTGCGAAAATATGGCTATGGAATGAAACTTACTATTGATTGGCGAAGTGGAAGCACATCACCATTGATGTAGCCAACGACCGGACTCGAAGTGGGAAAATTTCTGCATTGATGAGGTACTGCGGAGTTATTGTCGTTAGCTATCTGCAAAAGCCGGGATCTAGTGCTAGCTTGTTGCGGTATCAAACCTGGATGTTATTCCAGCCAAGTGCCCAGCCCACCCCGGACACATAGATGGATACTATCGCTGCTGTTCCAGCACGCTTCGAGTGCCCATCAGGTATAAAGCCGCTTTGCATCGATGGGACAACGGCTAGATAGATCGCCACGTATAGCATGCTGACAAACTGCAGCGTTATTCCATATCCAAGTGCACGTTTGCGGCCCAAGAAATCGACCAAGAAGAGAGCGCAAACGAGAGAGGACACGAATTTCACCACACCAAAAATTGCTGTTGCGAAAAGTTTCTCTGATTGCCCTGTCGTGCCCAACAGCGCGAAAAAACGGGGGGCATAGATAGTTATGCTATTGGCTCCTGACCATTGACTGAGTAATTGCGACATAAGTCCGATCATAACCCGATAACGGTTGGAAGGCAATATAAAGAGCTCTTTGAGTGGTCCAAACATGTGTGACCCTAGGGTAGCTTCGCGTTCTCGCTCAAGCTGAGCTTGAATGTCCGTCATCTCCGTTTGAACATATGGATGATCTGACGGGAGATTGCGCAACTTAGCCATGGTTTTAGCAGCCTGATCCTGCTTATTGGCCTTGATCAAGTACCTGGGTGACTCGTAAACTGTAAACGAAAGGATGACTATGATTCCAGCAAAAATGAAATGAAGGGTTGTCGGTACAATCTGCATCTGTTGGTTAGTTTTTCCAATGGATCATGGCTGCAGCCCGGTTGCGCTGTGGGAAGAGGCGCGACGAGTGCAAAATCAGTTCCTTACCCATTGCTTAGCTGAGGTGTTGCTAAGATGTATCGAGCTCCCCCAGCTAGCAAAATAGCTCAACATGATACCAAGATACACTGATCCAGAAAAGGCACAGGTGCAAAGGCCGCGTATTGCTCGTGGAGAAATTTCCGCGAGATAGGTGGGAGCTACAACAGTGGTTTGTCCGATCTAGAAAAGGAGGGTCAACGACGCATTATACGCAACTTCAGTAATGAAATGGAGTTATTTAGAGAATCTGACCCCAATGCCAGCGATGAACCGACCAGCGTAGACTTGTCCAATCCGCCCATCTGCAGTCATAAATATGGCGATGCCGACCATCCAGATCGCACATAACTCTCGGGTTGCCCAGACCCGTCCGATACGATCCGTCATAATAAATGCGCTTCGGAGAAGGTTAGCTATAGAGCTCTTCCCATTCACACCGGCTGACTATCTTCTCGGTAAAATTTTCCATCTCGCCCATGAGGCAAACAAAGACTTGGTCTTACAGCAGTGCACCTAAGATGCTTCCAATCTGGACCATCCCTGTTATATTCCCTAACCTACTAGCCCTGTCTTCAGTACTCATATCAGGGTCATCCAGATGATATTCGGCGATAAATGATTTCTGATTCACTGTGCCCGAAATAAGCCCTTCATCAATGCCTGAATGTATCAGAAATACAAATCAGCGATGGACATGGACGTTGTACCGATATAAATAGAAGCAGAACATACCTCGACTGGCTCCCATGATACCAAAACACAAGACTCCAAGTCCCAATTTCCAATTGAGCACCTCGCGAGGTGTATCGATAAGCTGTTGCTGAAATATATTTGGCATATTGAGGGTTGCCACTCCAACAAAAACGGAATGAAACCCTAGAAGCGGAGTAGATGGTGGGATGAGTTAAGGTATTTACACGAAAACAATCAGAAATATATACCCCTAAACCCCTAAATGAAGTGTTTTCCTTGGAGAGTAAGGAAAGATATTGCCCGACATTGGACCGAAAATATTCAACGCATCCGCGTCTGGGAGGAAGCTGGATCAAGATGTCGCTTTAGACATATCGGTCTATCGTTTCACCACAATGTGAAGGTGATATGCTCGTCTAGTGCCTTTAGGTTACATGCCTGACACAACCTGCTTATCGTCTTCTTTTTCTTTTTTCCCCTTTTTTTTTTCTTTGGAGGGGGGAGAAACTGGGGTCGGGGTTCCAGTTAATGTATGGCTTTATGGTGGCTTCAAGTTAACGAATCTAGCTTAGGCTTATGAGGATTTAGCTTTGTGGAGGGCGAAGACCAAATCTATGCCCGAAAATTTGGGTCAAGCCGCGAATAGAAGCCCACACAGCAGCAAATAAAGTCCGCTATTCGCTGTGTAGCCCTTTGAGCGGGAGCCTGGATGACACGATATGGCATTTTTAATGTCGTACATGACACGAAGGCAGGTCATGGTTTCTCAGAAATCGAGTGGGATGAAACTCCAATGAGATTTGAATGAAATCGTTGATATCTGAACTTGTAAACGGTTCAGTTAAGCATTTCAGTGGCGTTTTGATGTGCCGCTAAAGCACCACACAAACTCCACAATGAAAAGCCTTGAAACCGAAACCGAAGACTACCCTCAAGTAACCGTATGTTAACTATCATTATCATTTGTGCACGACCCGCCATCGAGAACGCATGTCCTTGGCTGATCAAGTTACCACCTGAGCTGATGGAGCCGATGCGAATTCCCGTGTAACCACTGTTGAACATCTAAAGAAACCATCTTGGGTTTTGCTACACCTTCGCTGTGGAAGGACGCAGGGCATCGCCGAATACACAGCATTGAACGCACCGGCTTCCATAGGTTGGTTGTCAGAGCCACTATTTTTGAACATATCCCCCCCTTGGTCTGTTGCTTCGAGTATAGAATATCCACCCGAAGGGAACTGAGACTGGGTAGTTATGGGGCTGATGATTCCAAGGGCTACATCAAGAATTACTCGTGCCCATCCATCCCATGGTTAGTCTGTGGATATCGTGATGTTGGTCTTCAATAATCTGTATACACAAGTACTTATATTCGATGCATCTCACGGAGAGCACAGAATACTATGATGCCAGCCGTTTACTCCTTTTATCATCTGTTTGGGGGGAAACACCTGTAGGTTAAAAATGATTTGCTTGCTTCTTCTGCTCATCACTAGTCCTTGACGATCCGCCCCACTGACCAGTAGTTTAAGCCATCCAGTCCACTCAATATTTGCAGAAAACCTCCACAGTTTGGATCGTCTCAGCGCGCCAACAGTAACATACCAGAACGGTTCCTTGGCGAGGTCTAGAGCTAGTTAGTTAATGTAACTGGTGGAAATAGGAGACATAGCCCGGGGACGTATTCAGAGTCGACTACGGGAGTCAGCGGGAGGTTAACAGATTACCCAGTAATACAGGAACTCACGCCATACTACAAAATAGAACTGTCGTAAGTACCGTAGAATTCTCGATGCAGCAAGACGCCCGAGCCATTATCCGTAGCTTGTCGTTACTTTTTGCTCTGCGATGATATGACCCAGCGTACATTGGCATTGTGAAACTCGAATTTGAGATATGGAATTGAGTTTTTGAGTTGTGTAACGAATTTTGATTTATCGTGAAACGACTTAGCTTGAAGACTTATTAAATGGTTAACCACATCTCAGACGATGACGTCATCCGCTGTAAACAACTCCCATCTCTGGCGCAAGGCAAGCAAGCCGCCTTCACAGCTTAACTGGATATGTCCTTCTAAGCCGCTGTCATGGGCCAGCTATCCCCAGGCACTCATACATTCAACGCCCCAAATGGGTTGATATTCAGATACACCATTCGCGGAAACGCAACTGCTAACAAGGGTCAAATGGTTCTTATCCAATGTCCAGGCTGGGGCATAGGACCGCAATACCTTCAATCGGGTCTCACCCCGTTAGAATATGAGTACAAACTCCTCTTCTTTCATCCACGTGGATCCGCAGGGTCCTCCAGGCCCACAAACTCCTCTGAAATGACGTCGTTCGACATGGCTGCCGACCTAGAATTGTTTCGGCAGTACTTAAACATAGACCGCTACCCAATGATGCTGGGGCACTCACATGGAGGGACGATCGTGCTGGCGTATGCCGAAATGTTCCCGCGACATATTGCGAAATTCGTGCTGATCGATCACCGGCTGCTTGGGCATGATGACTCGACAGCGCTTATGCGGCATCGAGAGGAGCGGGAGGGAGATGTTCGATTCGAGTTAGCGTATCATACACTGCGTACGGATTTTCCAACTAGCGATGAGGAACTGAAGGAGTTCATGATCCGAATCATCCCTATCTATTTTTTTTGATCCCGAAACTCATCTGCCTAGATATCTGGAGACGATAGGGGATCAGGGCTATTCGTTTTGGTGCCTGGAAAAGATGCGGGATTGTGATCGGACTGCTGCGATGGGTAAAAGGATGATTGATGGGCTCAAGAATGTCACAGCGCACACTTTGATAATCTTTGGAGCGCAGGATTGCCAGTGTACGATAGAAAACGCGGAGCAAACGAGGAGTCGTGGTGTAGATCTCGCAACCATCGTCATTCTAAACCAGTATGGGCATTTTCCTTGGCTGGAGAAGCCGGACGAAACATTTATGGTTATAACGGAATTTTTCGGGGATGGCCACTAATGAATGGCGGAAGCGTATACGCTTGGTATAGCGCAACAATCCGAGTGATGTTCATCCTCATATTCCCAGGTTTTGTTATCATCATGTCTTTTAAAAAGTGGAGATTGAACGATAGAAACCACGGGCAATCAGAATGGATCTATATCAGTGTTATATTGAAGAGAAACATTGTCGTACGCGCGCATCGACCTAAACTAAAGATCCCGAATGCAGGAGATTGGGACAGCCATATATATCTATTGATGAGGCCTAAACGAAAAAGCAATTCTCCAGGTAACGTCAACAGCAATACATATCTCTGTATATGACAGCTTCGGTGAGTCGTGGGATAACTGGGCTAGGGAGCCTTTGGTGGATGGGTGTGGGGGAAAGGTGCCAAACGGAAACTAGAACTCCAAGGAATCTCCAAGCCTCAACATGAACTGCTAAAGGCAGCCTCGAAAGGGCTTCTGGGTATGCCAAATCAAACACCATCAGTAAAATAAATATTCATGAAAACATAAAACATCGTGCGCACACTATGATTCGCGAATCATTTTCGTCTGTTTCCTAGCGGTCCCGATATGGGTATTGTGGACTTTTGTCGCGAACTTGAGGCTAGTCAGGGTTTCATTTAGATGTTCCTGCCTTGGGCTGACCATGACGAACATCAAGGTTTTGGAGTTACCCCCCAGTGAAAATTGAAGCAGATATGTAAGCTTCGTGGCGATAATTAGCTCGATACGACCAGTAGAGTGAAACGGTTGGCTAACGTACCTTGCTGTTCCTGTACGGAATATGTCCACCTTCTTTTCCTTGCCCAAGGGCCCCGATTACATCGCCCAAGCAACTGAGGCTACGGTTTATGCTTTGAGTTTCCTTCAACCGCTCACCAGTGGCTTTGGAATGGCTCAGCCGCTCACTGCCAGCAAGATCAACTAAGTTAAGTGTACCCTCACTCTTTTCTCCCGTGAAGCGGTTTTCTCCAATTAATTTTAAGATGAAAACGGAATGTGATCGAGAAGATCGTTCGTTTGCTTTGGTTGCAGCAACTGAGCGATTCATGGCAGCACGTCGTAAAATCGACTCGACGCGTGCTGGAGAATCCAAGTTGACTGTTGTAATGTCCGTAATAGTTGTTTTGCATTTTTGCATGTCATGGCGAATCTCATGTTTTTTCTTGTCGAATTCTTCCGCTTTACCTAGTAGGTCGTTCAAATTTTCATTGTAAACCTCTACGAAGTTTCCTTGCATGGTATAATGCCATCCCTTTTCTTCAAGCGCACTTGCGGTATCATATATTTGGTGAACAGCGCAGGGGATCATACCATCTTCAGACGACATCGTGTGAGTTTTCCCGCTGCCAGTTTGGCCGTAGCAGAATATGCAAACGTTGTATCCATCCAAAGCACTTTGGACAAGTTGGCTAATCTCTTCAAAGACCTCGGTGTTTTGAGATGACGGGCCAAATACATGGTCAAAAGAATAAGCATAGGTTTTGGTTGTGATGCTCCCAAGACTGCTCTTCTCCTCTGGGCCAAGGACGGAAATTTCCTTGCAGTCAGCTTCTGAATCTGGGAATTCGATTCTTGCAGAATCCTCGACGGGTTCATTATTAAGTAAGGGACGAACGCGACAGAAAACCCGAATATTTCCCTTCAGTTCCTGTACTTGATTATGGAGCTTTCGTCGCAATGTCTCTTCTTTGCGCAGCTTGTCTTTTGTTGCTTGCGTTTCTGCTAGCGCATCTCGGAGTTGCTGATCAAGGCGGGCAAACGCATCAGACTGTTCTTTGTTACCAGACTCAAGAAATTCAATCCTTGCCTTCAGTGCGCTGACGGAAGACTCCAGAGTCATCGTGTTACTGGCATTCTTAACCATGTTGTGCTGGAGCTCCTTGTTGAGTGTGCGTTCACGATCTAAATCACTCATCAATTGATTCACCTCGGCCTGAATGTCCCTGAGATCGCGATCCCTGTTTTCCATTTCAATTTGAGAACGTTGTAAATCGATGGCAGTTTGAGTATTGATTTGGTTCAGTTCCTGTCGTAGTCCGTTCCGTTCATTCTCGATCTCATTGTCAAACCGACTACGTAACTCCCTCATTTCTTCCTTGTGTTTAGCCGCAAGCTCTTCAATTCGTTTGCTTGCTTCTTGACGCGATGCGTCTAAATCAATGCGGTGCTGTCTCTCTAAATCATCAATTGCAATCTCATGGTCACGCGAAACATCTTTAAGGTTGTTCTCAATCGTCAAGAGGCGAGATTTTGTAGTATCAAGGTCAACGCGGAGTGTAATATTATGCTCGGAAAGCTGCGAGTTCTTTTCCTCTACCTCCTGAACTACAGATATCGAATTATTGGGTTAGCAGAGATACAAGTCATGAACAACGGAGCGACTAGAATCATCATTTCGTACGTACGGCGAGATTTATACAGCTCTATTGCTTCCTTGAGTCCGGCACTTTGGTTCGTTGTGCCCTGAAAACGATTGAGAAGCAAATCACACATGGCGTTCATTTTTTCCATTTTAGCGTCCTGGTCCCATGCTTCTACTGAAGAACAACGAGTTAGGTATTGTTTCATTTTTGGAGGTGATTTCCGAGGAGATTTTTTCAAGGGTTGAGGAATGTTGGGTGAAGGGGTGACTGTGCTTTGGGGTATCTTGGTTGGAGATTTGGTTGCCCGAAAATCGGGCCTAGCCGTTTGCAGGGGCTTATTATCATTGGGTGATGGGGCAATAGGTGATGAACACGGATTCAGGGTTAGAGCGCTTATTGCGGTGCTCAATGAAACATCTCGTACAGGTTCACGTGGAGGATAAGAAATTGATCGTGCGGCAAATGAGCTAGACCAATCTGAAGTAAAATTCATTTGGTTGTCATAGCTTCCGTTTTTTCTTGAAATCGGTCCTGGGTTCAACTGGAATGAAAGTGTAGAGCGTGTCAAAAGAAATGGATCCATACCCTTTCGCTTTCCCAAAACGGAGTCTTGGGAATCGTCATCTCGAGTGCTCATTGAAGTTACCGGACGTGGCGAAGCGACTCTATGTGAATGGCTATATCCGAAGGAAGTCTGAGGTCGTCCGATGCTATGGGCCGATGGTCTCGTTCGCGAACTAGGGCCATGGGAAGAAGAGGTTTGGTTGTGTGGCGCATTTCGCGAAGCAGCGGATGCTGGGCGGGAGGAGGTTGAGGTCGAAAGAGCAGATAAGGGCCTGGAACTCATAGATTTCGAGGCAGAGTGGCTAAGATGGGTTTTCTTTCTAGTTTCCCCACCCCTTTCGACTAATGTTTTCCTCGTCTGCATGGCCGATTCTGTCACTAGTCGGTCGGCGGTTAGAAATGGTTCTATGCGACGGGAGTATGCTATCCATGTCCTTGCTGGAACCTACCGATTGATTCGACATGTTTTCGGCTGATAGTGCCTGGCGGGGGCATCATGGTACCGGCGGCATTGTTATTTGCGGACACGGTAATATCATGAAGGCTTCTGCCATTGGAGTTGGCTCTGTTTGGGCGAGGAATGCTCGAGGAGAACTGTAAGTGCGGTCAGCGGACTAGTCGCTGCATGCCATTGAGGGTAGCATGACTAAATATTCACATACCCGGTGAGTATTCTCATCGCTGTCCATGATGAATTAAATGTACACAATCACTGCACAAGAGGGAATTAAATGAGAGTTATGGATTCAACTGATCCATGAAATGAGGCGCAATTCAAATGCAATCCATGGAGCTGGGAGATTATACAGCGAAGGTAAAGTCGAGACAAGAAGGATTGAGTTGGAATACACCCCTTTGTCCCTAGAGGGGATATACTGCGGAAAGTGCGCACGAGTGTAGTTGCTGGAACATGCGGATGAGATACGAAGATAAAAGGTTGTTGGCATATAGCAAACAACTGCGGAGGTCCGTTGTCGGGCCAACTGGATAAATAAAACTAGACTGCGTTGGGCTTGCTGCAAACAGTGCAAATACTGCACTTACACACGTGATCGTAGCGCTTTTAGCTTGGAACTCCATACTGTGCCAGGACTGATATGATTACATTGAAGAGGGGTCAAAAGAATATGCAAAAATCCCCTGCAACTACCGACACAGAATCCTTGTCACCCGTCAATATTTCCCTGCCGTCTTGTCTGGCTAGCGACTCATTTGGGTTAATTAGAGCCGGCCAATTATTTAAGTGTCCGTGTTGGCTGCGCAACACATCTCACCCACAGTTCAACGGATACCATAACAATAACTCCCATTCCCAATCGCCCCTCCGCGCGGACTAGTTTTCCCATATCTTGAACATTTTCTCTCCTGAACCTGTCTGCTACCTAAATTCCAACTTTCAACTAGTTTCGTAATGGCGGGTCGTTTTGTTCGTTCATCAAAGTATCGTGCGTGGTTCTCTCGACCTCAACCCCCATGACGTCCTACTTCCAAGACTGACTGCGATGATGCTCCCGCAACAGGCCATATCTTCGGACGCTCAACAAGAAAGGTATGGCCGCCATTCCATGCTCTTTGAATGAACTGACCTAGCCTAACACGTTGAGTGAATTTGTAGGAACAATGTTATGACAATCTCCATATTTCCAAAAATGCCTGGGATACGAATTTGGTCAAGGTCCATTCTCCCGCCACCCACACCCGCCCCTGGATCTCACAAAAGCATCTGAGAAAATATAACGAGTCCTGCAATTGAAATTCGTTCTGATAATCCGGATAGGTCAATCCGAAATACATATCTGTCAACTGGGAAACTTCAGGAGGTGGCGCCTTCGCCGTACTCCCACTTCATGAAACAGGCAAAGCACCAGACCGATTCCCCCTCTTCCGTGGCCATACCGCCGTCGTACTAGATACAGACTGGTGGGTACATCTTTAGATGCTCTCTGACGGACGAAAGATGATAACAGTCATATTTGCTAGGAACCCTTTCAACGACTCTTTGATCGCATCTGGTTCAGATGATGGCAAGGTACAATGTCTCTCACGCCCATGCATCCCCCCTTCCCCGCCTACTTCAAACGACTATCATGTTATACCCGTCATACTAAGACTGAACACTCCGCCAAACTTCGACAGGTTTTCCTTTGGAGAGTGCCTGAAAATTTTACTCTGCACACAGACGCAGAGGAAATCGCAGATGTCGCCCCAGTTGGAAAATTAAGCGGACATCCAAGGTGTGTGGATTCCCTTGCTCTTAAGCATCCGTGAGCGTAACAATGACTTACCCGAATCCGTCACTAATCGGATGTTCCTTTTCTTTGCTTTTCATTTCTGGTAGGAAAGTTGGACACGTCCTTTTCAATCCCGCCGCTGAGAATGTGCTAGCCTCCTCATCCGGCGACTACACTGTGAAAATCTGGGACATCGAATCCGGATCATCAAAGCTCACGCTGAAGCATGCCGAAGTTATTCAATCATTATCATGGAGTGCAAACGGTTCTATGTTAGTTACTACTTCGCGGGATAAAAAACTTCGTTTCTGGGACGTGCGCCAGGAGAAACCTGCACACGAAACAGCTGGCCATTCCGGTGCAAAGAACAGTCGCGCTGTATGGATGGGTGAACACGACCGCGTCGCCACCACTGGATTTTCAAAGATGAGTGATCGCCAACTAGCCTTATGGGATATTCGCGCCCCCCGAGAACCCATTAATGGATTCAAGTCTCTTGACTCAATCTCGGGTGTTTGTATGCCATTTTGGGATGACGGAACCCAATGTTTATATTTGGCTGGGAAAGGGCGAGTAAATCAGAGTCCGCGACCCTACACTAATGCACTTTATTTAACTGACATTTCCATAGCGATGGTAATATTCGATACTTTGAATATGAGAATGACAAATTCGAATACCTGTCGGAATATAAATCAGCAGATCCACAGCGTGGTATCGCCTTTATGCCGAAGCGTGGGGTGAACATGCATGACAATGAGGTGGTTAGGGCTCTCAAAACTGTTAACGACACTTACATTGAACCCATCTCCTTCATTGTTCCTCGACGGGCTGAAATGTTTCAAGACGACATCTACCCACCCACTACCGGTCTCAAGCCAGCCATGTCAGCGGCCGAATGGTTTGATGGCAAGGAAGCCCTTCCCCCAAAGATTGATTTGGGCAGTTTATATGGCGGAGAGGGACTAAAGGAGGTTTCTCCACTAAGCCCTCCAAACGCGGCCCAGAAACACAGCTCACCTGTTCAGCAAAGTGAACTGACCCCGAAGGAGCCATATCCTAGCAAACCTGCTGCTGTTTCCGGAAGAGTTGACACTCCTCCCTCCGTAAAGGAACAAAGTTCCTCTATTGCGGCCATGGCCTCCAAATACGCAGATGGCGAAGAAACTGACCGTGATGTGGATGATGGTTCGAGTTTCGAGGAGGTTCAAAAACCAGCAAGTAGTCGCCCCCCTGCTATCACATTTTCTCCGCCGGAAACTAGTGAAGCAACTCCATCGAAAGTAGTGCCGAAAGTAGATTTACCCTCAACGGACTCTACAGCCGAGAAGGTATGTCACTTCTTGTCTTTAGTCTTTTTTCGCTTTTTTTGCTTTTTTTCTTTTTTCGTCTACCCCCCATTAAAAAAAAGTAAATCAGGGTTAATTGGTACACTGATAATTAACCCTTCGCCCTCATTAACAGTCTTCAACATCAACCCGTATCACGGATATTTCGGCTGGCGTACAGGATGTAGTCCAACGTGAGTTATCCTCGTTAAAGAGCTTGATTTCAGAACAAGGCCGAACAATTGCTGCGCAGACGCGACAGATCGAGTTCTTGACGAATGAAATTGAAGATCTCAAGGCGAGATTAACCTAATATTGGCTGTTTCTATCTACCAGGCGCCAAGCGCTCCGCTAACTAACTATATATCGTATTGGACATATATGCCCCATATTGTTCTGTGCGGGTTTTCACTGGCCAGCTCCTCGCGTCCAGACTTGTGCGCCTCTAGGGGAGTTGCCTTCGTTGTTTATAGTTGCGTAAACTCTGTTTTGCCCATGCCGGCACATTGTTCTCCTAGTTATTTTAGTTGATGTGCTGTTGGCGAGCGTTAGATTTGTACAGCCCCCTCCTCAATGTCCTCAATTTCGATCTACCCTAGCGTTGTATGACCTTCCAGCAGATAGCTGTCAGCTAAGTCGAGTTTCAAAATTCAGCGTGTTCTTACGACACTTTTCTCGCCGGGAATTTTTATTTGAAAATCGCTGTTTCACAGGTGACGATTCTACGCAAGATACCAAGCCAAGAAATTACGTTCTGATCCAATATCGTACATATTGGGAGCATATTGTCCCCCTCCGGTTGATCCATCGTAATCATATATATGCACCGCAGGCTTCGCAAGAAAGACAGACGCCACTAGACCAGATTCTACCCTACAATAAAATTGGGAGAACAAAGTAGAGAGTATTCATCCACGCCACGACTGCAACACGCCATCAATCTTCTCACGCATCCGAAGGGCTGCTTTAGGATTCCTCGCGGTTGAGAGAACAAGATGTTCATCCGACGTGTATGTACGGCTGACATACCCCCAAAGCGTAGACTGGGCCACATGTGTCGAACACTTCGCGACGGCGTCTGCATTCTTCTCCGAAACAAGTCGTTGCAACAGCGACTTATCCGCCGCTGGCATTTGGGGATACTCATGCTCCCACTTCTTCCATATCGTCCTATCAAGTAGGGCAGTGAGTTTCGCGAACTCTGCAGAAACTTGCGCTATAATTTCACAGGGGGCATAGATGCCTAGCTCAGGGCCGAGATCGTTAGGCTGTCGTGGGGATGCCTGGTAATGTAGAGGCGTAAGTATTTGAATCCAGGAAATAAAATGGAGATGGAACTTAATAAATAATCCAGCAACGGAGGGGAGGGATGGCAGCTTACATGCTGAACGAATACAGTCCTACTGTCGTTGGATGCACGTATCAATCTGCGGCATTGACGAAGCATAAATTTATTTTTAAGGGGTACAAAGGCATAGCCGGGAAGCTGCAGGTCTTCATTGATGAGGATCTGTATACTGAAATCAGATCAGGTACTCAAATGGCATGTAGCGCATGTGTTGGGAGAAACCGATTCAGAAGCTATGCACACGTACCGTCTCCCCAAGGCTATTTACCTTGGGAGTAATGATCTGTTTCGCATTTGATGAGCAGTTCCTCGCAATTATCGGAAGGGCGCGAAGGTCCCGAAATGATGATCGTATGCTGCTATACCATGAGACTTGAATCCTGACACGCCACGATAGGAGAAATGAGAGGCCCATTCCGCTTGCAATGGCATGACACCAGAGGAGAGATCTCGGCCTAATGGCGCAAGTCTTTAAATGCGCCAATGATGATTTACGGTTTTCACTTCCACATCAACGAGTAGAAACTCGAAGATATAAATAGTCACAAATATATGTATATATAAAATCATCACGTGACAAGAAAATATCCGTTATGGTAAAGATTACGGCCTTGGGTGTCAAATATCATTATCTATCCATTAACTTAGGTATATCTCATGTTTATTGGGTGTAAAGGCTGGAGAAACACAACAACTATTGAAGACCCGTACGGTGTGGCAGGAATGAATGGGATTAATTCGTCCCTACCAGTGGTGATCGAGCTCTTTTGCCCCAGTGGTTTAACAGAAAAATCAGAAATTAAAAACAAAAATTGCAAGATATGAATTTACTGAAAGATCTATCAAAATATCAGGTATCCCGTATCTATTCACTCCTCGAATGGAGCCCTTTTATCTTGCTGCCAGGGCACGCCAATAAGTTCGACAATCCGTAGATAAGAAGATCGTATTCCAGAAACCAGGGGACAAGAGTACATATACAGCACATGAAGTCGCGGCAGCAAGTCCTCCACCAACGCCGATAAATTTGTATAGATTCACATAGCCCTATACCCCCATCGGAAAAGATGACCTGTCTAGAGAATGAGTTGTAACAAAGAGAAAGGTAAAATATGGAGGGGAACGTATTCCAGCCGGTAACTCCAGAGCCTATCCCATCATGCCTTTTAAGCCCATCGTGCTGCTTCTCGTTCAAGCTCGACTCGTGTCGCTCTGGCTTGGTCGCTTTCCTCATCCTCATATTTGTAACTGAGGTGTCTCCCGCCTAATGTCCTCCCCTGACGGCTCTCACGGTGTCGGCTATTTCTACCGTGGCGATCCGCATTCATCGCATCTCGCCGTTGTTGTTCTTTTAGGAGACGTTCTTTATCTCGTGCCTCGCGCTCTAGGGTATGTGGATCTTTCACTTGGACTCGCGGTTCCCGATGTTCTGCAGATTTCTTCTCGCGATCCATAGCACTAATTTCTTCTGGCTCACAACGCTTAACGCGACGGGAGTGTCGGCGATAATGATCTGGATCTTCTGGGGATTCAGACCGATCACGACGAGACCGCTTGCGGTCGCGTTCGTGGTCCCTGTCACGATCCTTCTCTCGTTCGCGATTTGGACCCCGTCCACGAGCTCTCTCCTTATCTTTATCCTTAATCTTATTTCTGTCTCTGTCTCTCTCCCTATCCCTATCCCTGTCCCGGTCCCTGTCCCGGTTCCGGTCCCGATGTCGGCTGGATTTATCTCCGGTCGTAGATCCATTGGCTCTCTCTTTGGTGGAGCGATGTTCACTGCCTGGGACTACAAGATCGCGTTTTTCACCTAACGAAGATAGTTTTACACTGGTATCAAAAACGCTGACTTCGCTAGTGTTCCGGTCATATTCACGATGTTTGGGGCTCGAACTTCGACTGCGGTGACGGAGTGAACGATGGGATGAAGAAGGTTTATGTTCGTTCTTTCGCTCCATACCACGCCTACTTCGATGTTCCACTCGCTTTCGACGATCTGATGAAACCGACCGAGATCGCGAATCCTTATTAGCCCGACGACTGGACCCCTGGTCATCGTTTTCTCGCCGGGATTTTCGTCTCTGCTTTCGATTCTCTTCCCTGCCTTGGTCGCTGCCGGAGACGCTGGGCGAAGGGGATTGATGCCGATGCCGGCGGTGGTGACGGGGCGGGTGACGAGACGGAGATCTTGAGATGGACATATATCGAGATGCGGGTTGTTCCAGTGGTGGAGACGGCGAGCGACTGGAAGTCGAATGTTAGAATTTACTTTATATTCAAGGGCAAGTGGTAGCAAGCGGATGGAAAAAATTAATTCATTACCTTTTTACTTCCTTATCCCGCTTTAGGGTAGGGCTGCTTGCAGTCTGACGACCAGAGAACCCTCTGCCGTTGCGGATGGTGACATTTGCCAACCCTTCCCTCATAGCTCTTGGAGCAGCTGGTGCTCCAACAACACCCATCCCCCGAGGTTCTGTCGACGTTGTGTTGTTATGAGAAGTAGGCAATAACGTTGGGGACGGGTGTACCCTTTCATTCGAATGGATGAGTGCATTATTTCGGTTTCCCTCTGACACATTTATATACACTCCGCTTGTCTGGCCACTACCTGGATCTGAGTTGTCATTAGTCCCTCGTTGTGTTACAGCACCTACCTGCACGGTTGTCCCGGATTCGGTGGCTCGATTGACAGGAAGTTCATTATATGTAGGCGCATTAGAATCGTGAGGCTCCACAGCAGCCAAGACTGATTCGTTGGTTGCCGCATTCTTGGGCGAGACTGCCGCGTGCTCGTCCGTTGCTTGGTTCTGCTTAAGTTCATCCTCCCCACCTGGACATAAGTCATCATTAAACTTTTTAACATGATCCAAGTCTGGGGTAATTGCGGGAGATACAAGATCCAGTTGGTGGAGGGAATGCGAGGTCATATGGGGTTGGAAGGAGGAAGCTTGGTTAGTAGATAATGGGTAACTACCATGCGCTGCAGACATAAAACCGCCCCGTCCACGGCCATTAGAGAGAAATCCGCGGCCTCTGCCACGGCCACGGCCGTAACTAAGACCAAATTGGCTGTGGAAGTCATTGTTAGGATATTGCTGTTGCTGATGCATGTGAGGATAATTTGCGTAATTCTGGGACATATTATATCCACGATATCCACCAGGACTAGGGCCAAATTCAGCAACCATGCGGTTGGCAAATGGATTTGCATTGAATTTATCTGGACCTCCATTCCACACATTGCTCTGACCATCCCATGCGCCATACATTCCCTGCCCTGCGTTGAAATTCATTCCAGTATTCATGCCATCATTCATGCCATTGATATTGACCCCATATCCGCCAAACATACCATGACTCGACGCCATCGGATCCAGTCCCATCCCAGCCATCCCAGGAGGTCCTAAAAACAGTGTTAGCGACTAGTGGAAATTGAAAACGAAAGTAAAGTGAAGCGTACCAATGCCATTTTGGAATGGCATCACCCCGTTTAGTTGAACACCGCCGGGCAACGTTTGCATTATTTGGCCATAATTCGACGACCCTTGCCAACTGGTCTGAGATAAACCTCCCATCCCATTCATACCATATCCCTGTCCATTGACATAAGCATCCGAACCTCGCGAGAGAGTTGAAACTCCGAGCAGTTGTCCCGAAGTGAGGTCGCCTGTGCCGTTACTGGAGTCAGCGTCTGGTTGCCAAGGGGCTGATGCCCCCGGCGGGACAAGGTTTGCATTGTCATTAAACAGGCTTTTAGCGGTCCCGAGGGTGGAATTTCCAGGCTTTAGTAAGGTATTATTAGCGAGGCTGTAATTCACGTTCCCTGAGAAGGAGATATCCCTGACTAACCACTGCTTCAACTTGTATATCCCTACTGTTGTTGATAGCGTCATCCGGGGTTGCGGTTGGCAATGTCGAGGTGCTGATGTTATCCATTGCTTCCATGGTGGCAGCAGAATGGTTTGGGTTATTTGCATCGTCGGCAACGGAAGCGCCATTGGGTTCTGAAGCATCACCCACGTGGTCTAAGGCCGTAGAGGGGGGAGGGAAGGAGTTTGAGTTCACATGGTCAACAGGTTCGTTGGGTTCGGGTTCAGTAACAGGAAGAGGAGCTGGCGGACGATCTTTCTCTCTTTTCTTTTCTTCGGTTCGCAAAAATGCCCTTAGAGTTGTTCTCAGGGCTTTATTTGGTTTGCATAGGTCGGAAGAGAGAGGCGTATGTGCGCAGACTGGACAACATTCCGGGAGGGAGCCTTGGCCTATGTAAAGTAAATCAGGCACGAGAGAAAAATACATGATTCCAGAGTTAGGGGATATTTACAGTTCTCGCATATAGCCTGATCGCAGCACGGAAGACGGAAGGCATTTATCGCAAGTTTATTGCAAATAGCACAGCGCAGTTTGAAAGGGATTTCATCTTGAGCAAGAGAACTGAAGGGAATGTTAGTACTCAGTTTGATTCATACAACAGTGGAGCGCAATTCAATGCCACCTACTTTGCAATTTCCATAAGGCCCGACGCCAGATCGAGAGTCGCCATGTTCAGAGTTATGAGACAATAGGTCTACAGCCGAGCAACGAATAGGGAGTGGGCTGGTTGAGGATCAAGATGGAGAGCTGAGGGGAACCAGACACGTGCTGGGAACCATTCTGAAGCCAAACGGACAAGGCGCGCAACAAAGGCAGCACCTGGGGTCAGGGGAATCGGGGCAACCGACCGTGATTCTAAGGTTGCTGTTGGGGAGCTGGCTGTTGGAGCTTCAATCGGTGATCAAGTTGGTCGTTTATCGCAAGCCCTTGAGAAAATTCCTGAATCGGACTCGGATTAAATAGCGGTCCGGCGCCTATTTTTCCTTGCTCTGCGTGACTGCACAGATACAACGACGTACATGTACTTGGACTGATAACGAGCAGTTTATCTCTCCCTAGTTTATCGGCTTGAGAGAGTGCCTCATCTAATGTAGTAAATTAACCCCCAATTTGTACTCGATATTAATGTACTGGGTTAGTTGCTATAGTTCTCAGAAACAATGCTCTATGTTTGCTTATATTTTCTGCATATGTTTGTATGGCTGTATTTCTGTATTCATTTCTTACTGGCTCAAAGCTAAAACAAAACAAGAAGGAGTACTAGATGAGGGGTGACACCGCCGCGACCACGAAAAGAGTTAAATAAAAAGGCCAGGGCCGCCCTCACTCTCAGAGCAGAAACAGCAAAATACATTCCACTCGAGACCACCACTGGTTGTGAAAATAAGCTTTGCTCTTTGACAGCTATTGCGACGCATCTTACACCTGGTTATCTATATCCGTCACGTGTCCGTTTTAGATGGGTGGTGATAATAATAAACTTCATATCTGTTCATCCCGCTTCACCACCAAGCAGCGCACCCTGTTGTTGGCCCCGGACGGGCAGGTTTGTACCTGCAGTCGATACCGAGCAAGACTGGACTATTACCTTGGTTCCTATATCCACCTCTTCACCTCTACTCTATCTGGTAGGCGAGTGCGACTAAGCCCTCATCCTGCTATCTCAAAAAGCTTGCTCGGCCCACTCACAATACCGCAACATAATATAACTGCTAGGTAAGGTGTTTCTCAAATGCTATCCCCATTATTTCTCTCTCTCTTTCTGCGTCCCGTCATTCCTGTCTTCTGAGCCCTCTCCACTTCTGGACCGCACACCGCGCTCGAGAATGCAATCGACTGTCTGGAAAACTTCTCCATCCGTGGAGTCAGACCACGTTTTCATCACACAACATGGACACATACTGATGACTTTATATCCAACCGTGCTGACATCTCTGGCCCCAGCGATGACAGACCAAGATAACTCGTACAGACCCCGATCCCCAGACTTTTCTGGCTTTCCCGGGTCCCTCCAGCTTCCCCCAAGTCCCTACGGACAGACCCCTTACCCCCTTAACAGTCCTCTGGCCCACAGAGCCTCGTACGACGCGTCGCCTTTCTTCAACCCACAGGCGCCCCAGCCCCAGCCGCAATTCCAACGGGCAGCCCAACAATACATCCCCCAACCCCTCGATACAAACTACTCCCCGCATATCATGCCCCCGCAAACTAGATCGCGGGCCGCTGCGGAGCAACAACCCATGGACTGGCATGCATTGCCTGAGTCCCCACCAGCACCAGAGAACCATTCAAACAATACGAGGAGGACCGCGCCTTCACAGTCTTCTGGAGGAATCGAGGTCAGAACGAAGTTTCCAGTCGCGAGGATCAAGCGTATTATGCAGGCCGACGAAGATGTTGGCAAAGTTGCCCAAGTCACTCCAATTGCCGTTTGTATGTGTCCTATCCAGCCTCTCTTCTGCCTCCTCGCTCCCTCCCTCGTGTTGACACAGCCGACGTTAATTTTTAAATTATAGCCAAAGCGCTCGAGTTATTCATGATTTCCCTCGTCACGAAAGCAGCGAAAGAAGCGAGGCACCGATCTTCCAAGCGAGTGACCGCAGCCCATCTCAAAGAAGCCATTAGCAAGGACGAGGTTCTTGATTTTCTTGCGGACATTATTTCCAAAGTCCCTGATCACAGTTCTGGCGGAAAGAAGGATGATGATGGGAGTGATCAAAATGACGGACGCAGGAAAAAAGCCGGGGGACGTCGAAAGAAAGAAGACCAGGATGATTTCTAGCATGACATTAATTGTTCTTAACTCTACCCCTGCTACTATGTACTCTCCGTATTCTTCCTTTGTCTCCACTCGAATCTTTTCCTTTCCTGTGCCTTTGGTGTAAGCATTATTAGGGAAACGGGGTGTTCATTGGGTTTAGGGTATTTTTCTCTTTGGTTAGCTGGAGCCATAAGTTGTGATCCTGTTTTTGTGGTTTGTAACAGAGTACGCGTCACTTTATGTGTCCAGGTATCTGGTGATTAGCATCCTCCTTGGGGAATGAGCCATGGGAGTATATTATTAGTTTGTTTTGTATGTTTTCCCTATCAATTTTTTTTTTCTTTTTTTTTTTTAATAAAATTTTTATTGTTACTTTATTTCCCCCTGCATGGTCTGGTCGGAAGATGAGGAGAGCAATGCATCCCCATGATAATTAAGTATAAGAGACAACTTCTCCCAAATCATTGTAGAAAAAGAACGGAAAAAGATATGAGGAGGATAGTGCTGAGATGGTTATACTAAAAGTGCATGAAAATGAAATACTTATATCCACAGCACAACATCAGGCGATGATGTAGATAATATACAGGCTATTAAAAATCTAGATATACTGAATACGGAGAATAGACAAACATAAAAACCCTTTTAAATATGATAGAACTGTTTACTACTGGCTATTGATGCCAATACTTCTAGATCTGCTTTTTGTACAGAGTATTGACTAATGTAGAAAGATTCAGTGAATCTCAATATTCAGTTTAGTGAATGGTTATGTTTCGTGTTGATTTGTTTTCTTTTACACATAGTAAAAATATCTCCGTTCATTATATATTTTTTGAAGTATTGAAAGAACTTTTGGTTATTGTCTATGGGGGATCCTATCAAAAGCTTTGATTATTGTAACCAGCATTAAATATTTCCATTCCATGTCTTAACAAGAGTTACAGCAGGGTTCTTGGGGGGTTAGTGCCTGTGACACCTGAATAAACCACTACAGCTTAACTAAAGAATGGCCTAAATCTCAAGGTGCTGGGGAATGAAGATTCTTGAGAATGGGAGCAATATTATAGCTTAAATTCCTAACACATATTAAAACTTTTGAAAGGATTTGCTGTATCTAAAAGTTACAAGTATTTACACAATTTATTCCTTCTTTTCACTTCATTGCATGTTGCACTGTAGCAGCCTCTACTTTACAAAAGCATTTCTGCCCAGTGCTCTCATTGATCACAGTAGTTAAAGAATGGAAATTCTATTTCAAATCAGTTAGGCTTTAGTCATTAATTGTCCCTGAGAAGTATTACTTCTAGCTTTAGATCTACAGTGATTTTGAGTGGTGTATGAAAACTATTAGAAAATATTCTGTTCTCTGTTTACAATCTTTTGAACTCATTCATCTTGGCATCCCTAAGTATTATTTTCATATTAACTCAATGTTATTGGCTTTTTGAGTTATTGATGATGACAGTGAAAGAATTGAGCTCCTTTGTCCCAGGAACTAGCCTGGAAGAATTGAGCGAGCGCTAGTCATTACTCACATCATTCATTGTTGGTTTTAGCTGAATCTGATCAACATCCAGTGTCACCCAGCGCCCAATTGTATGCCCACGATTTCCAGCCGTACGATGACTGTTATCCCAAGCCCGCGGTTTATCGGTATAACAAGTGAGTCACTGTGACTCATAGACCATGAAGCAGTGTTATTCATTCCAGACAGCTAGATCTAGGAATATATTCTCACTGAGATTCCTTCGAATGAACCATCATCAGCACAATGCTGGAGTGAGAATCTAGCTGGAAGTGTAACAATGGTTCAGGTTTCAGAGGTCCTCAAGGTGCTGTATGTCATAGCTACGGCAACTATACTCCTCTTCACCATTGCGTCCTTCGTTTTCAATTATGGCCAAAAATCGTCTCCCAGGTTGCCGGGCTCGGGAGAAACCGCTCTGCGGTTAGTTGGGAAGTCGGTTGTCGCTATATCTTACATCGTCGAAATAGCTCTTATTTCTCTCCATCGCGATGAAATCACGGCAGATCGATTGGTTGCCGGTGTATTCTATGGATTAGCATGGTTTGCGCACTTGCGAAAGACTTTCCTCTTTCCCGGGACCCTTGGTCTTACTTCAATCACACTCGGGTTTGCTATTCCCATCCTGGTACTGAATGCAGTGTATCATGGGGCGGCTGCCGAATACGCGGCATTATTGACTATCGCTTCCATTCGACTACTCATTGTTGCAAGTTTTCTCGTCGACTACATCGCCAGCCGTGAGAAGACATTTGGACCGGAGGACACCGTGCCACTTATTAATGAGGAGAACGGCGAACCTACAACAAGCCAAGCTTCCTACGGCACCGAGTCCGTGTTATCTCGATCTGCCAGTGGAGAAGGTTATTTTTCTAGTGAGGGCGATGGCGGCTGCGATTCAGATGGAGACGATAGTGATGAAGATAGTGGTCGCAGGGACTCTCGGATAGGCCAGCTTCGCAAGAGGGGGAATTGGACAACCTACCTCAACAAGTTCAAGGTTTTTCTCCCGTGTTTGATCCCCAAAAGGGATTTAAAGGTCCAGGCTTGCCTTTTAACATGCGTGTTTTGCCTGATTGCCAACCGTTTGCTGAACATCTTAGTTCCCCGCCAGCTTGGAATCGTAACCGACAAGCTTCTCTCACGGCAGTTGCCGTATGCTGATCTATCTATCTACCTGATTCTGAGCCTGTTGCATGACGACTCTGGTGTCGGCCTTATTGAAGCGCTCTCAAAAATCCCAGTGGAGCAATTCTCGTACCGGCAGCTCACAAGCACCGCCTTCAACCACGTCATGAGTTTGGCAATGGAGTTCCACTCCGGCAGAGATTCTGCGGAAATTATGAAGGCTATCGAGCAAGGGGACGCGCTGACCAGGGTCCTTGAGACAGCTATTTTAGAGATTCTTCCCACTATTGTCGACATGTTTATTGCCTTTGTCTTCCTGTATCTTAAATTTAACCCCTCCGTTGCTATTTGCATGCTCTTCTCCTCACTCATGTTTCTTTCACTTGAAGTGATAACATCCGGCTGGAACATTGACAACCGTCGGCGGATGACCAAAGCACAGAGGCAGGAGGCTCGGGTCATGCACCAGGCTGTTCAAGGTTGGCAAACCGTGTCGTTGTTCAGCATGTTTGACCACGAGAAGTTTAAGTTCGGTTGTGCTGTGGACAGGCATCTCGTAGCAAAGAAAGACTGGTCAACGCGAGATGCCTATATTAAGGCGCTGACAGAGGCGATGATGCCGATCACATTTTTCCTCCTTGCGTGTCTTGTCGCCCATGAAGTCTACGAGGGACGTGCCTCCCCAGGAGACCTTGTCTTTTTGATTCAGTACTGGGAGTACCTGGTTTGGCCCATCAAATTTCTCTCTCACGAATACCGATATCTCATGTCGGACCTCGTCGATGCGGAGCGGTTGCTCGACTTGCTCACGACCAAATCCACCGTTGCAGACAGGGATGGAGCTCCCGACCTTGGCACAGTTGAGGGCGCAGTAGAGTTTGAACACGTGAACTTTACATACGATTCCAAGAGAACTGCGATCAGGGATGTAAGTATCTCCGCTGCACCTGGAGAGACGATTGCGTTAGTTGGCGCTACTGGGTCGGGAAAATCATCGCTCATGAAGCTTCTGCTCCGGTTTTACGATGTTACTTCTGGCCACATCAAGGTCGACGGCCATGACATCCGTGATGTGACTCAAAGATCGCTGCGAGACGTCATCGGAGTGGTTCCCCAGAACCCCCTTTTATTCAATACAACAATCATGGAAAACCTCCGATATGCTAAACTTTCTGCTTCTGATGAAGAGATTTACAATGCTTGCCGAGCAGCAGCTATCCATGACAATATTCTCACGTTCCCGGAGGGCTATAACACTCAGGTCGGAGAGCTGGGTGTTAAGCTGTCAGGAGGTGAATTGCAGCGGTTGGCAATCGCAAGAGTCTTCTTGAAAGATCCGCCAATACTAATCTTAGACGAGGCAACTAGCGCTGTTGACTCCGAGACTGAATCAGAAATTCAGGGTGCGTTGAAAAAGTTGAGCAAGAAGAGAACCACTTTTATCATTGCCCACCGTTTGTCCACCATTGTCATGGCGAACGAGATACTTGTGTTGCAAGAGGGCAAGGTCATTGAGAGAGGGACTCATACTGGACTACTGGAAAGGGGAGAGAGATACCACACCCTGTGGCAACATCAATTCATTTATTCGAAGGAGTAGATGCCTATTGTCTAGCTTCGAATTCCAAGTTGTTGATAAATTGAAAATAGAGTAGAAATGGAACATTCTTCAGCTATCTCCAAATAAATTGGCTGCAATCTTAACTTTCCTGACACACTCCTTCTCCATCGCAGCTATCAACCATGAAGTGCCCCAAGTGCAACCACAATAACCCGACCTACAAGCACAATTGCGGGGGGTGCGTTGCTGAGCTGCCCAAAGCTATGAAAGGGTCCTAAATCTAAGAACCAGGCTCAAAGGAAAAGGCCTGGCTTGAGCCTCCGGTATGCTTCCTTTTCTTTACTCAATAGCCTAAGCTCATCGGCTTCAAGGACGTATCCCCGATGAGAGCTAATCTTCATATGCTCGTTCAAAGGTATCGAACACGAGGGAATTGTATTCATTGGGCCCTTTGTGTCACTTGTTTATCTGTGTTCTGTGTTCACATGATATTTCTCCATATCAACTTGCTTTTTGTCACTCGTTTATACATGTCTCTCTGGCTTTATTATGGTATATAAAACATATCACTGTTGCTTCAGCATTTTCCAGCCACCTTAAAACTTTGCTGTCCCATTGAAAAATCATGATACGAATTCACCGTTGCCAAGAAATCTCTCACATAAAGTATGGGATTTCTGCTTAGGGATAGTTGCATGCAAGACTTGATCATAGAGAAAAGTGCTTGAGATACCGATAAGAAATCCTGTCGATCTTTTAAGAGAGATAGGTTAAACACCTCTCTAAGAGTTCTCACTCCTTGTCTCCTCAATGAACTTCATTGCTCTTTCGCTTTCTGGATCCCTGCAGAGATAATAATAATCCAGCCAAAATTCACGCGCGATGCTGTGATCGGGCATATACTTTCGTAACAAAGACTTCCACTCCTTGTCCTCCATACTATCAGGGACTGATGTACAAACATACTCCCACCATACTGGAAAGTAGCCAGACATCTCCCAATCAATTATGCCAGTAACAGTGCCGTTCTCAACCATGATATTGACATTAGTGAGGTCACCATGCGTAAAGGTATAAGGCGTAGCGGATGGCATGCAATGTCGAAGTCGTATTCGCGCAGCCTCGGGTATGGTTTCTTTCAACCCACGCTCCATATCAGCCCAGAGTTCGTCATCCGATGCTAGAGGACCGTGAGGAAGCTCGGAGTCTTTGTCTCTGAACAGGAAATTGGAATAAACAGGACGGCCATCAAGCGCTTGGATATTATCGGACTGAAGCTTGCGAAGTTCTAGCAGATACTCGGCTGTCTGCCTAGCTATCATTTCTTTTTCGTCTGTGGAAAGCCTTGGCCAGACGTTGCTGAGGGGCTCGCCAGGAATACGCTTCATTAAGATAAGGGTGTGTTCGCCTTCGTTCCAAGATTCGACAACGGTAGGAACAGGAATGGATGTCTTTTCCTGCACAAACTGAATATTTGGTACTTCAATGGTCGGAAGACTAGAACCTCGATCTTTAAGAATTAAATTTGAGCCCAATGACCAGACGCCTCGATCGCCTGCTTCGTAGAATAGTTTGACATGGCTTTTGTAGTTACAATGCTTTTGGCGTTCAGTAGTCCAGCTACACGTTGCGCAAGGGCCTGAGGACGTCATATTGAGTGAATGAATAATAACAATTTGTTCAATGTATTGTTCGAAGATTGTTATGTGATCATGTTCGACGGAGAAATCCAAGGGTAATTGTGGTTCTTGTGTGTGCTTCGTAAGAATATGGGCCTTGGTGTGCTTATGATGTTGAATACTGATTTCTGAGCTTCCTATTTAAAAGCTTGTTGGCCAGAATAACAACACAATCAAGGTTATCCTCCAATAGGTCAACATACATACCTTGAAACGAACCTTGTGGAGCTTGGTGAGTGTGCATTAGTAATTGGGGTTAAAGTCTGAGTGGTTGAATAGTCGGGCCGACATTTAAAAGCCATCTAAGTTAGTGCTAGCTGGTTATCTGACTCCGTACAAAAGTGCCTTGGATGAGGCACCGCCTGATATTCTTGCAGAAGAACATGCTCTCGATTCTGAAACCATGGACTTTGTAGGTTCCTGATCATGAACTCTCACGCCTTACTGAAATCCTTAGCATCTCACATGCCTACTAACTAATTCGCGTGTTCAACAGTGGTCTCGCCTGATTGGGGGTTCTGGTCTCTCGTCATCAAAGGGCCTTCGGGGCAACTCTGCTGCTGAGCGTCTAGCAACATTTACATCTGCATGCAATACTCTAGATGTAAGACGATACCTATCCCTTTCACCGGCCGCTTCCAAAGTAGAATCTACGTTATATAAATATTTTTTCTGAGGACGGAAATTCCATAGAGGATTTGAGGGCTGAAGGCACTGACACTGGGGCGTATATAACCCTTTTATTAGCAAATTTGGCGGACAGGTCCGAATGATTCCGGCGACGCTTCCATTCCTCAGGTCCGAAGCTGCCTTGATCGTCTTAATTCAGTCCTTAATGACGAATCTCGCGGCCCTGCACCCCATCCGTGTCATGCCTTCGCTGCCACGTCGCAAGTATATTTAACTGTCACAAAACTCGCATTGTTCTCGTGTGATCCTGGAGCCATCTCAAAATCTGCCGTCCTCTTCAATACATTAATTGATGCTGAAGTTGATGGCGTCGTTGATAGTCGGACATTCGCCAGGGCGCTAGTCGACCTGGTTTGCAAAGCGGGCACTGCTGGCGAGGAAGGGGAAGGGAGGCTTGTGGAGCTGCTCTTCGGAGTTGCAAACAATATTAGATTACGCCCTGATATTCTTCCTGCTTGGTTTTATCCGAAAGGCCACGGTAATCGGAAACCCGAACTAGTGGAGGCCGGAAAGGAGTTTGCTGGTGCAACGCGCAAAGACGATTTCCCGCTCTTCTATCTCTTAATCGACTATGTTCACCATGAAGGCAGATCGGGTGATTTCGCCCGTACCGGCCTGCTCTATATCATTGAGACAGCATCGCGATCAAAAGAACTTGAGCGATGGCTAATTGAAAGTGACCTTGCGACATTAATGGCTACGGGTCTCGGAGCGCTTTATAGCCAATTGAATAGGTCCGTATCCATATCTTGCTAATTACATCACCGAATACTTTCTTATACCATAATCAATAGAAAGCTTACTTTCTCGAATACTGGCAAGAATATGCCCCTTATTGTCGCGTTGTCTGACTACGTACCAGCGGAAACGGCAGCTCGGCCCAAACTTGGGGCACATATGGATGCATTTCTTTCTTACTTGTTTTTCTGGCAGGATACTATTGATCATTGTAAATCTGCGGAAGTGAACGACACACTGCTAGATCATTTTCAGGTCTTGTTTCTTCAACAACTCCTGTATGCTTGACCCTGGGACAGAGCTATCGGCCATTTGTCGTCAGCTGATAGTGATATAGTTATCCGTCTCTTTTGGAGTCATCGGACGTAGACGGCGGCTCTACTTCCGCTGTTATAACCTACCTTTGCCGCATCTTGGAATCCATCGACCAGCCAGATCTAGTCCACCGAATTTTGCATTTCCTACTGGCCTCATCCACGGGGGGTGAACCTGCTATCAAGATTACCAAGAGCAAGTTGCGAATGTCTCTCAGCCGCCGCAAGTCTATTGATCTCCTGGCTTCGTTCGCGGAAGCTGCAGCAAAACCATCACCAGAACTTTTTAACTTGGTTGACCTCTTGTTGATAAGTATTAGATCCAACAACCCTTCGACAGTGGTGGCTACCCTCCAGCTTATGACTGTGATTTTTCAACGGCACCATATTTTTTCAAGCTCTCTGATCAAAACAGTTCAGAACCCCGAAACCGTGTGCATCATGCCCATTGGCACGCTTCATGCAGAATTACAGCACCTAATTGGCTTAGCAAAATCAGTTCTCGAAGATCCCTATTTAGATCAATCATATCAAAATTATCTTCTTGACGCGACTGCGCTGTTGGACTTACGTAACCAGATCATAGATCCAGCCGGAGGCCAAGCTATTGATGCCAACCTGAAACCCTCGTTGCTTCTGCAGTCTAATGATGATATATTACGGGGAATGGTTTCTAGGATGGAGTGCTTTTTCACTAATAGTGTCGTCATGAATCTAGCCCTGACGGAGGCTATTACAGGATTGGCATCTTCGAATTACATATCCTTGGATGGGTGGCTCCTTGTTGATTCTCAGAATTACAACTATGACACCACAAATCGGAATTTCGCTGGTTCAAACGAAAATCATGCAGGCAAAACCAACCTATCCCAAAACCGCCCATCTTTTCCTCCGCCATTGGTATCTCACGCAATACAAAAGCTAGTACACAGAGTCGAACAATGGCGATTAGAAATATCTGATTTTGACATCCTGGTCGCGGCCCACAGACATTTACTTCATTCCAGCGATGGGAACGGCCCTGACGACGCTTTTGAGTTTAAAACTTTCGAATCCTACTTGAGACCATCAACTGGGCGGCAGGGACAAGACCCGGCTAAGATTGGTCACCACTATGATTCGTCATGGGATCGCGGAACGTCACTTGCTGAGCGAACAGATTCTTTGTCGTCGTGCTCTTTTGCAAATTCCGGTTCGAGATCAGTTTTTAATTCCTCTTCCCGTGAAACCTCTCAAATTCGAATGCCTTCTGGGCTAGACCTAACAACTCGCTCGTCGATAGCATCGGAAGATCTTCGAAAACGACTTGCGACCCTTATCAAGATAGATTTATCAGACGTTTCCTCTAGCTATGGAACTTCCGAAACCGACAGGTCTATTTCCTTGCCCGATCATCCAGGTGATAGCTCAGGATCGGAGTCCGCGATGTCTCCATCTGATACCGTTACGCTTGGACACGTCCTTACCAACACTATCATCCTGTATGAGTTTATTCTGGAGTTGGCTGCTCTTATCCAAGTTAGAGCATCCCTGTTCCATGAAGTCAAGTTCTAATCCGAGCGTTAGCTCCTGACTTGTCCATTATTGGATCTCGCGACCAGTGGTTAAGTCATCGCACCGGGGAACTGAATCAATTATGTCCCGCGCTTGAGCGGTCTGATAGGTATTGTGCATCGGGTACAAGTTAGGGATCGATTACCATCCGTACTTGTTTCTTAAACTCACAGGTTGTCCACAGATAGTAGCTCAAAATCTGTTTATCGTGATGCGTGGTTGGCCACCTTTTCCGGATGAGCAGCTGTTTTATTCCTTGGCTGCCGACACGTTGTGAATGGACATGTTTTATGGCCTAATTATACATGTACAGTACATATATACAAATATGATCTCACCTGAGGGCGAGCATATTTTACTTATCTTCTTTCCCCCCCAGTATCGAAATAGTGCCATAAAACAGTCCATCAATTACCCAAATACGGGCTATGAATTCGGGAAGCTAAAACATAGCCCTCTTCGAACAACAAGTGCTGCTCACGGGTGGAAGGATTTTTTCCTGTGCAAACCTGGAACTAAACTGTTAGGCACTATGGCAAAAGAGCTCAATCACCACCAGCGTTATGCCGGTAGTCGAGGGGGGCGAACCAATCCAAACCCCTAACATAAACCACTTTGACGCACTGAAATCTCAGTGGGGCTTGCTTGAACTCTGATCTCATCTTGAGGGGTTTTTGACTGATCTGCACAGATTATGAGATATTAATTTATCAAAGCTTTTCACTGACAATAATAAGGACGGTTGAGTTTTTTGTATATCGCAAGTTTTGATCGCCTCTACTGCAATCATGGCGCTGGCGGTGATCGAGCTCTTCTGCCCTACGCCTCTTCAAGATGCACATTTCTGACCTACGCCCTGTACGGCTTACGCCCTCTGCTGGCATACGCCATTCTTACTAGTTGCTCGAGGTTGCCCTAGCATGCTACCAGGCATCTTACCTGCTGCTGCAAGAAAAACAATTGACACATTTTGAAAGCAGCAACAGGACTAGCGCCTGACAGAGCCAACCTTCCAAGCAAACCTTGACCTTAGATTTGAGTACTTATGGAACAGTGACTACATACATCTTCACATTCAGGCTTCACATTCATCGGCTTTCATTCAACTTGTCTGCATAGCATATCCCATCTACTCATCGTCAGCCCCATCCACCTAAGTCCATGTCTTGTGGATTACCGTTCCCTTTTACCAACGAATCACTTTGGAACTACCGTCCTTGTGTACGTGCGCCGTGGCAACTCTCTTATCCTCACTATCCTTGAACCGGATCGAGATGACATCTTCCAGGTCTGAAGGGTCGTCGTAGGACTTGTGTGGATGCGAACCCCTAATTTATTGAATGGTCAGGCAATATGCATTTGTGAACGGGACAGGGTGATCTGTGATGTTTGTACTGTACTTTATTTCTGCTTTCATGACTCCTGAGTTCTAGCACTATTGTCAGATCCAACAACTAGTTAACTGCTTACTCGACTGACTTACGTCGTTCTCGAACTTTTCACAAAAGGTCTTCACACTATTGTACCATGCAGGATCCGTTATATGTTCCAGCTTTGTTTTGCCAGTGTATTGAATGAGCCTCTTGACTGTGACGGAGAACATGATTTTTTGAGATTGATTCGGTAGTAGGAGATAGTTAAATGAAGTGGTCACAGTGAAATGATGAGAGAAAGCTACTTCTTACAGACATTCTCTCGAGTCTTTATAGACATCCCGATGGAATCTGCTAAGGGTAAGTGGCGTATGGAGCGCAGGACTTGAATGGGCAGTCAATGTTGCTAAGTATAATATATAATCAATGAAGTTAGATACAAGGGTATCTTGCACGCTGGGCGCCTAGAGGCTGGTCCGTATTTGTAAATATCTAGAACTTGAAACTTGTGATGGGCCCACCTGGCGCTTAATTTTTCCAGTCTTCGAGTCAACGAAGACCATTCAAATCAGGACTCCGCAATTCGGGAAACCGCCCTTGAATCGCAGAATGCATCCAGGATAGAGATGCGGTCACCACGCATCCGCTGGGCTCATCTTACAGTCCCCATCCATCTTCATACAAAGAGCTCGATGCAAATGGCATGTCTACTGCGATGGACGAGAAATAAGTTACAGCCTAACCCAACTCCCCGAAGGCCCTTTGCAAGTCAGCCAAAGGCTCTCAGCCCAGGTCGACCTGTCGAAGAGGAAACTCTCCCAGATTACAATCCGGAGGAGTTTTACCCTGTTCATATAGGCGATATATTCAATGGCAGGTACCAGGTGCTAGGTAAACTTGGATTTGGAGCAAACTCAACTGTTTGGCTTTGTCGCAACACTGAGTATGGTTGCATGGATCCCTGCAATGTTTTGTTTTGAAGGGCTAGCTGACTCCACCTCTTAGAAATCGCGACTATGTTGCTCTCAAAGTATACATAAAAACGCCCACACAGAGGATGAATCGGGAGATTGTGGCTTATAGTTATTTGAGATCTTCACGCTCGTCGCATGCCGGACGCGCACACGTACGAGAGCTTCTTGATTCGTTCGAACTTGTAAGGCCGAATGGAATCCGCCACCACTGCCTTGTTCATCCGCCACTTCAAATAACGCTCTGGGGTCTACAAAGACTCGGAGGAAAGCCTACAGCTCTACCACAGGATATGGTCAGAAGTGCCTCCCGTTATTTGCTGCAGGCATTGGATTACCTCCACACAGAAGTCAATATCACACACTGCGGTCCGTAACTTTACTAGACTCGCGGGAAGAAATTCTTGAACTAACTTTGTCTTAGATATCAAACTTAGTAACCTCATGTTGACCATCGAGGATGCGAGCGTCCTCACAGACTTTGAGGAAGCTGAGCAAAAAAGTCCCTGTCCGCGCAAGGTAGTCAATGATGAACGAACAATCTACACATCTCGAGACTTTCGGCGTCCCAGAAACCACGCTTGGGGGTGCCCTGTTCTCTGTGATTTTGGGGAGGCTCGGGTCGGAGGTTCTTACCAGTACGAAGAGATACAACCAGAGGTCTACAAGGCCCCTGAGATCATCATGCAGACGGACTGGTCGCATAGTGTTGACATATGGAATACAGCGTGTGTGGTTAGTCAGCCTATATTTTCTCATAGTATTCTATCTTGCTGACTACGTGAGTCTCTATTTTAAAGATCTGGGACATGATAGAGAATAAACATCTTTTTGACGCTCAAGATGATGAAGGCTTCCACAATAACAGATACCATATTGCAGAGATGGTTGCGTATTTGAGCATCCCACCAAAGACGTTCCAACAACGCAGCCCAAACACACCTTTAGTATTTGATGAAGCAGGTGCGTAGCAACCGCTCTGTGACTAAGATTGATGTCTGACATTTGATTTGCAATAGGAAATTGGAAAGGCAATCCTCCGCTTCCCCCGCTCTCGCTTGAAGACTCTGAGAAACATCTTAAGGGTGTGGATAAGATTGCATTTTTGAGCTTCATGCGCTCAATGCTGACTTGGCTGCCAGAGGAGAGAAGAAGTGCTAAAGAGCTGCTGATCGACCCTTGGTTGAATAGGCAGATGTGATCAATAATCAGAGAGGTATGTGTAATGATGGAAGCTGTTTCTATTATCGGTTTTGAGATTGTTTCTTCATGAATCCCCTTTTATGAATTCTCTTCTGCTCGCGAAAGTGTTTTCTCACTGCAATCACCATTGCATTGATGAGTTTTGAACTCTTCTATGTTCACAGCAAGAGATAGATCAGGACAAGATTGCCCCATGCTTTCAATTGATAAGCTAGATAAGCTTTTAATTCAAGTCTCTCAAGTCATTTCCCATTGAGGGTCAAAGACAGATTTGTGACAAAAAAGCAGTGATAAATGTACATATCTTAGATAGTGTGTCTTAGTGTTGTTTTATTCGCGGGTCGGGTTGAAAAAGTGGTGGGGTTGCCCGAATAAATGGATTCCTGGGTTTTGAGGGGCGCTTAGGAGCGCCTATGGTGGTTAACCTACCTAAATTACTCAACTAGGTTTAGTTAAGCCTGGGCATCGGCCCCCCAAGGGTGGGTTAGCACCCGTTAGTAGTTAACTTACGCAACCAACCTACTGCTCGCCCGCGCGCCCTCAGAACACCTCTCCTCGCGATTCCGCTCCGCGATCGTGTAGTCACATTCTTCCGCCTCGCACCCCACTGTTGCGCGACCTCTGATATTCTTCCGTTCCGATTATTTCCCTTCTATAAAAACCCCCTTCGTATGACCCTTTCTTCTGATCTCTTTTCTCTTTCTTTTCTTAATCAATTTGTAATCGGTATAGGATAGTGCTTGGTCTGTCCGTACGCCCGTTGCAGATAGTGCAGATGGTGAAAACGGTACAATCCGCAAAGTTGGCTTAATCCGTAGCACGCCCGTTACAGAAAAGCAAAAGATAATAGTATACAGAGTGAAACATCTGAGTGGTTGTATTACCATGTAGACAGCTAAGGCATATATATGCAGTGTGCTAGTGCATAATAGATAGTTTAAAGTCAACATATATTGTATTGCTCTCACTTAGCTAGTTAACAGAACACAACACTATCCTTTCTCAGATTCAATTAGTTATTTAACCATTCATGCTGTCTTTTACCCATTTCACACCAGGTCAGAGAAGAATACAGAGTTGTTTAACATTCATCATCAGTCACCCTTAAGTTCAATCATCAAATGGCCATGCATTCTCCCACTCTCTTGCTTCTGCCTCATTGCTTGAATACTCTTGAACTAAGTCCTTCTTTACTCTTCGCAGTGCCTTCTTTGCCTCATCGAATTGTCCGTGATCAACAAGTCCTTGTGCCTGGAAGAACTGTCGACCAATTCTGTTCTGAACATCCTGCATCAGACTAATACCAAGCACAGCTCCCTCACTGTCGGTTTTGATGGTGGCCAATTCCTCCACTGAGAACTCAAGTGGACATTCTGGATTACCTTCAGCACGTACACGAGGAAGCTCTGACCAGTTCTTTTGCTGCTCAGCGAGCAGGGCAAGATAAGTTGCTTCGCCATCAACCAAGAGATTTCGTGCTAAGAGAAGGAGTTGGAATCTGGTTGTCTGATGAAACTCGAGAACTCGGAACAGTTGTGGGTTTGTCAAGTGAATCAGATGTCTATAGAGAGACACAAGAGACATTTTAACAAAGAGTCTCTCCGCCTTTTCCTGTGATGCAGGATCAGAATCAAACTGCCTCTGAATTTCTGCTAGCTTAGGACGTTCTAGAAGCCCTTCAACACGTGGACCATCATAATCAAGAATGTATGGTTCAATAGTATGATCATACAAGGGTGCTAATTCAGTGGATTGCCAATCTATGAATCCAAGGATTTCTGACGGATCGTTCGGGTTAACAAAAATATTCTCAACATGGAGATCGTTGTGCCAAATATGAGAAGTCTGAATGGACTCGTCATCAGGAAGCAGGTACTTGACAAATTTGAGATAGCCTCGAGCGGCTTCTAGCTTTTTTGCCTTTGAGGGACGGTATGTTCCGGGACCATAGAGCGCAATTGGAGAACTTGGAAGTTGCGAGAATTGCTCAATACATGCAATTTCTCTCATGCCGGTAGCAATCTCATATTCTTCCGCGGTTTTCCCTTTGGATGGATATGTTAGCTGAATTCACCAATTTGATGTTTATACACGTACAAGGACCTCTGTCAAATTCGATTCCATTCCTACCATCATCTGTATTCTGTCTGCTTGTAGAAGGGCCAATAGTAAAGCGATCATCAATGATCTGTTTGTCGTCCTTGCTTCTGTAAACAAGGGTTTCACCGGAGGGGAGATCCTGTCTATAATAGACACTGCCGAACTGAGAAAAGGAAGTGGTTGTCCAGTCTGCCTGGTACTTGGCAATTTGTTTCACTACCTTCAGTCTGACTTCAATGTCAAGTTTATTCCATATTTTGTTGAGCTGTACACCTGGAAGCTTTTCCATAATAATATACTCCGTACCGACAGGATTCTCCATCTTAGAGCTCCAAGAGAGCACCTTTGGCACAGGGGTGCCAAGAACACTTCTCATCTAGGTATCCATAAGCAAACAATAGTACTGAATACTCGGATAGAAGTTACATACAAAGTCCATAGTAGCCACCTCAGAAGCAGTGGTGAAATGTGGCCGCCCAGCATTTGGATTTGGGATCTTGCCCACAACTTCAGTACCGTTGTCCATGGTCAGAAGAAGGGCCTTATTGTGCATGCCATCCGCAAACTTGTGAACACTCTCGCAGTGGTGAGCACCGGTGGCTTCAGCAGCTATCCGTGTGAGCTCCTCAACATTAAATTTAACATATCGTTGGGACAATTCCCGAGTTTCATCACGAAGAAAGCGACCACGGGTGAAGCTGAAGAAGTCCTCGATATTGTTCCAGTCTGCGGAACAGAAGTTATTGACAGTTTTCCTATAAAAATGGTTACAGACACCAACCTGATCTTCTTTGCTTTGAGGCAGTCATGAGCCTTAGCTGTTGCTTGGCAGTTTTGCTGGGGATAACATCAGCAGACCGTTTCCAGGTGCGATTCCTTTGATTTATAACTTGCCAGAGAATTCCATGACTGGCCGTAAAGGTGGATCTTATTTCTTGGAGCATCTGTTTCATGATGTGAATAGGCATGAAGGCATGACCTCCTGGGAACAGAGCATAAATGTGTCCAACTAAGTGTGTGAGTGGAGAATGGAGTGATTCAAATTCTGACAAGGAATTTTGCTGCGCTAATGGTCCTTAGCATAACTAGGTTTCATCTTTGGGCCCAACAATAAATCTATTCGCTGAGATCAAAACATTCCAACCGGAGGGATCCAAACCTTTGCCGTATGCAAAGAGGCGTATATTCGCCCGCATTAGGTATGACTCTTAAGCAGGCCCACAGGCCATCCAACATAGCAAGGGCATAAATAGGGACTCAATAACATAGGCATTCCTTCCTCACAAACCTTCCTAATATTGATATTACAAGTTCATACCAAAAAACTTGGCTCACCCAGTGGTCCCCTTCTCACTCAAACTACTTGATACTCCTAGATTTTGACAACAGTATGTGTCTTTTTTGCACTGTTTGTTTGGCTGGGAACATAACTAACCCCTCAAGTCACAGTCTATTGAACAATGACCGGCGCTTTAAAAAGAGGTGTGCGTGAGCTGGAGAACTGGGTTAAGGGGAGTGTCTCCCGAGCTACCAGGCTTGCGAGGGGCGAAGGGACCGCCGGTACCAGAGCGGCACCAACCCAAACGGCTACAAATGACTCGCAGATTGGAGTGCGTCTGGACAATGCTGAAAAGATTACCAGGAACGGCAAGGAGTACAAACGATACAAACTACAAGCAAACAAAAATGCAGCAAATCCGACTATCAGGGAGCTAGCGAACAAGAATTCCCATCGTGTCTTCGCAGAAGCGGACGTTCCACTTGATGGCACTATTCCTACCGACCAGAAGATCACCGCTCTCTTTCAGGACTTAATCGATGACGTTGATAAGAATATGAAGAGTTAGCTAGGAAGCGATGCGTATGGGCAACTGGTGGTCATCTTTAATTTATCTATCTTTGGGGATAACGAGTCGCGGGAAGAATAGGGGGAACGGTATTGTAGCAAACATCCCTTTGTCTCTCTGTGTCGTGGTGACATCTGGACATTGGAAGCTATTGTTTTGTTGTGGATCCCTGAGACGGACTTTTGCAAGTGAACATCATTACACCAGCCTATAACTATTATATTGAGCTGCAGCAGATAGACTGGCCAGTGGGACCATGAATTTCACATTTGATTTGATTTGGTTTGGTCTCAGTCTATTTCTTGACATGATTTTAATGAGATCAGAATCAGAATGAAAGTGTAAAGTAACTAGAATTATCAAAACATGAGTGAAATGAGACTAATAAATCTTGATATTTTATATAAAGTGACTGACAATTAAAAATAAGAATATAATCTGAGTGTAAGAAACCCGCACTAAGGTGTCAGTGCTAGGCCAGAATTGGTAATTGCTCTAAAGAATATGACATTACTGAATATAGCACCACCAACATTATATCAGAATGAAAATCAAGACATTATTGTGCCACTTGCATCATACAGTGTCATTGATATTGTATTAAATTTAATCTATTTATAATACTGTATGTATATAGATAACAGCTGACTCAATCTTTCAGAGATTAATAGATTATTCTATTATAATTAGACTGACTGCTGAAACCATGAATTACATATTTAATTTAATTTAATTTAATTTCAGTTCATTTCTGTGATGGGTTAGCATCTGTTAGCAGTTAACTTACACAACCAACCCTTTATTATGTGCTCATATACTCATATATGCTCATGAAATTCTTTCACATCTTTTTATAATTCTGTTTCACAATTATATATATTTTAATACTCTAATAATTCTTCTGCTCTACACTTCTTCTGAGTATGATTTTCAATATTTCTTTTACTCTGATTTTTTTATCTATAAAAATTCTTTTATACAATCTTTTTCTCTGATCTTCTTTCTCTTTCTTTTTTTAATTGATTTATAAATTGTTATCAGAATAGTATTAAATTCATTGATAATGCTATTAAAATGAATTGTATAAACTGTACAGACAGTATAAACAGTTTAATCTGCAATATTGATAATATCTGCTTAATTGATAATATATTCATTATATTACAAATTGATTCATCTATATTTAAAACTCAAGTATCTAGTTGTTAGATTTCTATACTCAAATATATCAATTATATTTAAAGCTCAAATATCTCATTATCAGTTTCTATATCTGAGTATATTGATTTGTAATTCAAAGATTGCTTGAGCTTCTCAAAGCTTCTAAGCTTTGCAGCTCTTTTTATACAAAATAACTAGTGCAGTAGTATACATCATTCTTAATAATAGAGGATGATATACACTCTGAAAGAATAATAAGCTGAAATTACTATATTCTTCTCTATTAAATCTATCTATACTTTTGTAATAATATTCTGCTGTCTGTATTCATCTTTGCAGTGTGCTATCTCTGAAATATTTATAGTATATATTTATCAAGCTCTTGTTGTGATTATATATTGTCTAATTTAAAACAGTAAGATACTCTTACTTCACATACACAAGAATTTCTATCACAACAACATCATCTCATCACTAATTATATTATATTTGCAACTATTTTATTCTATTTATTTACTCACATCTTTTTATTCAATCTTCTCTACTTTATTTTTGATTATTCTATACATCTATTCTATTCTATCAAATTGTCTAGCTCTTTCTATTCTATAATATAATATCTGATTGTTGCAGTTCACACTATTCTAGTTGTATTAACTGATCTACTGATAAGTTCTTATCAATCAAATCTTATTAAAAGCTAATTTAACTGCAAATTAATAACTTTTATGATTGCTAATTATTACTAGCTTCTATTTCTTGTCATCAGAATGCATATCTGACTTGTGATTATTCAAACTCTTTTTTCAATAATCTCTTTTTATATGATTTCATTTCTGTTGAGAAGATTGTATCTGATAATATTATAGAGATTGAATATGATGATAATAATATAAATATCTTGATTAATAACAAAAATATAAGTGAAATAGTTGATAAGATCACTGATGCAGACATGAACAGTAGTGATGATACTTATAATAATAATATAATGATAAATATCTTCATATTATCTTCTATTACTGCTCTCTCTGTCTCTGTTTATATCTCTACTTTCTCTGCTGTTTTTATTTTCTCTACTGTCTCTGTCTTCTCTACTGTCTATACTTTCTCTACTATCTCTGATTCTATCTCTTCTATTCATATCAATCTCTCTCTTTTCTTTTATACTAATTTCTTACTTTCATTCACTCTCTTAGAGATGTTGTATATCTTCAGTAATCTCTCTCTTTATTCTCTATATTCTTCTTCTATATCCACTGCTTCTGAAAAAATATGTTTTTATATATAAATTTTGTATAATATAATTCATTTTACTAGCTATTTGTTGATTGTATTTTTTATTTGAAGCAAATATAAAATATTTAGTAATTTTATATATTTCAGAGAAAATACTGTTGTTTGAACAGATTATATCAAATATATATAATATCTCTCTCTTTGTTTATAAATTTTATTTTAACTTATTGTAGATGAAATTGTTCAGAGTCTCTGTATTATTGAGATTATAACAGATGAAGATCTCTATATTATATTTATTCACATCAGTTTTTATATTACTCTCTTATCTTCATATACTTTCAGCTTATTAAATAAATACTATTATTTTTTATATTAATATATAACTTCTGAACTGATTATTTGTAGAAAGAATATATATATACAGAGTAGTTCAAATAATAATATAATATTTTTTTATATTTGAGATGAGTATATATCTATTTCTTGTGTGAGTTGTATGTGTGATAAAGATTTATTTCAATTTTGTATTCTGTTTTCTATATATAATTATTCTATTGACTGTCTCTGTCTCTGTTGTAATTATTTATGAAGCTTCAAGAAAAGTTTCTATTCTTTTGATAAATATATACTTTTTTCTTTATATTATAATAACTACTAATACTTTATAGTTGCTTTAAATATTACTTTATATATATCTATTACTACTTCTGTCTCTGATTTTCTTGTAATTTATTTATTCTTCTCTGTTTTTATTTCTACTTTTATTCTTTCTTCTCTTTCTTTGCTTTCTATTGAATAAATATCTATTATTTATTTTTATAGAGACTCAGATATCTGCTTCACTGTTTTACTCACTTTTATTTTACTCTTCTCTACTCTGATTGATTTTTCTTTGTGTATATATTTCTATTATTTTATTGAGTTTTCTGTAAATCTCTTTATTGAAGATATTGAATTAATATATCAAACTTTTTATAAGATGAAGATGTGCTCTGCACTTCTATATACTTATTTTGAGATCTTGAAGTTTTTAATATAGATTGAGTTTTAATTTTTGTTGTATACAAATTATTTCTGAAGATGTTGAGCTTGAGTGTTTTATTAATATACATCTTTTTCTTTTTCTTTATTTTATGATATTTTTGTATTTTTAAAAATCAGATGAAGTTTTTGTGATAATCACTAGAGCTGTATATAAATAGATTTTTTTTCTGATTTTTTTTTTCTCTTTCTCTTCTTCTTATCTGATATTAATCTTATGTAATCTTTTATTAGTTCTATATTTTGATAATCAGATGCAGCAGATTTTATATCTTTCAATAAAAATATTCTGTCTCTATGTATTATACTATCTCTTTTTGCAAGCTCAGATAACTACAGTGAATGACTTATTGAAACTAATTTTATTCAATCTCTGAATATTCTCAGATGCTGAATTGATTTGATTCAGTATATTTACTGATATTTCTGACAGTTTATTCTCTGAAATCTTTGTATTTGAGCTAGTATAGATAGTCAAATTTTCATCTGAATTTCTTTTGTTTAGACTGGCTGCTGGGACCATGAATTATATATTTGATTTGATTTAATTTAATTCCAGTCCATTTCTTGGCATGATTTTAGTGAGATCAGAACCAGAATGAAAGTGTAAAGTGACTAGAATTATCAAAACATGAGTGAAATGGGACTAAAAAATCTTGATATTTCATGTAAAGTGACTGACTATCAAAATCAGAACATGATCTGGAACTGATCATGATTTTAACTCAAGTTTGGTCCCATTCTGATGATTATATAATACATCAATCTGATGATATGATTGATGAAGATATTATCTCTATCTTGCTTAGTGCTCAATGCTCTGATGATTCACTATTAGATTCTCTATCTATCACTGTCAATCTATCTACCACTGCTAATCTATACTGCTGTCAATCTATCTATCACTGCTAATCTATCACTGCTGCCAATCTATCTACCACTGTCAATCTATCTATCACTGTCAATCTATCTACCACTGCTAATCTATCACTGCTAATCTATCACTGTTAATCTATTGCTGCTAATCTATCTATCACTGCTAATCTATCACTGCCAATCTATCTATTACTGCCAATCTATCTACCACTGTCAATCTATCTACTGCTGTCAATCTATCTACCACTGCTAATCTATCTATCACTGCTAATCTATCACTGCCAATCTATCTATCACTATCAATCTATCTACCACTGCCAATCTATCTACTGCTGTCAATCTATCTACCACTGCTAATCTATCACTGCTAATCTATCACTGCTAATCTATTGCTGCTAATCTATCACTGCTAATCTATTGCTGCTAATCTATCTATCACTGCTAATCTATTGCTGTCAATCTATCTACCACTGCCAATCTATCTACCACTGCCAATCTATCTACCACTGCTAATCTATCACTGCTAATCTATCACTGCCAATCTATATAGAGTAAATCATAGTCCCATTTGGTCCCATTTTGTAAAATGGGATCAAATGGGACTGAGATCACTAATTTATTAGTAAAACATGATCTGGGACTAGATTTATAATATAAACAGTGTAAAGTGACTAATTTACTAAACACTATATGAGATCAGAACTAAGATATCTAATAATGAAACTGAGGAAAAATTTGATCCCAGTTTCATGCATGGTCACATAGTCAGTCTACTTTTGTTCTTGTAATCTGATTTATATATTAATTGATTATCTTGAGCTCATCTTCAACTGTGTTGCATCTGCTGTTTATATTATAATATTATATAGTCAGTAACAGTCTCATTATTTATTGATATATACTGTATATCTGCTTTTTTCATTTTCTCTTATTTTTTTTT